GAATTCATTCACTGAATTGAGCTGTTATCTAGTATGAATACAATTATAATAAAACACACAATGAAAATGTGAAATTTGTCTAAACATCACATTTTGGTGTGTGCCGTAGTAAAGCCACAGAAAGCAGCGAGTCAAATTCAGAAGGCCTCTGTAGTCGTTCCTGCCCTTATATTGTAATTTGTGCTACAGCACCTGCAGCTTTTGTAGCACCAGCGCTAACTGCTCTAAAAGTTTATGTACAGCTGTCCTCTTGCTCTTTTCATCTATTTTCATGTGTTTTTTTTTTTTTCCATCTGGTGCTGAAATAATACATCTTGGCTCCCTGTTGAGCTACAAATTCTCTTTCTTGCTCCAAGGTTTAGCCAGATGCTGTAATATCTTTTAGCGTCCTTCTGTGTTTGCACTGTCCTCCGAACTCGAGCAGAGGACAGACAGGCCATTTCTGTAGAAACTAGAGAATTGAAAACAGGCCTGTTTTTTCAATGACCATTGAGCAATGTTTTTTCGATGAATGACTCATTTTGGAAAAAGGGAGAGCTCCAGTAATGAGACTTAGTTTATTTTTCTCTGTCCTTCTCTGAAAAGTCCTTTGACTTTACTGGGAATCGCAAGCAGCGTTACTAAGGGTTGCGTAAAGGCACCAATACAGAATAATATAGATGGCACAAAACCACTTTTTATTATTTTTGAATTCACGTACCCATACTGTAACCTTGAATTGACCAATACAAAGAAGATATTTTTCTTTAAAAATCAGTTAAGCTTTAAAAATAACATTTTAATTGAAGCACTTCACTGTAGATGGTCATCAAACAGTAGGCTACCATCCCAAACTTGTCAGACAAACAATATACTACTTCATTTCATTGAATTAGGCTCTTTCCTCTTAAGCATATGGGCAGGAATTTGTCTTCACATACGCCATGTATAATTTGCAATAAAAATTTTAGAATGTGTTGTCAGTTTTAAATGTTTTATCTAGAACAGTAGAGAGTAGGGATGCACTGATACCAATTTTTTCAGGCTCAGTGTGATTACATGTTTTTTTTGATGCACATTCTGATACCATAATGAATTACATACTCAGAATGAAGTAGTTGGTTAGTGTAAATGAGTGTAATGTACCTTAAAGTTAGATCATTAAAATCCATCTGATTTTAAATGAGGTATGTTAGCTAACTACGCTACATCAGTTATCTTGGATCGGGTAGCGCGGCAGTGGAGAACAGCGGGTTTTGTGGGGGGTAAATAAATAAATAAATGCATGTTTGCAGTCACAAACTTCATGTGTATGAAGTAAACGTCCCGAAACCATACTAAGTAACAAATTTTAGCAGAGTTTGATGTAAAATGATTCTTTATAGAGTAACTAGGAACCGGGGTCGCCATGACTACAACACATATATAGACTTTTTATTTATTATAGTGAGGTAGTAGTAGTTATATGGAATGTAAGTAGTGGGGAAAATAATAGTGAATCTGGAAATAATAAGTTTTCTTTAGGGACTATTTTGCCTTTTTGTAACGCTCTGCATGTATCCCTGCACCACGAATGGCTTTTAAAAGATACATTTCATGCCAAAGCCTTATCTCAGAAATGTTGTAATGCAATTTCTCAGGTATCAGTCAGTATATTCACAGCCATTTCGTGTAATAACTTATAAGGGGCTTTTAACGGCATAAAATATTTCAGACATCTGGTTCCTATCACCACCGCTGTGAACCATTCTGACTCAGTAAGTTTCTTCAGATTTCATCAAACCACTCTGAGTGACTTTGTTTACATTTTAATGATAAAATTATACAGACTTTTTTTGAAAACGCGGTGGAGTTCCCCTTTGCACAGTATAAAACGTGTGGGAAAGAGAATGTGCAGCATGTTAGCTTAGTATTAATATAACATAACGCTGTGTTATGCGGCTCAGCGTCCCTTTTCTTTAAAGTGATCTGGTTAGAAACTTTTCTAAGGATACAGTATTTGATTCCAATGAAAGTGGAGCGCTTGTGCTGTGGCCAAGTGTGCTGTGTCTCTTGAGCAACCCAGCTGTACATCAATCCAAGATGCAATGAAAGTTAAGTTTAAGTAGTCATATAGTCAGAAAAGAAAGTATCCCAGCAGCCTAGAGTCCCAAGTTTAATATGCTTCCAGACCGGAGAACTCACTATGGCACAAAACTGAAACAGTGAAAATGAAGAGCTTGACTGTTGTATATGAAAGGAACTAAATAAACAGGGTTTCAGAGTCAGGCTCAGATGTTATAGTTGAATTTCAAAACACAAAATAAATGTTCTGATCTTTAACTAATTGTGGTGATTACGGTCACATATGTTGATCACTGCACGTTTAATATGTTCACACATTTGATAGTATTGAGTGTCCCTCACTGTAACAGACTGGTGTTCCAGTAGACAGATGAACCATGTAAACATCCTTTTCCCTGTCTGGTCTTTTCTCAACCTTCTCCCATTCACTCTTTGTTTCTCCTGTGTTGTCCTGCAGATGTGGAGCAGATGGCTATAGACTGGCTTACAAGGAATTTTTACTTTGTTGATGACGTTGATGATCAGATCTTTGTGTGTGATAAGGATGGAGTCACATGTGTGACGCTGCTGGATCAAGAGCTGTACAACCCGAAAGGCATTGCACTGGACCCCACTATGGGGTGAGTACCTATATGTCGTATTTTATATATATGTGTGAGAGTGTGTGTGTGTGTGTGTGTGTGTGTGTGTGTGTGTGTGTGTGTGATATGTAATATGCCCCATACATACATATTATTTATGTAAGTAATATGTCCCATATGCATTATATATATGTTGCATACATGTAAGTAGCTGCGTGTAGTAGTAATTATATTTATTATACATACAACCCCATTTCCAAAAACGCTGTGCAGAATGTAAATAAAAATATGATGCAATGATATGCAAATCATGCAAACCATATTTTTAAGGGAAAATAATACAAAGATAACATATCAAATGTTGAAACTGAGAAATTTTATTTAAAAATATATGCCCATTTTGAATTTGATGCCAACAACACATTCCAAAAAAGTTGGGACGGGGCATGTTTACTACTGTGTTTCATGACCTCTTCTTTTAACAGCACTCTGTAAGTGGTTGGGAACCGAGGAGACACTGCTGTAGTTTTGAAAGTAAAATGTTTTCCCATTCTTACTTGATACAGGATTTCAGCTGCTCAACAGTTCAGAGTCTCCTTTGTCGTATTGTGCACTAATGCACCCCCATAACATCATAAATACTGGCTTTTGAACTGTGCACTGATAACAAGCTGAGTGGTCTTTAGCCCAGAGGACACAGTGTCCATGATTTCCAAAAAAAATTCAAATGTTGATTCTTTGGACCACAGGACAGTTTTCACTTCACCTCAGTCCATTTTAAATGAGCTAGCGCCCAGAGAAGGTGGCAGCGTTTCTGGATCCTGTTTCTTCTTTGCATTTTAGAGTTTTAACTTGCATTTGTGGATGCAGCGATGGACTGTTTTTACAGACAGTGGTTGTCAGAAGTGTATGTAACAAAGTTTTTTATCCAATGTGATTGGAAACCTGCTACAAATACACCTACAGTGTACAAACTGTGAACAAGTGTATAAAATAAGTGATTCAAAAAGAGTGATCGCGTAAGGTATGACTAAGTTATTTGTTACAATCTATAGCATTAATGAGTATCATGTGTTGTTCTCTTAAAACAGGAAAGTGTTCTTCACAGACTATGGTCAGATCCCAAAGGTAGAACGTTGTGATATGGATGGACAGAATCGTACAAAGCTGGTGGACAGTAAGATTGTCTTCCCTCACGGCATCACGCTGGACCTGGTCAACAGGCTGGTGTACTGGGCTGATGCTTACCTGGACTACATCGAGGTGGTGGACTACGAGGGCAAGAATAGACATACCATCATACAGGGCCTACTGGTGAGGAAAGCTTTAATGTCTGATTATTGTTAGTGTATTTTACACACACACACACACACACACACACATATATATCATGCTTGTTGTATTACAACCCTGTATTGTAACACTTATTTCATTGTAACGTTTTGGTCCAATCAGGATTGTTCTCTGTGGTATCTAGGCACAAACAGCTGAGTGAGCTCTCCCATTGGTTTGGACTTCAGGAGCTGTTCTGAAAGCCTTACACATTAGATTAACTACCAACATAATTAGGAAGTGACAGAGGAACCAACCAGTCACGCTTTGATTTACAATGACACCAAATTAGAATCAGAATCACTTTAGTCCTTCTGGACATTCTACATACGTCACTGACTGTGAATAGCAGCCGTATGCAGGTTCTGGTACTTTGTTAGGAATGGAAAACAGCGGCAGCAGCTCTGTGCAGGACTCTTCACTAAGAGAGTCACTGTAAAACTGATACATACAAGCTCAAATTCATGATAACGTCTGTTACAAGCTTCAGATAAAACATATGGAATGTCTTGTACAAACTACAAATGTCCATATTTAATATAGAACAGGCAAAAAATGTTCATGTGCGCCAGCGTTAGCTTAGTGCTAACATGCTATTACAAATCCTATAGTGGTGGTTGCAGAAAATTGCATTATTGTAGAGTTGGGGTATATTTTCTTATTATTTTAATGAATTTTGACATTTATGACCCAAACTGAACACGCAGCGCTAATATGGTTATCTGAACATCTACTAAAAGCTTTTAAATCAATACCCCAATTAATTTTTAGTTTAGTAAAACTAAGTAAATGTGTATTTCCAGTACACATTTGTTGTTTGTATTAGTTAGAATGTATAAATGGGGGTGTTTTCTCTTGTCTGTTTTTATAAGAAATTGAATACTTACAATGACCTACATTAAATATGATATTTGATGCGATAGTTCGGTAAAGAAAACCTTGTATCTCCAAAATAATAACTTTACTGGAGAAAGAAAAAAAACATACTTACTTTTAATGTAAATCAATGGAACGAGACTTTTTTCTGAGTAGGTGTGTCTGTTTCTTTTGGTCCATTCATCATGAAACTTGCACACAATGTAAAGAACACCAGGCTTTTTCAAATTATGTCAAAAACAACAAAAATGGAGGTTTTGTTCCGACAGCAGTGATTGCAAATGCTGTGGATCAGCCAAGACATGTTAGGTGTCTGTAGTGCTGAAGTAGTTCGGTATTGAGTTTTGATACACAGCCATATTCATGAGAAGCGTCTTTACCTCCTTTCTCTGTGTTTGTACTCTCAGATTGAGCACCTTTATGGGCTGACGGTGTTTGAGAACTATCTCTATGCCACCAACTCGGACAACGCCAACATGCAGCCCAAGACCAGCGTCATCCGGGTCAACCGTTTCAACAGCTCAGACTACCAAGTGGTCGCCCGGGTGGACAAGGGGGGCGCCCTGCACGTGTACCACCAGAGACGCCAGCCTGCAGGTACAGAACGCACCTGTGCTTCACCGCTTCTGGCTGTGCGAACGATACGTCCAGTTTCAGTCGTATGAATTTAAGCAGATATCCAAGCCCTGTATCTCCATTTATTTACGTATTTCTACATAATTTGGCTTATATTGTGAAGACGTTTAGTGATGAATGAACCATCAAGAATGGTCCAAAATTATGTTAATGAATGTTGCATCAAGGAAGTTCTGTTCTTTTGCAGATTTTCTGTTTATCTTTCTAGGGGTGTAAGAAATTTACCTGAGCTTGGAACATTATAATCATTTATGATGGTTTTAATTAAAGTATGCATTCATGTTTTGTCCAAAAAAGAGTGAAATAAATTATGAAAACCAATGAAAACGTAACATACAAAACGCACAGTATTAGACGGACAGACAGATAATCGAGACAGACAGACAGAAAGACAGACAGATAGGCAGACACAGACAGACGGCCAGACAGGCTGATAGATAGACAGTCATTTCTTTTGGTCCATTCTTCATGAAATTTACACACAGTGCAAAGGGCAGCAGGCATTTTTAAATTAGGTCAAAAACTGAAAAACTGCAAAAATGGAGATACGAGGTTTTGCTTGACAGCAGCGATACATTAATAGTTGTGCAATGTGTATAGACGTATAAACAAAGTAGCAGTGCAAAGAGACATGAGTAAAGAGATGTAATGTAATGTAATGTAATGTAATGTCCAGTTGGTGCTCTGTGAGCCTGTCCTATCCATGGCTCAGTATACAGTAAAGTCCCGGAACAGTGACTGTGTTGTACAGTGCGATCGCTGTTGGTATAAATGCTGAAGGTGCCCCGCTGTCTGACCAGTAGGTCATGGAAGGGTGTGATATATTGTCCAGGATAGCAATGAGTTCATTAATGACCTCCTTTTCTCCACCACCTCAAAGCCATTCAGCGAGCAGCCCATTTGGCAGGAAATGGCAGTTACTAAACTGGGGAAATTTGGGAAAAATGTTGTTTTTGATGTCTCTCTCTCTCTCTCTCTCTCTCTCTCTCTCTCTCTCTCTCTCTCTCTGTCTCTCTCTCTCTCTCTCTCTCTCTCTGTCTCTCTCTCTCTGTGTCTCTCTCTCTCTCTCTCTCTCAGTGAGGAGTCACGCGTGTGAGGTGGATCAGTTCGGCAAAGCTGGCGGCTGCTCTGATATCTGTCTGCTGGGAAACAGCCACAAGAGCCGAACCTGCCGCTGCCAGTCCGGCTTCAGTCTGGGCAGTGACGGCAAATCCTGCAAGAGTGAGTGACCCATCTATAACTCTGACTGACAGCACTGATGATCATTTGAATATTCGAGCAATTATGCGTTCGGGCTGAATGCAGATTTGCTCCAGGGTTAAATGTTTGATCGAGTTTGTCTGCATTCGATTGATCTGATCATTAATCTTCCTCAAACCAGGGCTGAAGGATGGGGGGGGGTACATCTGATAAACATTGCAGTTTAAAATAGTGGAAAATGTGAAATAATGTGTTTTCCTGGTGAATATTTTGCCTCATAACACCCTGCATGTGCCCCTCCACCATACATTTTAGGCCACATTTTCTCAAAACTGTTGTAAAACAGTGTCATGCAGTGTTTTCATAACCATGTCATGTAATAACTTTCTGTGAGGGAGCTTTTAGAGGTGGACGTCTGGTTCCTATCACCACCACTGTAAACAATTCTGACTTTAGAATGGAGCATTGCACACCAAACTACTCTTTCTCGACTTCGTTTACATCTTAACTGTTTGATTTTACAGAAATGTTGAAAAATTGGTGGCGGTCCCCTTAAAGAGATTTTCCTGAAGAGGTTTTAAGCAGCTCACTTAAAACCTAACAGCTTTATTGAGTGAGATACATTACAAGGCAGCCAGTCAAAACAAAGCTCATTTACATATCTCTCTATAACCAAAACAGCCTGTTTAATTCTAAGGAATAAAGAGTTTGAAAATGGTCAGTAAAATTCATTATGACTTGTGGCACATAAACGTCGTAAGTGGACCTCAGGGAAAGAACTGAACGTTAGAAAAATGTAGCGATCGGCCCTTTAAAGCGTGAAACGCTGCCGTCCTGCTCCACTCAGTCTGAGTTCTCGGAGAGGATGCAGTGCCTGCCATGTTTACTAACACCTCTGCTGATGCCAGGTGAGTAGTGAGTGCTGAGTGTTCCTGTTGGCATGCAACCCCTGAGTCACAGCCTTCCTGTCGTCTTCTGTCTGGTTCCCTGTTCTCCTGAGACTCTGTGTAATCAGACAGACTGAGTTCCTCGGCTTCCGCGAGTGCTGTTCTTTTCCTTCAGCGTTCAGCTAAAAGCAAGAAATGCCCAATCAATTTCAAGCCAAGCCGCATCCTTTCATTCCTAGGTGCCTTTTTTAAACTGGAGTGTTTAAGAGTTAAGAGTTTAATCTGCACAGTGAGTGTATTAAAAACAGCAGATCTTATTTCTTCAGGTAGTTTATTCCTCTAAAATATGGGAGACAAATTCATAGAAAGTTTAGCTTTTATTGACACTTAGACGTTAAATAAACATTGTCGCATTTCTACACTGCTTAAATGTATTTATGCCATTAAAAAGTGTTACTAGGTGGTTGCTATGATATTTCAAGTGGTTGCTAAGGCGTTGCTATTTAAAAGTATTTATGCCATTATTAGGTGTTTCTAGGTGGTTGCTGTGGTATTTCTGGTGGTTGCTAAGGTGTTGCTATTTAAATGTGTTTGTGCAGTTATAAAGTGTTTCTAGGTGGTTGCTATGGTATTTCAGATGGTTGCTAGGGTGTTGCTCTTTAAAAGTATTTATGCCATTATAAGGTGTTTCTAAGTGGTTGCTATGGTATTTTAGGTGGTTGCAAAGGGGTTTTATTTAAATGTATTTATGTAATTATAAAGTGTTTCTAGGTGGTTGCAGTGGTATTTCCAGGGGTTACTAAAGTGTTTGCTAAGGTATTGCAGGTAACTTGTAGTGTATGACATGGTGGTTGCTATGGTAACTTTGGTGGTTGCTAAGGTATTTCTAGGCGGTTGCAGTGGTACCACCTGTGCTTGCTAGCATGTTGTTAGGTGGTTGCTGTGGTAAGCCTTGTGGTTGAAAGGCAGTTGCTGCAGTGTTCCAGGTGGTTGCTAGGGTGTTAGACAGTGGTGATTAGAGTATGGTTATTGTATTTATTTGCTTGCTTGGGTATTGTTGAGTTGTTTCTAAGGTATCTAATGTGCTTACTAGGTATTACTAATTCTACTTATATCGTGGTGACGCAACAGAGGTGCATGAACGTTTGATAACATATTCAGTCATTCATTCATACAAGGGAGAAAACCAAATTTAATGGTGGCTGCATAGAAACTGAATGTCCATTCAAAAAACAGGCCACATTTCCCAGTCAGGCTGAACATTCCGGAGTTAGTTTGGTGTCAATAGCTCTGTACAAAAATCCAGAAGAAAAAGAAGAAGAACAGTATAATTTGGGTAGCATAATGTTATGCAATGCCCAGCAACATGCAATCATTAATTCATTAGTTAGAAATATTCAGTGAAGTGAGGAAAACCTCCAGACACTCTTGAGGCTGATCCAGAATGTATAGGAATGTAAATAGTGGATGTTTATTTAAATATCATTTAAAACCAATAAAATCCTGCAGCAGTCCACATCACTGACCACACCCTCTGGGTCAACATCTGATGTCCTTTCTTCAGACTTCAGACACTTTTTAGGTTGATTAGTGTCTTATTTGCTGAGTCAAAAAGATGAATGACTTTTCTCCCTTTTAACCACCATATTGATCAAACTCTGAATCCTGATTTGTAATATTCAATGAGCTGTTGATATTGATCGCTGTTTAGTAAACAAGGACAAAATGCCCTTGTTAAAGATATTGAGGTGAGAATATTGATTCTCTTGACGAAGACGTCTAACTGACGTGCAGGACTTACTGGCTTGTTTTGCTTCAAAATGAGATTTTTACATGATTCTTCAGTCATATGATATTTATGCTGCTGTCATATTAGTGTTCATTGTTGTTTTATTCAATAATAACTTATACAGTTTAGATGCAGGAAGTTATTCAATGTGTGTGTGTATATATATATATATGTATATGTGTGTGTGTGTGTGTGTGTGTGTGTGTGTGTGTGTGTATACACTCTATTTATGAAAAGGAACAGTACAGTAGATCTGTCATGTCCGATTACTCAACCTAAGCCTAAATATTCTGTTTCCTCCGCAGAACCTGAACATGAGCTCTTCCTAGTGTACGGTAAGGGTCGTCCAGGAGTGATCAGAGGGATGGACATTAATCCCAAGGTGCAGGACGAGTACATGATCCCCATAGCAAACCTGATGAACCCTCGAGCGCTGGATTTCCACGCCCAGAGCAACTTCATCTATTTCGCTGACGCCACCAGCTACATCATTGGCCGACAGAAGATCGACGGCACGGAGAGGGACACGATCCTGAAAGAAGGTAGTGGGAACCACGTGCTGGCCAGAGCCCGTTTTAAAAAATATTAAGTGTATTTCTTGTCATTTGTGTGAGTTCTTTAATTTTGAAAAGTAGAAGGACGTTTACTTGAAAACATACCAGTATCTTTACATTTTTCAACAGCAAAAAGGTTTCACAACACTAGCATTACTTCTACTGATTAATTAGCGTTGCTGCTACTGAGTGCTGATTGGTTAGCATTACTTAGTGTCCCTTTGTGTCTGACAAACCCTGAAGACATTGAGTGGCAATTTTCCTCACTAGAAATTCTCTGCTGGAGCTGTACGGCTAATGTAGCTAACAAGTAATGAAAGCATATAGCTTCATTAACCATAATTGTGGCCCTAGAACAGAGCCCTGTGGGACACCACACCAATTTACTGTTGGATATGTAACTTAACAATTTCACATGGTTCAGGGTGAGTGTTTGGTGATTTAGGCATGCAGTTAGCTATTTATGCTAACTGGTTAGGAATAAGCTTCCATTATCTGTTAGCTACATTAGCCTCATAGTTCCAATGCCAAACAAATTTTAGACACTGAACGTATCTTGGTTATGCGACTACATTTGGAGTAAGAGGAAAATCTTGTACACTTTTTGTCTGAACTACCGCTTCAGGGTGATGCTGTTGCTTGGAAGACATTTGTTGTTGTCATGTTGCAGAGTTGTTGTTTTTTTGGACTTCTGTTGCATTACAGTGTCACTCTCTCTATATTTTCCCTCCAGGTATTCACACAGTGGAGGGTATTGCTGTGGACTGGATAGCTAACAACTTATACTGGACGGATGACGGACCTAAAAAGACCATCAGTGTGGCCAGGTTGGAGAAAGCTGCACAGACCAAGAAAACTCTTATTGAGGGCAAGATGACCCACCCACGTGCCATTGTAGTGGACCCAAAAAATGGGTAAGTTTGCATAGTGTCTTTGTCAAATGTGTTTAAAAGGAATGCCATTGTAAGCATTCCTTGTGATTTTGTATTTAGGTGTGCAGGAATTTGTTGAATGTGCATTGTGTTCAAAAGTATTCGGACAGGGCTTCTAGTTAGTAAATTCAGATACTTTAAGGTCACCCGTTGCTGCCAGGCATTTAGTTATGTGGTGTTTTTTGTTAATTGTCGTCGCATTAAACTGCACAGCACAACAGAGGCTTAATGATTCCCCCCATTTTGGAAAATGTTGGCACAGTCATGCAGTGATGTCACAAGACAGACGAGTAGGTTTGCCTTAAAATGAATATTTTTTTAATGGAACAATATGCAGACTTTTTATTATTTGGTTTAACTACTGAATCTCTTGAAGACGTCTGATCATATGTATATATATCTTGTGTTGAAGACGTCTGATCATATGTATGACAAGAAACAGGCCCAGTGGAAGGCAGAGATACTTAAATCACAGAGCTGATCTGAGGTGTGTTGAAAAGTTAGCTGATGTCCTGGATGACGTGCTGAAGAAATGAAAGTTGTGAAAGAATCTCTGGCTCAGTTTACCAGGTTTAGTGTATCTAAACTATTATTGAATGTGTATCTAAACTACTGACAGCATAATTTGTTTGGCTTTAGAGCTGTATTTAAAAATGACGTCTGGAGTGTTCAACACAGCAGTTCTTGGACATGTGAAGCCTAAAGGCTTTTACACGGCAAACGCGGTTATTTAATCACATCTATCACTGATGATATTTAGCATACCAAAGGTGATTTTCCGATTTTGATTATTTTATTCACTCTCTTTTTGATATTTGTGAACTTCAGCCGGTAACAGGATTCATTTGTCCTCTGCTTCCTCGTACATGAAGTTAGCATCTCTGAAAGCGGCTCAAACTGAGCTACAGATATTAAGCTGTATCCAAAAGCTCTCTCCCAGCTCCTCAATGAGGTGATGAAACTCACCGTGCTCCGGAGAGAAGCCCACTTAATGTCATCATTTGCCCATTTGGTGAAGAGCAAAGGATATTTTTATTATTAGGCATTATGCCTGTTTGTTCGTTTTTGTCATTTTCTCAGTCAGACAGTCTCTGTCTGTTTCACTTATTGGTGGTCCTGCCTCAGAATCTTTCCCTATGAAAGACCCTGTTTGTAAGCGTTTTTCATGATGGAGAAATTTCATTCGAATTAAAGGAGAAACGTTTTTGGCTTGCACTGAAAATGTAAACATAGCTAGCATTTTGTATAGTTAAACATAGTTAGCATTTTGCCAGACTAATGAATGCGGTCGACCTAAATATGATGTTCTGGTGTTGCCGATTATTAGTCAGATTCAAAATAACATTTGGTTAATTGTCAACATATTTAAAAAAAAATGACAAAAGTGGTTACAAAAAAAAAACCCTAGCAGTACCACTGCGGCCCATCTTTTCCTGTTCTTGTGAAATGACCTGGTTTCTCTCTCCACATGTTCTGCATATTACAAGCATACAAATGTGTGTGTAGTTTAGCTGGAGATGGTGTAGGACAAAGAACTTACTTCTGTGTGGAGTCATTTAACAAAGTGACTGGAAAACAGGAAACTTTTAAAAAAATGTTCCTGGATCCATAGAGTCACATCTGTGTGTATTTAATCCTTGTTAGGTAACCACGATCATGGTCTTTTTGCTGTTTTATGTCCCTAGTAGAGCTGGGCGGTATGATAACTGTTATTTTGATAAACAGTCGATACCGATACATATCGCGATAAATGTCAAATGATTATTTCTTTCAAGTTTGAAAGCTGATTTTTGCTCCTGTGTGGTCAGTTGCTGTTTTAAACTATCCTTTATGGTCAGAACATGACAAACACTCACCAAACAGAGGAACATTTCACAAATCTGTGATGTGTTAGTGGGAGAAATTCAGCTGTTTTTACCTGCTGGAAAAGCACAGCTGCAATTTTTGTAATCTTCATAATTTAAGAAAGAAAACAGATTATTTTAGCTGTCTGGTTACAAATGCTAAACTGTTTAGTTTCTAAACAGCGTCAGCTTAATATGAACAGCAAACTATTAGCTGACTCGGTACGTCAGTGATGGATCACACTGCCTTACTGCCATCACTCCTACCACATCCATGTCAGAGCATATCACAGTATTCAGGCACCAGCTAGCAGACGGCTGGATTTCTCTATTCTATCATAGTAGTTTGAGGGGTGAACCGCAATATGTCTGACGCTCGCTGTGTAAAAGCATTAACTGCAGTGTGAATCTCTCACAACAGTCACAGAGTCCTCCTTTTAGGTACGTTTTAACTGTAATCTACTTCAAGTTAGCCAGCTGCTAAAAACAGCTAGCCTGAGAAGCTAGTGCTCTCCCACTCTCATACCACACATACAGCATCCTTAGTTTACTTTTGTTTAAATCAGGGCTGTAACTATCATGAACCCACTTTCGTTGCTTGGGAATGCACTAATACTAAAATATAACAGTTTGAGCTCTGTAACACAGCGCTGTAGTTGTGAGGAGCAGATGTGATTTAACGCTGATAAAACTTGTTAGGATGTTAGGATAGAAGTGAGTTCGCTGGTCAGTACAGTTACGCCACTTATCTCATCACTCACACTTGGTCACAGGAGAACAGATCATTTCAGACGTTGCTAAAGTAGATTTGACGACTCCTTTCACTCCTTGACACCCCCCAGTCATATTGAAAAACTCAGAAGTGCGCCCTCTTGTGGTGACAGCAGAGACGGTCAGCTGGGATAGGCTCCAGCACCCCACCACGACCCAGAAGGATAAGCTGTTTAGATGATGTGTGTGTATGTATGTGTTATCCTAGTCACAGTGTGCTGCTGTGTCTGATCCACTCACACCAGCACAACACACACTACATCAGCGTCACTGCAGTGCTGAGAATGACCCACCACCCAAATAATACCTGCTCTGTGGGGGTCCTGACCGTTGAAGAACAGGGTAACAAAGTGTGCAGAGAAACACATGGACTACAGTCTGTAACTGTAGAACTACAAAGTGCTCCTATATAGTAAGTGGAGCTGATAAAATGGACAATATGTGTAGAAACAAGGAGGTGTCCCTAATAAAGTGCTCAGTGAATGTGTATTAGAATATTACGTTATATTGTTTTAGTGTTTGTGTATATAGAAATGCTCACCCACACACAAATGTTCCTGTATAAAGCTGTATAAATGATCTAAGTTTCTGCAGCTAAACAGAACTGATGTAACATCGTCTGAACCCCAGCAACACATTTTCTAGACACGTTCTAAACCAGGCCTCAGCACTACATCGTTCGGAAGGTTTTAAGTGCTTCTGAAACCCTTCCAGCTTTTTTCATTACCAAAGCTTCATGAATAAATGACTGACTGATTGAATGTTTCTTACAAACTCATTTGGAAATCAGCACATGCAGACACTTCTTAGGCGGTACGTTAATAACCATTGTGATTGCTTTTTGGGAAAAAGTAACTGTGCTGCTCTGTCTCGCTGGCCTGGCCGGCTGCATATTTGAAAAATAAATGGGAAATTTTATGCACATACACACACTTTTTCGGTTTTGTTAACTTTGTGGGGACCAAAATGTCCAGTGGGACACTGAGTTATTCAAACTTAAGAGTCTGGAGTTATTATTATATGTTTTGATGATACTATTTTAATGTGCAATTACATAATTGCATTTAGGTTTATATACAATTAGGTTCAAATCTGCACTTTAGACTTTTAACTTTTCAATAAGAATGATAAACACGGCCAACATCATGGTTTTCATTCCAACATTAACTTTTCATCAACTTCAAATCACAATTAAATATCTCCTTTTTTATTAACAGACACATGTGATTTGGAGAGAAAGTTAATTTTTCCACTTGTTTCAGTGAGCTACAAGCGAGAATGTTTCTCAAAATTTTGACCTGAAAAAAGACTTAATTCCCAAATAATTACTTGATACAGGATGACTATTTATTTATTTATTTATTTATTTATTTATTTATTTAACTATCTAGCTGGATGTACTGGACGGACTGGGAGGAGGACCCAAAGGATAGTAAGAGGGGTAAAATCGAGAGAGCCTGGATGGATGGCACCAACCGGAACATTCTACTCACCTCCAAAACGGTTTTGTGGCCCAACGGCCTGAGTCTGGACATACCACAGGGCATCCTATACTGGGTGGACGCCTATTACGACCGCATTGAGATGGTCTACCTCAACAGCACTGAGCGCAAGGTCAGTATGCTGGTAGATATCAGTCGTTCTTCTACATTCACTCTTTATTTTAGAGAATGCTGTGAGTTTCCAGTGTGTTTGGCTCGCCTTCCTGGTTCCTTCACTCAGTGGCCACTTCATGGGGTGAGGTGAGTCGGGGCTGAAATGTAGTATTTTTAATTTAATTAATGAATAAAAAGTTGAATAAGTAAAGACTGAAGCAACATGAAAGTAATTTTTTAGTGAGATGGTCCTTTTGCACACGAGAGATCCAGAAGATCCATCAATATGAGGCTTTTCATTTAAACCCCATTGAGAACATCTGGTCTCACGTTAACCACAGATTAACTGGACAATTGACATTGTTCACCACTGAGCCACTGTGGGAGGCTATTAACACTCGATGGAACAACATGAGCTATGTTGAATGTCATGCAGTTTTCTGTTCACCCATTTCTCAGTTTTGTCCCATGGTGTATGGTAGGTGTTTCTGATAAATTGGCCAGTGTAGGTACAGGACGGCAGACAGACAGACACACAGACAATAGATGGATAGATAGACACACTGACAGACAGACAAATATATAGATAGATAGGCAGACAGATAAATACAGAGGCAGGTAGACAGACAGATGGGCAGACAGATAAATATATAGGCAGGCAGACGGACAGACTGATAAATACAGGGGTGTGAAAAAGTGTTTGCCCCCTCCTGATTTCTTATTCTTTTGCATGTTTGCCACACTTAAATGTTTCAGATCACCAAACAAATTTAAATATTAGACAGAGATAACAGAAGTAAACACAAAATGCAGTTTATAAATGAAGGTCTTTATTATTAAGGGAAAAAGAAACCCAAACCTACAGTGCCCTGTGTGAAAAAGTGATTGGCCCCAAAACCTATTAACTGGTTGGGCCACCCTTAGCAGCAACAACTGCAATCAAGCGTTTGCGATAACTGGCAATGAGTCTTTTACAGCGCTGTGGAGGAATTTTGGCCACTCATCTTTGCAGAATTGTTGTAATTCAGTCACATTGGAGGGTTTCAGAGCATGAACCGCCTTTTTAAAGTCATGCCACAGCATCTCAATCGGATTCAGGTCAGGACTTTGACTAGGCCACTCCAAAGTCTTAATTTTGTTTTTCTTAAGCCATTCAGAGGTGGACTTGCTGGTGTGTTTTGGATCATTGTCCTGCTGCAGAACCAAAGTGCGCTTCAGCTTGAGGTCACGGACAGATGGCTGGACATTCTCCTTCAGGATTTTTGGTAGACGGCAGAATTCATGGTTCCATTTACCACAGCAAGTCTTCCAGGTCCTGAAGCAGCAAAACAGCCCAGACCATCACACTACCACCACCATATTTTACTGTTAGTATGATGTTCCTTTTCTGAAATGCTGTGTTACTTCTATGCCAGATGTAATGGGACATACACCTTCCAAAAAGTTCAACTTTTGTCTCGTCAGTCCACAGAGTATTCTCCCAAAAGTCTTGGGGATCATCAAGATGTTTTCTGGCAAAACTGAGACAAGCCTTTATGTTCTTTTTGCTCAGCAGTGGTTTTCATCTTGGAACTCTGCCATGCAGGCAATCACTTTTTCACACAGGGCCCTGTAGGTTTGGATTTCTTTTTCCCTTAATAATAAAGACCTTCATTTATAAACTGCATTTTGTGTTTACTTGTGTTATCTTTGTCTAATATTTGAATTTGTTTGGTGATCTGAAACATTTAAGTGTGACAAACATGCAAAAGAATAAGAAATCAGGAAGGGGCAAACACTTTTTCACACCACTGTATATAGGCAGACAGATAAATAAATAGGCAGACAGGCAGACAGATAAATATATAGGCAGACAGACAGATAAATAGATGGACAGACAGACAAACAGACAGACAGATTGATTAAAAAATCAGGCTTGTTTCCATTGAGGTCATCGAAAAGGTACCAAGATGACAGATTGATGTTCAAGCAAAAATAAATAAATAAGAACTGCTTTAAAATGATGCCGCTTCCCAGGTACTCATATTATTTAGCAGACCTTTCTTCAAAATGAAAAACTGGCAACTTTAGTTTAATTTTTGTTTTCCAATTTTAAACAAAATCAAATGAGAGGGTTTGTTAAAGGATCTACTTTTATGTGTGGGTTCTTTGATAACGGTTTCTAGCCTCATATACTTATTAGACCCTTGTTTCATAGCTGAGTTATGACACTAAACTGTCTGTCTTTCCTCTCAGACTGTCCATGAAGGCCAGGAGCTGAGCCATGCCTTCGGTCTGTGCCATTACAAGCACTTCCTGTTCTGGAACGAGTACCGCAGTGGCAGCATCTACAAGCTGGACCAGGAGACCAAGACTGTGACGCTGCTGCGCAACGAGCGGCCCCCCATCTTCGAAATCCGCATGTATGACGCTCAGCAGCAGCAAGGTGCAGCTCTTCTTCCTGTTTATCTCTCACTCTGCTCCTCGCTCTGATTTGCCTTTTAGAATGCCGGCGGTCTGCAGTGGTCTGTGTATGATCAGTGTTCTAATCATACAAATACTTCTGTTTTGACTCAACTGATTAAGCACTAATTTTCTTTACCAAAGATTTGTTGGCACAGAAGCCAGAAAAAAGGCCTGGAACTTAAATTATAGGAAATAGCTGCGTTTAAGTATTAAAAAAAAGAATGCAATTATACTGAAAAAGCGATTTCTTAACAAGATAAATCATCTCAAAGCCTAAAGTCTAAATATCCAATATTATCTGCCAATGTAATGGTGTAATTTTATTTAATACTCATAATCTCAGAATGAAGAGTTTCAGACATATTGACTGGATTTGATGCAAATACCTTTTTTTGCAGTGTAGATTTTTTCCCCCAAGTGGTTCAGCCCTAGCTGATGTCACGTTTTTCCCTCACCAGTCAGAATTAAGACAGGTAGCTTGTGTGTTTGTTTATCTGGCATTTTAACAGTTTTATAGGCTGTATCCAGGACTCTGCAAAGAAAATTGTAAATGCTGAAGCACAAATTAAAAAAAATCTGAAATAAAAACTACATAATAGAAATAGAAATAGCTGTTTTTTGCATGAGTTTAGTATTATTAAAAATTGCTGTGGTCTTTATATGACTTATACATGTTTAGTGTTTGAGTTTAAACTCTTGTGTGGTGTTGATGTTTTTGTTACTCTGTGGTCTGGTGGACCCACAGCATTATTGTTTTTTAAATCGATTCAGCCGTAACAATTTATGTAAAAATGTCAGGTGTTTAAAATACCACAAGTGTCCAGCGTAGGGTTCTCCCTTAGCAGCTGTAGCCAGTCAGCAGACTGTCCATGTTGTCCACCCTCACACACACATACACACACACACAAACAGCAGGCCATGTAGGAGGAGAACAGAGTGAAGAGACACAGCACCTCCATAGTTTTATTCCCTGTGGGTTCACCCCAACACCACATGTGTAATATAAATGTGTAGGGGGTGAACAGTGTGAAGTCACTGAAAATGTGTTATATGTTCTTCACAAAAAATGAGAAAAGCCCAAGGAATCTGAGGTTGAAAAAATAAATCGCATCCTTTTTTTTGTGGTAAACATAGAAAATGGGCTCAACAGACCTGAACACCACACAAGGGTTAAATTACTCATATGAACATGTTCAGTGTATTTTGTGTGCTGGTCACAGTTCTGTCCTGCGTTTCTCTGCTCTGACTTTGCTCGGGTGTGTGTTGCAGGTACTAATGCATGTCGAGCAAATAACGGAGGCTGCAGTAGTTTGTGTTTGGCCACTCCAGTGGGCAGATCATGTGCCTGTGCTGAGGACCAGCTCCTGGACCCGGCGGACAACACCAGCTGTAAAGGTAACATACACGTACGCATACCCTAGGTGCTCAGATGCCAAATCTCCGGAGTCCTAAACAAGTCTGCAAGTTTGGATAATTAAAAAATAAAATCAATCGCTAGTATATCAAATTATCATCAATTTACACCAGCAAAAAACAGCACCAGACCAGTTTACATCAGCATAAACCAGCATAAAACAGCACCACACCAGTTTAAACCAGCATAAACCAGCACCAGACCAACTTAAACTAGTATAAGCCAGCACCAGATCATCTTAAAACAGCATAAACCAGCATAAGCCAGCGCTAGACCAGCTTACGCCAGTATAAACCAGCAAAAGACCAGTTTACACCAATATAAACCAGCTTAAACCAGCATAAGACCAACTTAAACTAGTAAAAGCCAGCACCAGACCATCCTAAAACAGCATTAACTAGCATAAACCAGCACTAGACCAGTTTACACCAGTACCATCCATCTTACACCAGCATAAACCAGATTAAGAAAGCACTTCGGTCATGTCCTGTCAGCTCTGGGGATTGAACCGGCGACCTTCCCGTCACAAGGCTGGTTCCCTGACCTCTAGCCCATGACTGCCCCAAGGCTGGTACCAGACTGACATATACCAGCATAAACAGTACTACACCATCATAAACCAGCACCGTCCATCTTACACCAGCATAAACCAGCACCACACCAGCATAAACTGGCATGGACCAGCACCAAAGCAGCATAAATTAGCACCAGACCATCATAAAGCAGCATAAACCATTTATCAGTTTAATGATGGGGTAAAAGTCCAAGTCATGTGATTTCAGTCCACACCTCTGACAGACACATATTTACACAAACACATATGAGCATTTTTTTTTTTATAAAAACGACACATATGGCATTCATATGATATAATTTCTAGCAGTAGCAACAGCTACTGACCAGCCAGCTTACAGAACAGCATTATTAACCAAATCTAATATCCCACTTACTCCGTAAATGTCTCCGTAAAATTGTTTTCTTCGTCGAATAGTGTGTGACTCAAGCTAGCCACTCTAAATCCTGTTAACAAACAATAAACAAACATACCAAATTACTCTAAATATGTTCACTGCAGTTATTAAATGATATTAAGCTCATTCCAGTAGTTGTTTTTCAATATTACACTGAGACCCCAGAGACATTCCCTCCCACGCTGCATTCCATCTCTTCAAAAGCAGTTTAAGATTAAAAAAAAGAAATTATTTTCACTAATATCTCATATGTTAGGACGACAGAAGGAAATGTATCAGATATTAAATTCTTCCATTCCAGCGGAGACATGACCTAAATGGTAAATCTAAAGATATGAGAGATTAGGAAGATGAGCCGTGTTCCAGTTCAATAGTGAAAAGAAAATGGATAAAGAAAGAGTGGAGCAAATCCGGTTTATGCAAGCCACTTGACTGTAGGGTCAGATTAAGAGCCGTGTTTGGAAGGAAAGTTTTAATAAGAAAAGATTAAGAAGGGGTTTTGGTGGTTTTATTAAAGTTGGAAAGTTTTATTAACTCTTTACTGCATGCTGTTGCTGTATGGCAACAATTTAATTAGAATGATTTTTTTCTAATTACAATATAAAAGTCCCTTTTTCCCAGTTCCCAGTTTCCCAAATCACAGCACGTAGTGAGCATACAGTTTCTTTTTTATAGATAAAACCAGTTAAGATGCTTCATATAAAATGGTAAAATATAGTTGTTGCCCTATGGCAACAGCATGTGACCAGAGATAGGTAGGTACTAGATGCATTTACTCAAGTACCGGTACTTGAGTGAAATATTGATTCATTTGTACTCTGAGTATTTACAAATTGTAATCCTTTCACTTCTACTTGAGTATATTACAGTTACAATTTTAGCTGTTCATATTTAGTTACTAATTCCTTTTTTGTGTTTAACTTCATGCTGTTTTGTGAGATGACACCTGTACTGCTTCATTATTGGTCACATCTTTGACTTTGGATCTTTGGCATTTTACTTTAGACCAAATTAATCCAAAAAAGAGAAAAATAGAGCCGTACAGTCTTTAGTTCCTGTGTTGAGATGCTGGGAGAAGCTTCACTGCAGTTCTATGAGCTACTCAGAGCTTGAGTATTTTTTTTGACCTGATACTTTTATACTTTTTCACAAGTTGCTTTATTTGAAGGTATTTGTGCCATTATTTTACTCAAATGTCAGTACTTTTACTTGAGAAATGAAGGTTCTGTGCAGGTACATTTTTCATTCAACAAGGCCCAAACAATGTAAATATCCTCTCAAAGGTACAACAGTGGTTTAAGGTCCATTTGTGAACCTTAAATAAGTTGCTCCAGGTGAAAAGTATGTATTTGTACCTTTTCATAACCGAATGTTTTAAAACAGAACAATAAAATAAAAAGTCTGGAGACGAGACGGGGTGTGTGGAGTCAATACAACTTAGAAAATATCATTTCAATGGATTATGGCACAGTTATGTTTTTTTGAGTGTAAATATTCACTGGAGCTGCACTGTCTGTTCTTTGTTGAACACGACCAATATCTGCTCCTTTCAGCTCTCCTGTTACAGACCTGTTTTAAAGAGAATCACTAAAAGTGTCTTTGTCCTGCAGCAAATCCGTCCTACATCCCTCCTCCTCAGTGCCAGCCTGGCGAGTTCGCCTGCAAGAATAATCGCTGTATTCAGGACCGCTGGAAATGTGACGGAGACAACGACTGTCTAGACAACAGCGACGAAGCCCCCGAACTCTGCCGTGAGTGTGGATGTGCTTTTCAACCATTTTTGCTGTTCAAATATCCACAATTCACAAACATCACCTGCAAAAATGTGGGACAGTATGTGATAGAAAAAAAAGTTGAATTCCAAAATGCTGTATGTCTATTTGTAACGGAATAACAGATGATATAGTGGAAGAGATTTTTCTTTGGTATGATATTAATTATAATATAGCACTAGCCACTCCCAGCAACATATGTCATGAAAAAAGAACATTTTTGAAAGTGGTCTATATTGTGTTTTGAAATGAAACCCTTCCAATGCAATGTACAGGGGGTCCCAAAAAAATGGACATCATTTGAGGTGTGAATATCTGAGTAAGTACATGTCCTAGGCAAATGAAATTAAATAGGCTTCATGTTGAACAATACAAGATTTATTTATCAAAATTCGAACAAGAAATTTAGAGGGATGTAGATTTTATAACTGATTTCTTCCGATACTGCTGGTCATCCAGATCCCTTTTCCCTGCACAGACAGCCTTCCTCTTTGAATTTTTTGTGCCATGTCCAAATCTGCTTTCCAGTTGTTTTGAGTTTTCTCGAAAATGCACGCTGTACACTCTTGCTTGACTGTGTTTGAGCATATTCTCTTTTCATTTCTTTTCTAGTGAATGCCATTCTTCAACCTGAAAAAAAAAAACATTAAAAATTAAACTTGGTTAGTTTTTACACATTTTGTTAAAATTTGAGATCATTTGAGGGAGAATTTATTTTATTTTATTACTTTTTTTTTTTTTAAGAGATGCCTTGCTTATTTCAACATGACAACACCAAGAAACATTCTGCATGTGTTACAACAGCATGGCTGCATAGTCAGACAGTGCGGGTGCTTGACTGACCTGCCTGCTTCGTATTGAAAACATGGTGCATTTTAAAGTACAGAATATGGCAATGAATGCCCCATACAGCTGCACAGCTGAAGACTTGTAAAATGGAAGAACGGCAAAAAACATTCATTTTCAAAACTGGATCACTTTGTGTGTTCAGCCCCCAAGTGATTATTCAGTGCTGTTTAAAGGAAAATTAGTAACTCAGTGGTAAACCTGCTCCTCTTCCAACATTTTTGAAACACATTCATCAAATTTGGAATGAGCAAATATTTACAAAAAACAGAAATATCAATTTAATACAGGTCAAGCATTATTTACAATCTCTGCTTTGTGTTTTATTAGCCTTTCACATACTGTCCCAAATTTTTTGCAACTGAGGTTTGTGTATCCTGACATAGTATTTAATTTGGCTATGAATAAAAGAATGGAAAACGTAGGAAGTTTGTTTATTGTGTGCAGCTAGCATAAGAGGTGGTCCATACCTGATCATTCGTTTGATTCATAGTCAATTATAGAGACGATAATTTTAGGCACATGTGATTTCAAAGCCAACCTGAAATCAAAACTGACCTTTCTTATCTTGTTGGTTCGTGTTTCTGGTCATATGAAGAGCAATTTATCTTACAAAAGTTGTGATGCTGTGTGAAGTGTAAATAAATGTAAATGAAAACAGAATGTAAAGATTTGAAAATCTCAGACCCCTTTTTTTATTTACAATAGAACATAGAACATATCAGATGTTGAAAGTGAGACATTTTACCATTTCATGAAAAACATTAACTCATTTGGAAGTTGATGGCAGCAACACATTGGAATTGGGGCTGTATTTCAGGGAATTAACTCTTGTTTTCCTGTAATCTTCCATTAAAGTAAAATGGCTTTTGCCCCACCTTCTATCTTCAGTGTCTTCAATGCCTACAATGTCACCATGTACCAGTGGGCCAGGCAACATAATATTACCAATGAAATATTCCTCTTTCCCCACCTATCATGGAGAGAAAACGCTCAGCTAGCTCTGAGAACCTGTCTAATACAGAGTTTCTCTCATGAAAGGAGAACCAGTTATGGTTTCACTCTCATGCTGCTGTCCTTTCATATTAGCTGACCTACAGAACGAGAACAGGTCCCTCTGTTTCTTTATCCCCTCCAGATCAGCACACCTGTCCTACTGACCGCTTTAAGTGTCAGAATAACCGCTGTATTCCCATGCGCTGGCTGTGTGACGGAGACAACGACTGTGGAAATGATGAAGATGAGTCCAACACCACATGCTCAGGTACATACACGCCAACATACAGGCTGAAATACACACGTTTAAACTCATGAAAGAAAAAGACAAACACATAGTTTTTGTCTGAAGTGCTTCCTGAAAAATAAAAATAAATAGGTAAATAAAAAAACAGCAGCTGTTCTTTACATTGTGAAAAACGTTAACAATGAACAGACCAATAAAAATATATTTATTATAATTGTGTCTGTATGTAATAATAATGTCCCATATGTGTAAAGTTTAATCCTATACATTCTAACATTAACCTCATTAACCAAGATGAAATCATTTTTGTTTGATCAATTTTTGTAAAAAGCAATATTTTAACTTACCAACTTCCTTGTTATTGTAAATATCCCCTGAAATTAAAGCTGCATCTTGTTCCATTTTGTTGTATCTGTAGGCTAGAACTGTTTGTCTCTGGTTTTACTACAAAGTCCTTCAAATGTACAAAAAACACACAAACACACACACTCACACAGTGCTGTAGTGGACAGTGCAGAAATCCGGCCCACACTGAGAGGTCTATACATGACTGTTGACCTTTAGCTGAATGTTCTATCTTGAAATATGCACTGATACACGTTTCTTGTCAGAATAAGTGCAGATAAAGGACGATTCCAGCTCTTGTCATCTCTTGTCATTTTAATCCAGACCATTTTATCTGTTTGAAAAGGGCAGCCAGTGTAGTTTTATTCTTCAGAGGTTGGTTCTCCTCCAGAATGTTAAGATGTGCTTTCCTGTTGGCCTTCACTGTAACCTGGACAGACGCTTACTGTCGGCTAGAAATGTTTACAGCTGCTGCGGCTAAAGGAAGACACTTTTCTAATTTTGTATCTTTGTCATATGAAAATATCACCTATTAGACTTATGTAGAGTAACACAGTTAACCAAGTCAAAATTAAAAAGATCAGTCATTCTATAAATGTAGTAAAATTACAATGATAAAATCAATAGATAGATAGAAAGCAAGACACAAAGGAGGGAAGCAAGGAACTGAGGAAGAAAGGAACTAGGGAAGGAACAAAGGAAGGAACTAGGGAAGGAACTAAGGAAGGAATGAACTAACGTAGGAAACAAGGAAGGAACTAACTAACTAAGGTAAGGAGGGAATTAAGGAAGAAAGGAAGTAAGGAAGGAACTAATGAAGGAAGGAAGAAAGGAAGGAGCTAATGATGGAAGGAAGGAACTAACGTAGGAAACAAGGAAGGAAGGAACTAACATAGGAAACAAGGAAGGAGCTAATGAAGGAAGGAAGGAAGGAACTAATGAAGGAAGGAAGGAAGGAACCAAGAATGGAAGGAAGGAAGGAAGTAACGAACAAAGGAAGAAAGGCAGGAAGGAAGGAAGGAACTAAGGAACGAAGGACCTAACGAAGGAAGGTAGAAAGGAAAGGAAATTGTCACAGTAGCAACACATGTAGTTGCATATAAACATACTTATATTGGGCACAAATACAAATAGACATAAATTAGGCAGAAATAAAAACATGCATAAGAGTAAAATATGAGGCAGTAGAAGCATCTCTATTAGCATATTTACATTAGCATATAGGACAGATTCTGTTACATTAAATTACTCAGGAGTAACCGACAAATCAGCTGGTCAGCTGTGGTCATTTTATTAGTTTATAGAGCTTTTAGCCTGAACGCTATGGTATCTGTCCTCCTCCTCAGCTCGGACGTGTCCTCCTAACCAGTTCTCCTGCGCCAGTGGACGGTGTATCCCCATCTCCTGGACCTGTGACCTGGACGATGACTGCGGTGACCGCTCTGACGAGCCTGCCTCATGCGGTACAGCAACTCCACTTTGAGTTGAAAGGGGCTGTGAACTGATTTTCTTAATCTGCATGCTTAACATATATGGTTTATATAGAATATGGTACAGTATATGGTTCTATATAGAATCCTATTGAAAATAGTTCTATATAGCACCTAAAAGGGTTCTGCTATTGTTACGAAGTCAAGCAACAAAAGCAGAACCCTGTACAACACATTCGCCATCAATCTGAAGAACTATTTCACAATGCAAAGAACCATTTAAGCATGCAAGTGCACTGTTAAAAAAGATGGTTCTTCAAGGGTTCTTTAGTAAATCGTTCTGAATAGAACCAAGAACACTCAAAGAACCATTTGCATGATTAAAGGGGTCTTTGTGTTACGAAAGAGTTCTTCAGATTGTTGGAATATGTGTTGTATATGGTTCTATATAGAACTTTTTTGAAAAGGGCTCTGCTATTGTTGTGATGCCAAGCTTGTTAGGAGAGAAGAACCTTTTTTGGTGCTATATAGAACCCTTTTCAAAAAGGTCCTATATATAACACATTCTCCATCAATCTGAAGGACCCTTTCATGATTCAAAGAACTCTTTAATCATGCAAGTGTTCTTTGAATGTTCTTGGTTCTGTATAGAACCATTTTCTTTACTAAAGAACCCTTGAAGAACCGTCTTTTTCAGGAGTTTGTTTATACTTTTATTAAATTTACTGTTAATTGTCCAGTAAACAACAGTGTTGGCTAGTGTTTTTCCTCCTGTATCAAAATTAAAGCAGATTTTTTTATCAGCTGCTCTCCGTCCACTCAAACCAAAAGCTCTCAGTTTGCCTATATTGCCTGAATATGGCTGAAATGATCTTTTGCGTGAATATTAGGTTATTAAAATGCACTGTTGTGATGCAGTTTGAGATTACTTATTATTTTGTGATACTTTCTCCCATTTCCAGCCTACCCCACCTGCTTCCCCCTTACCCAGTTCACCTGCAACAACGGACGCTGCATCAACATCAACTGGCGCTGTGATAATGGTGAGCACTGATAGTTATCTGTATTATTTTTCATCACCATGTACTGTCTGTTTCTGTCTGCTTGCCTTTTTTGTTGTGGGTTTTTTTTTTTGCATGCATTTCTGCCTTTTCTTTGTCTGTGACCTTCAGTCTGTCTAGTATTATGTGTAGTTTTTAGTGTATATTAGGGCTGTCCCTATTGATTATATTGCTAATTGAGTAATCTACCAACTATTTGGCGATCGATGACAGTAATCACAGTTTTTAAGATGTAAACAGAGTCATTCAGAGTGGTTTGGTGTGAAATGCTTTGTTCTAGAGAAACTTACCGAGTCAGAATTGTTCACAGTGGAGGTGATAGGAACCAAACATCCACCTCTAAAAGCTCCCTCACAGAAAGTTATTACATGAAATGTTTCTGAATACACAGCCTGATGTCTGACACATTGTTTAACGATAGTTTTAAGAAGGTTTTGGCCTTTAAATCCATTCATGGTGGAGGGATACATAACATGCAGACTGTGTTTACATCTTTACCATTTAATTTTGTGAATTATTTTGAGAGATTCTTCTTTATAAAGACTTCAGTCATTCATTAAGAAGGTCAATTTTAATAAACGTGTATATTCTGAGCTATCCTGACAGCCCCAGTGTACATTAGTGTAGTTTTTAGTGTAGAACAGCTTCTCTGAATGTGTTTTTGTTCATTACCTCATTTGTCCTTGTTTGTTATGTGACATCGTCTCCTCTGTTCTGTGCCGTTTGCTCCTCCCTCCCCGTCTCCAATTGGCTCGCTGTTGCAGAAAAGGATTGTTTGGACGGCTCTGATGAGTTGAATTGTCCGAACCCGACCGGTTAGTGCATAGAACAACATGCACCATAATAATGAGTAATAAAAATAATGATAATAATAATTAATAGTTCAAATTAATATTCAGTTACTACAGAAAATGTATATTTTTTAATTTATTTAATCTTGCTATTAGGTAAAATCATTAAGATTACAAACGCTGGAGCAATTGCTATTAAAAACTTTGTGTGTTTTATAGGTGCAGTCGTATGCAAAAATTTTGGCACCCCTGGTCAAATTTAAAAAAGAATAGACAAATAGAAAAAATAGATAAATTTGGCCTGTGCAAAAGTTATGGCAGATTTTATGTTGTTTTATTTTTTGTTAAACTCCTGATTAGTTTTTTGTTAAACTCCATATGTTTTCTGTACAGGATTTGTTCACTTATTTTAACTTAGATTATCATAACAAGAAGCAATTTGAACATTTACATATGACTGTGTAATGTCAGCAGGTTCTGGAAATATTTAGTATTTTTACATCTTTAGATAACAGCATAAAATAATACCATCCCATGCTGTCATGTAAGTTTATGCAGTGAGAATTCATGCTTCAGCAGTGCATCTGTGCAAAGTGCAAATTCACGTTTTCCTCATGGTGCATGGTTTGATCTATGCAGTTTCTGTGATTCGTATTTTCTTTTATATTATTGTGTGTGTGAGTGTGTATGTGAGAGCATTAATAGACACTGAAATTTAAGAGTTCAGAAGTTTGGAATCATTGTTTTTACCAGTTTGGTTGCAGATAAATGTATAAAATTACTCTAATATTTTAGTTCTTTGCAAATATGCAGGTTTGAAATAATGAGAAAGTGAAATAATAACAATAATAATTATTACAACAAATTTCTATTAATGAAAATTAATTTAGCTGTGTAAAATTGAGAATTAAGTTATAATAAAGTTAAGATCTATTTGTAAACTTCTGTTCAGTTGTCGAGGCAGATAACATGACAGAAATGATTGTACAGATTGTACAGATAATTACTGTATTTTATCAGTATTGTTTCTGCCTTAACAAAAATCTAGTTGGTTTTTAATTTTGTACGTTATTTAAAAATGCCTGCTGTCCTTCACATTGTGTGAGAATTTCATGATGAATGGAGAAACAGAAATGCTCTAAAGTGATTTGGAATAAAATATTTTACATTACCTTCCATTCAAAATTGTGAATATTTTAATAAGTTCCCATTACCAAAATATTATATATGCAATATGTAATTATAGTATATTATAATATACTACAACATACTGATTTTGTTGTTTTCCTAAAGTGTATAAAACATCTGCATTGTATAAGCTGTATAAAATATCAGCTCATTAATGTACAGTGATTCCAGGCTTATGAACTGTAGTGTATGTGCTGTTGTATTCAGTCAGACTCTTCTCTGATTTCAATACTGATATTCAGCATTGATTACTCAGTATTACTGAATGTGTACAGTAGTGAAGTGCAGTCTGATGTATAAGGACTCGTGTAAACTGCTCCACACTGGTGACCTCACACTGCGTTTCAGATAACGACTGCGGCGATAACAGCGATGAGGCGGGCTGCAGCCACTCCTGCTCCAGCACGCAGTTCAAATGCAACAGCGGCCGCTGCATCCCCGACTACTGGAAGTGTGACGGAGACAACGACTGTGGTGACTACAGTGACGAGAACAACGCCAACTGCACCAATCATGGTGAGTTTCGGGTCCTTGTCCACCAATCATGGCATGTTTCTGCACATTTTGATGTACAGTTACTGTTTATGTGCTGAGTTTAACAAACTGGGGGAAGAAATAAAACATTAAATGTGCTATAATGTTTGCAGAGGTTTTATTTTCACCCAGTATATTTCACACAGTAAATTAACATCAGTTGTGCATTAAAATGTGCAGAAGTGTGGTTAATGCACAATTAAGAGGATGTGTTAATGTGTTAACTTGTGTGTTAACCTCTTATAGGGCTGCTGCTAATGATTCTGTAGTATTTGAATAATCTTTAGATTTTTAGTATCAATGTGTTGTTTAATCCAAATAATTAATTTTCATATAAGAAAACTATAGAAGAAAATACTTTTTATTTTTTTCCATTAAAAAAAATATACTTGCAGTTCCATTGATTAATTGAAAAATTTTGCTTTAAAAAAAGTCAATAAACGGAGGCCTGAGTATCAATGTTATATATATGTCAAGTATAATTGACATATCTAACATGTTTTGAATGCACATTTGTTTACAAGTCTGTTTAGAGTCGCAGTATATCACAATATATCACAATATATCACAACTTTGTCTCAGATGTTTAAATACCACAATAGAATCATGTCACTGCACAAGCAATGTATTGTGAGACCTTCAACCATTCCCACCCTTAATAACAGCCTGATGACATGTAATAATAATACATGCAAATAAACATAAACACAGAACCTCAGTACTTCAAATGAGCTGTTTAGTTTTGAAATTATGCAAAAATTCTGAAAATTTGGTCGAGTTTGCAACATATCTGTATACACAAACACAGTTTTCTGGTTAACTGAGCGCTCCGCCACCCCTGCTGTGTGTGATGAGTTTGGAGAGGCAGGTGAGGAACGGCAGCTTTAATGAAGGTCAGGCGAGGCTAACCGGGCAGACTGCCTGAGGAGAGAGACTCCAGCAGCTATTTAACCACTCTTTATTCACAGCATGTCTCTCGCCCTCTCCATCTCTCTCTCTCTTTCACACACAAACGTTTTCTTCTCTCCCTCCCAGAATCCATCACAATCGAGTATCTGAACAGATTCTTCAGCTTCAGCTGTGCATCATTTAATCACATTTATTTAATGTTTTGAATCCAGACTTGCACTGTATATGTGTAAAAATCTGTAGACTCCAATGTTTCCTCTGGTATTAACAGTGAGTTTGTGCTGCAGTAACAGCCTCTACTCTCCTGGGAAGGCTTTACACTAGATGCTGGAACATTGCTGTGAGGATTTGATTGAGCATTATTGAGGTCAGGTACTGATGTTGGACGGTCAGTTCTGGATCAGATCTAACCCAAAGGCAATATTGTGCAATTGTGCGACTCTGTTTACATCTTAACCCTTTAATTATGCAGAGTTTTTTACAAATAGGTAGAGCTCCCCTTTAAGAGGATCCTTAGCCTGAAGTTTAGAGCGAGGAGCAGCCTCTCAGTTAGAGAAAAGGAAACTTTCAACATGTCTCCTTTTTTTCCATCACCCAGACAGTAGCCACGTTTACATGCAGCCTAATAATCCGTTAATAATCAGACTAATAGCTTAATCCGAATAGAATACGTCCATGTAAACACCTCAGTCTGAATAGACTAGTCTAGTTGAGGCCATCCAGCATACAATTTCTATCCGATTGGACAAGGTGGGTAACCCTGTAAATAATCTATTAAATAGAAGAATAATAACCATGTAAACGTCTGTATCTGATTACATTCCCAATCGGAAAGTTCAAGTATGTTTTGTTCGTTTGCGTCATAACGAAAGTTTATAACGTTCAACATGGCGGGAGCAGAAGCTGGTCTGCAGAGAAGACGAAGTTTATGCTTTGATCGGTGGTGGGACGGGCGTCCAGCTTATGTGTCTCAGAACGTGACGTCTTCCTCTCAGCCTTCTTTAATAAGTACATGTGAAGAATGTTTACCCGAGTCTGACATCATTTTAGAGTAATTAAAAACACAAGCACTGCTCACTGCTGCTCATCTCACTCTGAGCAGTTATTTTTGGTGTTTTGCTGGGCAACTGTTGCCACCAGACTGACGGCTCCAACAGCCACAGGTGTGTTGCTCACGTGATCGGCTGCTTCACAGCTCTTTAGAATGACTTCATTCATTTTAACTGATTTACTGCTATCATTTTATATTGTTTATACATGATTTAGTGATCGTTCTACTTTATTTAGGCTGTTCATTAAATTTCATTTTTATTGAATTTCTCTTTATGCATGCTTCGTCCTGCTCCCACCTGCAGGGGGCTGGTTACCTGCCCGCTCCCGCAAACAGCACTGAAGATTTGAAAAGCGCGCTTAGCTTTACTTTTTAAACTAAGTACACCAAAATTAGAATAATACTATACTACTGATACTATTGGACATTTAATGATCATGAAGCTGGAACCAACACGCATGTTTACTGAGGCATTTTCTGGCACTCAGATTAAGTTTGTGTGCAAATCTTAGTTGCTCAGTTCCAAGATTTGCTGTGACATAAATCAGATTTCAGAATTTCAGAACACTATCATATGGTTTTACTTTCCAGAGATCTGATATTATTTAAGCTTTAATGACTGAAGCTAACTTAAAAGCAGGATATTAGAGGGCCTGTGATTCATTACTGTGACTGAAATATGGATATATATTAAAAGCTTTGATGAGGTGCTCTCATAGAGCAGTTCTGTCTGTGAAATTCTGAAAAATTGGTGAAGTTTTCCTTTTTTTAAAGAAGGAATCACAGCATTTTGCTTTCTCTTGCTGTAGCTTCACTGATGTAGAAGATTATGACAAGGTCAAGGCTTCATCTGTCTGTGTTCTCTCTTTCTCTTTCTCTTTCTCTCTCTCTCTCTCTTTCTCTCTCACTCTCTCTCTCTCTCTCTATCTCTATCTCTCTCTCTCTATCTCTCTCTCTCTGCAGCCACTCGTCCTCCGGGCGGCTGCCACACAGATGAGTTTCAGTGCCGGATGGACGGCCTGTGCATCCCACTGCGCTGGCGCTGCGATGGCGACACCGACTGCATGGACCTAAGCGACGAGAAGAACTGCGAGGGCGTCACTCACATGTGTGATCCAGCTGTCAAGTTCGGCTGCCGAGATTCTGGTGAGGATTTATGCAGTGTTTGCCAGTGAATTCGCTCCTCTGAACCCGAGACCCCTTCAGTCTGCATTTGAGTATTAATTGTTGGACCTCTTTGATTCTACACTTCTAACAAAAGATGGTTCTTCAAGGGTTCTTTAGTAAAGACATTAATAGAACCGTGAACACTCAAAGAACCATCTGCATGCGTAAATTGTTCTTTGCATGCTGAATGGTTCTTCAGATTGATAGAGAATATGTTGTATATGGTTCTATATAGCGACAAAAAATGTTCTTTTATTGTTAGAAGCTTGACATCATAGTAACATAAGATCTCTTGTTGGTGCTATTTAGCAGCATTTTCTTAAAAGGTTCTATATAGAACCATATACAACACATTCTCCATCAAAGAACTGTGCAAAGAGCCATTTAAGCATGCAGATCATTCTTTGAGTGTTCATGATTCTATATAGGATCATTGTCTTTACTAAAGAATTTAAGAGTCACCCTAAATGTAGTCAATCAGCCAAAACATTTTTGGCATCTGAAGTTTGTTTCTTTAGTTTTAGCACTGGAGCTTCGGGGCTAATGTAGCTAAGCTTATACCCCACCGATTAGCATGGTGCAAACTTAAATCATACTTGCCTCAAATTGCGTTGAGTTATTTAATAAAATGGACAAATTCAGGCTTTGAGATGGCGGCTGCTGTTTTTGGCTATTTTTATGTACTTTAATCTGAGTATATAAATAACAGAATGTCATACAGTGTCAGAACCACATAATCACTCGAAATCACTTAAAGGGCACACAACCTACTTTTTTCTTACTTTGAAGTCTCCTTATCACATTTTTGGTTTTATATACTAAAAACACTCTTAATTTGTGTTAGAATTTAAACATAGATTGAAATCAATGGAGCTGTTAGAATTAAACAGACTGTTTTTTGTCACTGTGCCTTTAAGACTGAAGACTCTGTCCTGATTGGCTGCACTTTATTGTGCCTCATTCAGAAAAGGGTCCAGGCTAAAACATTCCTTATAGTATGAATGTGAGTAGGTGGGGCTGAACTGCTGTAGACTGAAGAGGTATATATGTGTAAATGGGTTTCATGTCATTACTAAATTTTGTCATTACTGATTTTGCAGCTTAGTGTCCATATGTGGACTGCATTAAAAAGGGAATAAATAGTATGTTTTGAAACAATGTTCACACACCACATCAAGCTCTTGTATTTAAAAAAAAAACAAAAACGTTTTCCATGATGTAGCCCCTTTAACAACTCAAGGCAAGTGTGGGATGACTTCGGCAGGCGGTCAGCATCGTGTTTATTGGAAGGTCCTGTTCAAGCTTTTTTTTTTTTTTACATATGTGTACAGTCTTTTGCAAAAGTTTGTCGAGTTCCGTGTTGTTTATTGATTTTCTAAGTATAAATAAAAGAAAACATCCTCCCCAGAGACACACTTCGGCACATTATAATGTACAATTACTGTTTATTTATTAAATTTAACATATTGTGGAAAAAATAAAGCATAAATTGTGGCCTGTGTAAAAGTTACTAAACATTTTTTTGTATTTTATGTCCCCTGTCCCCCATACGTTATCTATAACTCAGCAAATCAATGGAAATTGCACAGTAAAATTAGCAACATGTTAAGCTCTGGCCTTCATCTCTGAATGTTATAATACATTAAACAAGGGAAATCAATTAAACACTAGTTCCAGTAGAATCGGATGGGAAATGGACCTTAACATGGCGATCTCAGATGACAAGTGGGACAAGTGGCCCGTATTCATTTTTGTCTTGGCTCCAACCAGTTCACAGAAAGACAGTTTAAGATTGTCCATAGACTGTTTATCACCCCTGAAAAACTGAAAAAAATGGACCCAACTACATCAGATTTATGTATTAAATGTCAAACAAATGAGGGCACGCTCTCGCATTACATGTGGACTTGAACATATATTTAGTAGTTCTGGGGTCGGATCTGCTCCAGAATTAAGTGTTTTTCACATGTATCTGTGCCATTTGACCCCTTAGTCCGAGTTCAAGGAGCGTCATTTAATGAACCCTCTGCTGATCAAGATTTACTGATTAGGGGTCTCCTCGCTGTTGCAAGAAAATGCATCTTGGTCAATTGGACATCGTCTACATAACCTAGTATAACTCAGTGGTATAAAACAATATATGATATCCTCCCCCTTGAAAGATTAGCTTATATAGATAATAAAAAAAGATTAAGAAGTTTTATCAAGTTTGGGACAAATTCTTGGATTACACTAAACTGGCTATTAGGGATGTGCTACAATGTTGAAATGGAGTAGGTGATGGTGAATGGGACTGTCACCTTTGGTATTAATGTTGATAATATTGATTGCAGTACGATTGATATTTCTTATTTACTGTATTTAAATTGTTGCTTTTTTCTTCTTTTAATTCTCAGTATGTTATCACACTCTGTATTGTATCTGTTTGCTATAATAAACAAGACTGGAGGAAAAAAATTAAAAATTAGCAAAATGCCACAGTAAAACATGTAATTTAACTGGTTTTCAAGCTTTTGTCATATATAATACATTGTTTGATGAGAATACAGAAAAAACTTAATGCTGTCATGAAAGTCTGGGCTATTTGGGGTATTTTGGGGAAATTCCACTACTCATACAAAATGTCCTATCAAATTGAATTCCTCACAAATTACACTACAGGAGAGCCTCTAGTGGAACTAATCCAGCTCAAATAGGGCCTTAGCTTCCATTGCTTGTTAGCTTCATTAGCCTCATAGCTCCAGAGCTAAAACTAGAAGCAAACTTTAGACACCAAAAAGTCTTCATTAGGGATGTGTAAATTGTTTGTACTCTTCTTTTATTCCGTTATCCTGTAGCGCGCTGCATCAGTAAAGCGTGGGTGTGTGACGGGGACAGCGACTGCGAGGACAACTCTGATGAGGACAACTGTGAGGCGCTGGTTTGTAAACTCTCACACCACGTTTGTGCCAACGACACCACCGTCTGCCTGCCTGCTGAGAAGCTGTGTGACGGCAAGGATGACTGCCCCGACGGCTCCGACGAGAAGCTGTGCGGTGAGAACTGAGCAAGCTACATTACCCACGCTGCATTAGCTGTGCTTCTGGTGCTGCCTTAAAGCCCCAGGGAACCTAAATCTGTGCTTTCTAAAGCTAAGTTCACACTAGATTTTAACCCTGATTTTCCACTCTCTGAAAGTTTTTGGAGCTCACAGAAAAAAAAAGCCCCAGATCAGAGGTAAATCGGCGTTTGCTCAGGGCTCGCAAATCGGCTCTCAGCTGCTGTGTGAACTGTTCAAAGCCGCCATCCGAGAGACTTGCAGATGCCTTCCAGACGCGCTGTTGTGTTGTGTTTAGCTTTAGTGTTGTAGCAGGTTGGGAGTGTTGGACTAAAAGCTGTCAATCATGGGTGCTCATTAAGTCAAAGTCAGATTTATTTATATATCGCTTTTTACAACAGTCGTTGTCTCAAAGCAGCTTTACAGAAAATCTGAGTCTGAGCCCCCATGAGTGTCGCCAAGGAAAAACTCCCTGAGAGCAAGAGGAAGGAACCAAGATTCAAAAAGGGAACCCATCCTCCTCTGGTCAACACCAGATAGCCAAACAATAACACGATGATTTTACAACTAATATATTAATTATTAATGACAATTAAAACATTGAATATAGAGGAACACAAACCAGCCTGTCATTGGACAAAGCTATTGAGATTGACCAGTGATAACCGACGACTGTTAAAGGCCTATCAGAGTAACAATGAGAAATACATCAATGAGAATCAGTCACAGTTACCAGTGAAAACAAGTTGCTACTGTTAAAAGAATCACAATGAAAAAAAAAACATGAAGGTAATGACTCCTGTTGGAAGCCAACACTCATGCACTCAATAATTCGATCATAATCAGATTTCTGCAGTTATCAGGTTATTTATATGGTCATGTAAACAGTGCACTCAGATGTCTTATATCACAGTAAGATATATAAATCCAATTAAGAAATAAAGATAAATTAAGAGATAAAGAGAGCTGGATTTTAGCTCAGTAAACAGATTTCTCAGTGCATGTGAACTCTTACTCCGATTTCTTTCGGATTTTTCAGTCTGCATATGTGCGAAACAGACCGCGGTACCGGAAATAAGGAAGACACAGCAGAACACTTTTGGAGTGACGCTGAAACCAACTACATGCTTGACGAATGAAGGACTTAAATATTCTTCATCTTCTAGATGATGTATGTTCGTATTGAGTTTATTGGCTGGTTGCAAAGCAGAAATCCGCTTACAGTCTGACTCATGTAGACCCGGAGTTTCCCATTATCTGATCACTCGAGTACATATAAATGCGTTGACCGGATTACTGACAAAATCTGATTTTCTGCAGTTAATTGGATTATTATGGTCTGTTAGCATGAAAATGAGTAAAGTGTTCCTATCTAGTTTTGCTGAGTGTTCAGTATAACACCTTTTAGTATCATAAAAACATTTTAAATGTTTTACACAGTTCTCTGGGACAACTGCCGGCTGATCTGTACTTGCTGCACCTATATCGTACCTTTCTCTCTCCTGTTCTCAGACCTGTGTTCGCTGGATAATGGCGGCTGCAGCCACAACTGCACGGTGGCGCCGGGCGAGGGCATCCTGTGCTCGTGCCCGCTGGGCATGGAGCTGGGCACCGACAACAAGACCTGCCAGATCCAGGGCTTCTGCGCCAAGCACCTGAAGTGCAGTCAGCGCTGCGAACAGGACAAGTTCAACGTCAAGTGCTCCTGCTACGAGGGCTGGGTGCTGGAGCCGGACATGGAGAGCTGCAGGAGCACAGGTACTGCAGAGACACCTGCCGGAGGAGGGGAAGCAGTAAATCAGGGGTGTTCATTTCTGTCCTGGAGGGCTAGTATTTGTCTTAAAAAATATTAATAATAATAATATGAATAATAACAGAGCTCAGTCATTTGAACGTGAATGTGTTTATAGCAAGTGTCCCACCCCCTTACCACCTACTTCATTTTGGTGGGCTGCACCCAGATGCTTAGTTTTGATCATTGACGGTGGTTGACGGTGGGGAAATCATCAAACTGGAGGCGGGGCTTATGCTATGGACACACCCACTCTCAAATAACTCTAAATGTAGGTATTGTGATATAAACTGAGTCTGTTCTACAGTTTCTCATTAGGCTGAATGAATAACTGGCTCTAAATGTAGGTATTGTGATATAAACCTGCATTTAAAGTGTTCTAGAGTTTCTCATTTTTTCCCACAGTTTCTAGGATGCTAACTGCTAATTCTGTTACATCAGCTTATAGATGCCTGCATTGTCTAGAATGATGGGGGGAGAGGGAGGACTAGAGAGAGAGAGAGAGGACAGTGATGCTCTCTTGTACTCCCCCTTACGGATGGCTGTGGCATTGCTGGGGCTCGATCTCAACCTCCTGACACCTACACCTACTCGAAAGTTTGAGACAGACTTAGACAGCCTTTTCGACATAGTCGATAAACTGTCTGCGAGGTTTTGCATTGAATAATGAGCAAACAAATGATTTCCCAGAGCTTCTCTGGAAAGATCAGGGCAGAGCCAGAGCCAGGGATGGATGAAAGGATGACGAAAGAGGAGGAATAGAGAGCACTGATGTGGTTTCTGGTATTGGGCTGAGGATGAAAACATGAGTAGGAGGTTTGCCCCCTTTCTCGGGAAGTGGTCTTACCCAAAAGGTCATTTGGTGTGAGCAGGAAGCGGTGGTTTTTGGGTTAGACACTGGGTTTTGGTGGTGGGTGGTGGGCAGTGGGTGGTGAAGGAAGGAGCGCGGAGGGACGCGGTTGGCAGTGCAGTCAGTGGTTAGGTTGAACTGATGGAATATAAATGTCTGAAGACAGGAAGAAGGAGAGAGTTTGCTTTGGCAGGAAGTCGCTGTGGGCGCAAAGCCTCAATCAGCCAATCAGAGATTTATATTCCTGGAAAATGAAATGAGTGAAGAAGCTAAAGTTCACATGCAGAGCATTGTTCTAATGAAGACTGTGCAGTGATGAGCTTTAATGTTTCTTCAGAGCAGTAGATGTTTGTGTAGTTCTAGGATTGGCAGTATTGTGAGATGATGTTTGCCTCCCCTCCCGAAATCTTTCATTTCTAGTACTGTTAAGCTTTATTGCCTGTCTGTAAAGCACTTTGGGCTACCACCAGTATGAAAAGTGCTCTATAAATTAGGGTTATTATTGTTACTATTAGTGAGAGGAGTGAGAGCAGTGATGAACAGTGATGAGCAGTTCACTCTCCTACACAGGATAAGAAGTAATAAGTGATAAATTTTGCAAAATGACATTGATGAAGCACTAAATCATGCCTTAGATAAAGAGATACAGAATATATTTTGTTCCTAGAACAAAATGATTATATTCAGAAAATGCTAAAATTATGAAATAAATTACGAAATTATGACATTTACACATTTATAACAGTTTTTGATGGTAATAAAGACCAGCTTTATTAATTAATGGTATTATAATAAATAGTATCATTGATAGTACTTAAATAATAAATAAATAATTTAACATTACTCTATCATTTATTTATCATAATATACCATTTTATTTTTCATTTTATCAAAAAAAAACATTGGTTTAATAGAAATATTTTATAGAAAGAGGTTCTGTACAATTTACATTCCTGGAAAATCTTTGTGTTCTTTTAATGAAGATGTTTTTCTGGACATGTTTGTGCAAACGCTGCTCGATATGGATGAAATATCAGTGCTGTAATTATATTGCTGAGTATTGTTATTGCAGCGCACCGTTGCAGTATATTAAAAACGCCTCCAACAGCACTTGATGTTAAAGATGCAGTGAATTCTTTAACTCATTCATGTCCATCAGTTACATTAAGTATGTAGCGCTGCTGTGGATGTTTGTTTGAGCCAACCAAGAAAGTGACCCTGACCCACATTTTCTTTAGTTAAGTGCTTTTTCGTGTTTTAATGAAAAATATGACAGGACTTCCATCTGTCCTTTTCTTTCTCTGTCTTTTATCTCTAATTCTCTCTCTCTTCTCCTCCAGATCCATTCAAGCCCTTCATTATCTTCTCCAATCGTCATGAGATCCGGCGGATCGACCTGCATAAGGGCGAGTTCAGCGTGCTGGTTCCTGGTCTGAGGAACACCATCGCTCTGGACTTCCACCTCAACGAGAGCTCACTCTACTGGACCGACGTGGTGGAGGACAAGATCTACAGAGGGAAACTGTCTGAGAACGGTGGTGAGCAGCTCACTGTCCTGCACAGGAAATACAGTGTAGCACTGACAAAACTCTAAGACAGGGTTTAGAATAGAGAATATATAAATGCCTAAATGATGTTTATAAATGTTTAATTGATTGAATGATCAAAATTATTACATTCAGAAAGTACCAGCTAAAGTTCCGATATATATATATATATATAATATATAATATATATATATATAATATATATATATATATATAATATATATATATATGATAAAATGTTGAACATATTAAATAGAAATTATTGAAAAACCACTGTTTAAATATATTAAATATATATCATATTATATACAGTTCTGTTACTGCGGGCCGTAGGATTTGTGGGTAATGCAGTTTTGTTACTGCAAGCCCTGGGAGTTGTGGGTAATGCAGTATGACTACTGCGAGCTCTGGGATTTGTGGGTAATGCAGCACAACTACTGCGAGCCCTGGGATTCATGGGTGATGCAGGTCTGTTACTGTGAGCCCTGGAATCCGTGGGTAATGCTGTTTTGTTACTGCAAGCCCTGGGAGTTGTGGGTAATGCAGTATGACTACTGCGAGCTCTGGGATTCGTGGGTAATGCCATTCTGTTACAGTGCCAGATGGCCCCATTTAAGGCTTCCTCTAGAAAGCCAAAAGCAATCAATCATCACTTACAGTCTCCACTCCAGACTGCAGGCGCAGTCAGTCAGCACCAAAAAAGCTGCCTTCAAAAAGATGAAACTATCAATCAGAGTTAATCTTCTGAGCAAGAAAGCCCCCCATTACTGCACATTACACTGAGTGTGTATGTACACACATTACACTCTTATGTCTGCACACTGTATAGATGATTAGGAGTCTCAGGTGACGCATCCTCTACAGAGAATACACTTAAATATTGCATTTTATGCCAGTTTTAGTTTAGTTTAACAATTGGGATAAAATATATATAAAATTGTAAACTTAATTGCACACTTACTACCAACCGTCCTCCTGGAGAGAGGGGATGCAGTGGTACTCTGTATATTGTAGAACCGTTCTGTACGCCCCCTGCGGTTCAGTATGCACATGTTAAGGCCACGGCACACCGGACATGCGTCATGCAGCGCCAAAAAAAAACGAAACCTTTGTTTTTAATGAAGATATGCCCACCAGTGCCAGCCCTCTGAGTCAACGTGCAGCGGTGCTCACAACTCTCAGTCTTTTAGGTAAACAAGCAAATGCTAATGGTAAGTTACCTCAGCTAGCGTGTTACAGCCTTGTATCTTTCTACTCGTATCTTTAAAAAGCAGCCAGTTTGTGAAGACCAAGCGTGATGAGTGATGCTGAGCGCTTTATTTCATTCAATCTATACAACTAGAGCGTAAAAATGAACTTGAACCTGGTGTTTATCAGCTCTAAATCAGTGTTCTATAACTGCGCTCTGCTACGTGACGTGGCACGTCCGGTGTGCAGTGGCCTTTACAGTGTCCCCTCCTGAACTCTGTGAAACATCACAAAGAGAAATTGAAAACAAATTGACAAAGAAGCGCTATCTAGTGCTCTTTACTGATTTAAATACAGAGAGTAAAGCACCTACAGGCTGTCAAAGCTAAGAAACTCTTTTAATTTTAGCATTTTTCTCCTCTTGATTTCACACAGTACAGACAGAAACCAGGCCCAGTCAGTCATGCTGCCATTTTTCTGAATGGCAAGGTTTATTAGTGTAAGTCTATAGGCAAAATTATTTTAAGATTTAAGATTTATCTAGATTATTGTTAAAAAGTGGTGTGTTTTTATTTTTGAATTAAATATAAAGAGACTGTATTGTTACCGTGGCCCAAAAAACATACATACAGAACCGTGGGCCATTGTACTGTTGCATCTCTAGTTCCAACCTACATCTAACATGCTGCCCCCTACTCTTACCTACACTAGTAACTTTGATGCAGCCAAGCAGGGACTTCTAAAGTAGCAGCTGTGGCAGATGGTGCTTCCATTTCTAGGACCAGGGTTTTTGACCACAGCTCCAGCACTCTAGGCTAGTTTGTGGCTAGTTAGCAACCTGCTACTGTATTTATATTTTTGGGTGGAGGACTGCTCTCAACCTAGCCGAGAATGATCCACCACCCAAATGGTCCACTAATTGTTTCTTAAAGGGTCCTAATTGAATCCAATCCTTAAGAGATCAGAGATTTGTAACACTGAGTCTTATGTCTTGTTTCTTCTCTCGCTACCTCTAAAACTGTCCCACTGCACCTTTCTCAGCGGCTCTGACCAGCTTTGACGTGGTCATCCAGTACGGCCTGGCGACGCCTGAAGGTTTGGCTGTGGACTGGATCGCTGGGAACATCTACTGGGTGGAGAGTAACCTGGATCAGATCGAGGTGGCCAAGCTGGACGGCACCATGCGTACCACGCTGCTAGCTGGAGATGTGGAGCACCCCCGGGCCATCGCTCTGGACCCCAGAGAAGGGTAAACGGCTCAGTTTTTTATTCTTCAGTGGGCCTAAAGGATCTTGAAATTCACCACTTGTGGTTTTACTAGTAAGGTTTCCATCCATGTGTGTTTGTGTGCCTCAAACTGTGTGGAATTGTTCAGGAATTTCTCATTCTTCTAATTCAATTCTAAAGACTTGATTATTTGGTTTCTGACACTGTGTGACTCACTGTTATCAATAAACATGGAGCTAAAACCTAGCTAAAAACAGTAGCAGCCACCTTGAAATCATTTTAATCAATGCAGCTTGCCTCCATGTCCTGCTTTGCCCGACAGAATCCTATTCTGGACGGATTGGGATGCCAGTATGCCAAGGATCGAGGCAGCCTCTATGAGCGGCGAGGGCCGGCGCACCATCCACAAGGAGACAGGAAGCGGAGGCTGGCCGAACGGACTGACTGTGGACTACCTGGAGCGCCGGATTCTCTGGATAGATGCCAGGTAAGTCTGTCAGACTGTTGATTGGTGGCTGATTTTAGGTGTTTTCTATAGAGCAGTGGTCACCAGGCCTCCTGCTGAAGATCCAATTTCCCGCAGAGTTTAGTTCATTAGCTGGAGCAGGTGTGGCCGATTGTGGTTGGAACTAGACTCTACAGGAATGCAAAGCCAGTGTTAGTGAGCACTGCTTTAGAGAGTCCCAAGCCTTGTTGAGTCGTATTGTTTTCATTAGGGCAGCACAATATGAATAAAAAAGATCAGCATTGTGATTATATTGCTGCACTATGTGACTTGATCTCCAAACCGCCCAGCAACTGCTTAGCTAACACCTAGGACACCATAGCAACCGCCCAGCAACTGCTTAGCAACCACTTGGGCCACCATAGCAACGGCCTAGCAACTGCTTAGCAACCACCTAGGCCACCATAGCAACCAATTTTGCTAAATAGCTTGACAAACCAGCTGAAGTATCTGCCAGCCAACTGTTGTCTTGCCTCTTTTCTTTAAATACATCATTTACAGTGTGTAGCGCTTCAGTTCTGTTCTTCATACTGAAGGTTTTTCTGTAATGGAAGGCTGATAATTGAAGCCGTATCGAGTCTGATGCTGATGTGAGCTGCAGGAGAGCGGCATTGCAGAAATTACCGCACATGTAAAACTAGCAAAACTGACAGTCACACCTGTGAGGTCTGAAACAGAATGGTTTGTTTGCTAGAGTAAGGCTGGCGGTCCCAATTTAACCTGTTTTGTTCAAGGCTGTTTCTAAGGCTGAAATGTTGATTAACTCATGACTTGAATTCGACTTAAATCTGCTGAAAACCAAGAAAAAACTGCTTGTTTGTCTCTTCTCACCCAGATCTGATGCGATCTACTCTGCCAAGTATGACGGCTCGGGCCTGATTGAGGTTCTTCGGGGGCATGAATACCTGTCGCACCCGTTTGCCGTCACCATGTATGGAGGAGAGGTTTACTGGACAGACTGGCGCACCAACACCCTGGCCAAGGCCAACAAGTGGACTGGGAACAACGTTACTGTGGTCCAGAGAACCAACACGCAGCCGTTTGATCTTCAGGTTTACCATCCGTCAAGACAGCCCCAGGGTGAGTGAAATGAAGGGAACTAAAATGATTAGATGGTTGTTAAAATGATAGATGGTGGTTTATTTCTGTTTTACACTCTTAAAAAAGATGGTTCTTCAAGGGTTCCTTAATAAAGAAATTGATGCTACAATGAACACTCAAAGAACCCTTGGCATGATTAAAGCCTTCTTCACATCATTAAATGGTTCTTCAGATTGACAGAGAATGTGCCGTAGATGGTTCTATGTAGAAGCTTTTTGAAAAGGGTTCTGTATAGCGCCAAAAAGGTTTTTCTGTTTTTACAATGTAAAGCCTGCAACAACACTGCACACTTAAAGATGGTTCTTCAAGGGTTCCTTAGTAAAAAAAAAATGGTTCTGTATAGAACCGTGCACACCCAAAGAACGTTTTGCACAATTGAAAGGTTCTTTGCATCGTGAAAGTTCTTCAGATTGATGGAAAATGTGCTGTAGATGGTATGTAGAACCTTTTTAAAGTACTACACACTTTTAAAGATGGTTCTTCACAGGTTCTTTAGTAAAGAAAATGGTTCTATATAGAACCGTACACACTTAAAGAACCCCTTTGCATGATTAAAGGGATCTTTGCATGGTGAAAGAGTTCTTTGGACTGAGGGAGAATGTGCTGTAAATGGCAAAATAGAACCTTTTTGAAAAGGGTTCTATGAAGCATTAAAAGGAGTTCTTAACAATAGAAAAACCCTGTTGGTACTATATACTTTTCAAAAAGGTTCTATATAAAACCATATGAACACATTCTCTATCAATCTGAAGAAGCATTTAATGATGCAAAGGACCATTTAAGCATGCAAAGGGTTCTTTGAATGTTCATGGTTCTATATAGAACCATTTTCTTTACTAAAGAACCCTTGAATAACTGTCTTTTTTTAAGTGTGTACAGTAAAATGATGTTTGCATAATGTAATTTACAAACATCATTTTGCAAATTACTTGCTCTGCTCTGCTCTGCTTTAATCTTTAGCTCAGCTATAGCTGTTTTTCTCGCGTCTCTGGCAGGAAACTTTCTTATAAAATGTCTCTCAACGTTAAATTTTTTAGGAGGCTGAAGTCGCTTCTTATGCGCCAGCTTCTTGTTCAAATTTTCCTATTCCACCTTAAATGGTGCCTGAGGCGGCAGAATGTAACTGCTGCACCATTTAAGGTGGAACGGGAAAATTCGAACAAGAAGCTGGTGAATGAGAAACAGACTTCAGCTTTGAGACCTTTTAGTGTTTGACAGCTTCTCGTTGCAGATTAAAGGTATCAGGATACCAGCTGGAGTGATTATAAACACAAATAAGTCCATCGTTTCCAAATGATCAATGTTCGTCTTAAATCTTTCTCTTGGCCTTTTTGTTAACTACAACATGCAGTGTAAAGCCTTCCAGAAGAGTAGAGGCTGTTACTGCAGCACAAACTCACTATTAATATCCTCCATTTCAGAAGAAACGCTGGTGTCTGTAATCTTCTGTAGAGCATCAGTGGGTCTAAAATTTGAGCCGACAGCCCAACACAGCGGTTAATGAGTCTGGTTCACTCTCTCAGCTCACTACGGTTACAGAGGAGTGTTTGACTCACTTCCTCACTCCCACTCTCTCAGGGTTGGTGAGGGTCAGTAGGAAGAAGTGTCCGGCTCAGTGTGATGGACAGATGCCGTGATGCTCCTTGGCAGGGTGTTAGAAGTTGAGCTGGTGACCATGGTTTGCTTCACAGAGCTCGTTGTATAGAGCGAGACGTCTGTTTGTTTATGCTTGAATAAACTGGACAGCCCCACTGGGTCGGCGTGGACGAGCTCGGCGGTTCCGATCTAATCAACTGGAACCTTCTCACCTTCAGCTTTCAGCTCGGCTTTACCGCTTACTCTCTGTCCGAGATCATTTTTCTCTCCCGTCTGAATTTGTCTTGTTCTTGTCTTGTTTCTCTCTCTCTCCCTCTCTCTCTCTCTCTCTCTCTCTCTCTCTCTCTCTCTCTCTCTCTCTCTCTCTCTCTCTCTCTCTCTCTCAGTCTGGCTCTAACTTTCTCCTTTTTTGTCTTTCTTTTATCTCTCTCTTCCCCTCTCTCTGTCTTTTTGTGTCTCTTTCTTTTCTCTCTTTTTCCCCTCAGTCTCTCTTTAACTTTCTCCCTTTTTCTCTCTCTTTCTTTTCTCTCTCTTTTTTTCTCTTTTCTCAGTCTCTGTCCTTCTCTCTCTCTCTCTCTCTATCACTCTCTCTGTCTCTCTATCCCTCCCTCATTCTCTCTCTCTCTCCCTCTCTTTTTTCTGTCTCCTCAGTCTTCTTTCTTTCTTTCTTTCTTTCTTTCTTATTTTTCTCTCCGTCTCTGTCTCATTTTTTTATTTCTCTTTCTCTCTGTCTCTGTCTTTCTTTTCTCAGTCTCACTGTCTTTAATCTTTCCCCTCTTTATCTTTCTTTTCTCTCTTTCTTTTCTTTCTTTGCTCTCTGTCTCTCTCTCTCTCTTTCACTCAATCTTTTTTCTTTCTTTCTTTCTCTTCTCTATCACACTCTTTCTCTTTGTCTTGTCCCTCTTTGTCTCACTTTCTCTTTCTCTCTCTTTTCTCTCACCCTTTCTGTTTTCCTTTTATCTTCCCTTTTTCCTTTACACTGTCTCTCTCTTCATTTTCTCTTTTTTCTTGCTCTGTCTTTTTCTCTCTCTCCTCTCACTGTTGCTTTCCCTCTATTTCCTTTCTCTCTTTCCTTGCTTCCCTTTAACTTACCTTTCCACTGTCTTTCTCTCCCCCGTCTCTCGCCTGTCTCTCTATTATATTTGATTGAAATCTGTCAAATCTTACTCTGTACAACACAGTTCCAACAAAATATTCTTTTTCTTATCATTCATAAAATCATAAAATATTAATAAAGTTATCGTTCATTCATTATAATCTCCTTTTCCAACCTGATTCTTGTCCCTCAGCTCCTAATCCCTGTGCAGCGAACGGTGGTTTGGGGCCTTGTTCTCACCTGTGTCTGATCAACTACAACCAGACTTTCTCCTGCGCCTGCCCGCACCTGATGAGACTCCACTCCGACAACCACACCTGCTACGGTAAGGACCACTTCTGACCCCTGCCTACAGCAGCCTGACCGTTAGGGGTGCCCGATTTCTCTCCCCTGTCCCTCTGTCTGTGTACTGCGTGCGTGAACTCTTATAAAAAGAAAAGACCAATTATTTTATAGTAAAAGGAGATACACATTTTTAAACAATGTGCGCAGATGATGACTGACAGATATTGATATTTCCAGAAATTGGGACATATTTCTAAATTGTTTATCAGACGAATGCAAACTTTGCAAAGCAAATTCTTTTTTTTTTTTTTTTTTTAGGAAATTTAAAGCATAATGTATATATAACGCCTGTGAATAATTGCTTTGTCTGGGTATAAATGTAGAGCCGTGCTGTAGCGCCTCTCTTTCTGTTCTGTCAGCAGTGTAGCCTTTAGCATGCTAACAAGCCAGCTAGCTTAGGAAAGTGGTGAAGTTGTATCAGCTCTCTTCTAGAACAGATGGAACAATTTATAGCATAAAGCTCAGCAAATCACATGTTGTGGTTTTGAAATATTAAGTACAAATAGTTCATTGTTACAGCTTTTGAACAGCTTTGTCCACCATTTATTTGGTCACTTCGCGGTGATTTCTGAATAAGTTTTTGGCTCGATCTGTCGGGTCATCTGTAGGCTCAACTAACACCCTTCCGTTCAGCTAATACAGTAACAGAACAGCCCTTAAGGTAGCACTAGGGATTCTCCCGGGGGGGAAATAAGAAGTCCAAGTGGATGACTGCTTGTTAAAACCACATTGAAACGAGGGGTAGATAAGAGGAGTCACTGTTTTCTTCTCTTGAGCTTTTTCACATTACATCTTTACACATTGTCACACCCACAGACTCAAAAAGAAGGTCTGGCTCAATGTTTAGGTCTCAAATGATGTCAAAATCAACATTATACTGATGAAGATGTCATGACTATAGCAGATAATTCACTCACATCCTCAGAAGACGCGTCCTTCACCAAGTTTAGACTGAGTTCTGTTTTGAATTCGCTTGCAGTTATCAGATTTATCCGCTCAGGGAAGGGGGCTGAAGCACAAACCAGCTTGTTCTTTCAAGAGGGGTGCAATTACACGTTTTCACCAGAGAGGGCCCCAAATAACCCAAACATAGATAGTGCAGCTTTAAATAAAGCACCAGTTTGATTCGTTTTTGCCTCCCCTTAACAGTACTCACTATCTCACAAAAAAGTCACATTTTAATGCACGTGATCCATGACTGTGACACTAATACAGGGTGCTATTTTTTCTAAACGGCCGTCTTTTTGTTACATTGACTGCTGGTGTGGAGAAACAATCAAGCAAACTGTGATTTTCTCTTGAATTGAACATCAGCACAGGCTATTGGTTGTTATATATGGGCTGATTTGCATATTATGCACCACATAGCAGTAATATTTCCATCTGGATAATCGGAGATACATGTGGTTTAAATCTTATCAGGTCACAAACCAGATAAGTCACATGAGATGACCAGGAGTAAATGAGGTTAACAGTGCTTCACTGACTGATATGATTCAGTTCTCATCTGTCATGTTTTTTTAAACTGAAATAAACAACATAAACTCAAAAAGTCTTGAATATTCTGATTATTTCTGCACTGGGAGCAGAGCTGCTCAGAATACTTCATGGCTTTTTGTGATAATCATTTCCTTTTCCTTGAAAAAGTTTCAATTTTAGGACATGCTGTCCTCAAGCTAAACCTCATATTAGGATATATGTTACAATAAGCCTGCAGGTTAGGCAGTTAAGGAAGGTCAAAGCTTTAAAAAAGGAGCGTCGTTCTCGTCTGGAGTGTGACGTTTGCGCTGTGATGCCTGAACAATCCCAAATAGTTTCTCAGAGATCAGCTCCAGCTTTCTCTCAGGCTGGTCTTAATTAATGGAAAAGAGAGTCCAGGCCAAGTGTATTCTTCCAAGTTCACCTCAAAAAGAGGAAAAAACAAACCAGATGACCCTGACAACCACGTCTGTAGCTCCTCTTCATCGCTGCTTCTGCTCCAGTTGTTGGAGATTAATTTCAGGAGCTTGTGTCCTTTGTTTTTAAACCCTGACTGTGGACATACACTCTTCACACAAGCATAACTGACCTTCTTCAAGGACACTGGGGCCTTTAGACTAAGCACCTGCACATTATGAAGCTGAAATCATGAGGCTACAGCTTTGTAATGTTGAGTCTTAGTGATTGAGTTCAGTTTGTTTAGCTGGGATTAGAAATGGAAAAAAATGTTTGTTTTGAACCGAAATGCTACAACCTCAGTCTCTACAATTGGTAACCAGTTAGATTGAATTAAAAGAAAAGTGCTTATGATATATAATAGCTGCCAAATTTCTGGGTAAAAACAAAGTTAGGAAAGGGGTCATCAAATGTTGATGCAGTTAAAGCTTTCGTCTTTGAGGGAGAGGAGAAAATCAAGCTGCTTCAGATCTGAAAACATCCACAGGTGTTTCTGTCCATCCTTCCACTGTGAGAAGACAACTCAGCGCTATGGGTCTGAAAGGATGTGGGGTGTATAATTCGCAACTATAAAGGTTTTAGGCCTATGATGTTGAAATAATACGAACGCCAAATCAGTCAGTGCTGGTTTTATTTAGTAAATGTTTGGGTGTTTATATTTAGGCAAAGAAGATGCATAATTTAACAGAAAAAATATGTATTATTTGTCAAAGATGGCACTGATGTACTGGGAAAATCTGATGTACTGGGAAAATCACTGGTGTGTCAAGAATTCTGTAAAGTTAATCAAAAAGAAATAATATTGTAATTTCTATTGTTATGTTATACATTTCCACTCAGATTTTCATCTTTTTTCCTTCAGAGTTCCGTCAGTTCCTCCTGTACGCTCGTCAGATTGAGATTCGAGGTGTGGATATTTATAACCCTTACTACAACTACATCATCTCCTTTACCGTCCCCGACATCGACAACGTGACAGTGGTGGACTACGATGCACTGGAGCAGCGAATCTACTGGTCGGACGTGCGGACACAGACCATCAAGAGAGCCTTCATAAACGGCACCGGCATCGAGACCGTGGTGTCTGCAGGTACGAGCCAAGATCAGCTCCACAGAACCGGTTGTAACAATAGCAGAGTTACAGTTGCACACAGTTTGCATTGCCTTATACTGAATACATATTAACATCTGTCTCCAGGCCCCCTAGTGGCCGTTCTACCCACAGATTGATATTTTAATTAATAGTGTTCCCCATAACGTTAATGTTAAGATACTAGTAAGCAGTGAGGGGGGAAAGGGGAGGGGTGAAAACAATTCACACCTCTCTGCAAAGACGGCCCTGCTGAGATAAAATGGACAAGCACACAACGTTACTGCACATTTGTCTAATTATCTGATGTAACATTACAACACATCTGTCTAATTATCTGATGTAACATTACAGCACATCTGTACAATTATCTTGCAAAATGTTACAACACATCTATCTAATTGTCTGACACAGCATTACTGCACATCTGTCTAATTATCTGACAGTGTTACTTAGGGGTGCAGGAAAAACTCGATTCTTAGATGCATCGCGATGTGGACGTGAACGATTCTGAATCGATTCACAAACGTCAAAAATCGATTTTCTAAATATTTCATTTACAACGTAATGTTGACGGAATGCAAAAGGCGGAACTGGAAGTGGGTAACACGTAACAAAAACACAAAAGGATGAATGAGAAATCTGACCGGCGCCCTCTGCATTAAAATCCAGGTTAGGTCAGGAGTCACAACACATGATAAGAAGAGCCATTTTGTCCTTTCAACAAAGTCAAACCACCTCGGGAGCCACAACATTTAATGCCCAGTATGTCTTAGTATGTGTTAATGTCCTAGTATGGGCTAAACATATAAACGAGAGCGCAGACTTACTTCGCTCGGCTTTAAGCTTTAGCTTTAGCCGCTTTCCTCCCATCTCCACCAGGAAACTTTTCTTCAAAACTAGAAGAGTTTCTTGTAAAGTGTCTCTCAGCGTTCGACTGTTTTACAAGGCTGAAGTCGATTCTCATTCATCAGCTTCTCGTTCTAATTTTCCCGTTCCACCTTAAATTCTGCCTTAGGCGCCAAATGTAACTGCTGCACCATTTAAGGTGGAACGGGAAAATTCGAAAGAAATTAAGTAAAAGATATTTTAGATATTTAAAGCAAAGTATTTGTAATGATCCATAATACATTTACATTATGGATCATTACAAATACTTTGCTTTAAAACTACCAAGTTTTTAGACCGTAGGAAGATAGAAATCCTGTATAGAGAAAAAAAGATGCATCGAGATCGATAATCGTTTTATAATCGCATCGCAGCCCTCTGAATCGCAATCGAATTGTGAGGTGCCTAAAGATTCCCACCCCTAGTGTTACTGCACATCTGTCTAATTATCTGACAAAATGTTACTGCACATCTGTCTAATTATCTGACATAGCGTTACATCACATCTGTCTATCTGACATAACGTTATAGCACATCTGTCTAATTATCTGACACTTACACATGTCTAATTAACAGCACATGTCTAATTATCTGACATAATGTTAATGCACATCTGTCTAATTATCTTAGTTACTACTCATTTGTAATTATCTGACAGCGTTACAATACATCTGTCTAATTATGACAATGTCACTGCATGTGTCTAATTATCTGATATAAAATCTGTCTAATTATCTGACATAACGTAATAGCACATCTGTCTAATTATCTGACAGTGTTACATCACGTCTAATTAACAGCACATCTGTCTAATTATCTGACATAACATTAATGCACATCTGTCTAATTGTCTGACTTAGCATTACAGCACATCTGTCTAATTATCTGACATAACAATACAGTACAATAATTAAATACTAAAGGGAACTGTAATTATATAGAACTGTTTGTTACAAATGGAATAATTTGATTGAAAATCTAAAAATATCTTTTCCAATTAGATAAAATCAGCAGCAGGCAGTTGGAACAAAATCCTGGAGGGGATTTTTACTTTCTGGGCCTGAATAACACACTTCTTTCTACATGTCATGAGAATGAAATCTCCTTATCACATTGCTAATGAAGTATTTTTTCCTTTGTCTCTGCATGTTTTTCCATACAGATTTGCCAAACGTTCATGGTCTGGCTGTCGATTGGGTGTCTCGTAACCTGTTCTGGACCAGTTATGACACCAATAAGAAACAAATCAACGTGGCCAGACTGGACGGCTCCTTTAAGAACGCGGTCATCCAGGGTCTGGACAAACCCCACTGTCTGGTGGTTCATCCAATACTGGGGTGAGAAACCTCTAAGCCATTAATTCATATTTTAGGTTTTTAATACATTGTATGTCCAGAATTAGAGTTCCTCTAATTTGGGAATTCAGGTACGTTTAGATGCACCCATTTCTGGAGTTCAGTTATGCACAGACAGCTTGTATAATCTCCATGCAAAAGCATTAACCACAAGAACGGGACGCCCTGGAGCAGCTGCACATGAGAGATTACCATGTCTGATGCCAAGCGTGCACTAGAGGGGTATAAAGCCCCCCAGCAGTGAGCTGTGGAGCAGTGGAACTGTGTTCTCTGGAGTGATGGAGCTCCATCCAATACCTTTGTTTAGTATTGTATTAAAACCTTTATTTCATTGTTAAATTTTGATTAGAAACAAAAGAGCTAAAATCTTAAAGTGACAAAAAATGATCCAATCAGGATTTTCTCTGTGGTATCTAGGCAGAAACAGCTGAGCCAGCTCTCCCATTGGTTAGGAGTTCAGGAGCTGGAATGAAGGCCTTACACGTTAGATTAACTACCAACATAATAAGGAAGTAACGGAGGAACCATCCAATCACACTTTAATTTACAATGGTATCAGTTCCATCACTGTAATCCTTCTGGAAGTTCTAGATAAGTCACTGATTGTGAATACGAGTCATACACTGAAAAAAATGAAGCCACTTTTAAACTTAATAAAGCAAGTAACCAGGTTAAAAAATATAAAACACATTCTTCTATTCTGCTGTTAACATTACAAGTTCAAACTCCAAATTTCCAGTTAACCTGGTTGTTTACTTTTTTACATTTAAAAGCTGCACAATTTTTTTGGTGTAGTCTAACCAGGGTCCGGTAATGCCGGGGGTCAGACTGCACGATATTTGTGTTTCACGATGGTCACTATATCAAATTAGACAATCATAGTGCCATAAATTCTTGGTTGGGAGACTGACAACACTGCAAGTTTGATGCCGACCCATCATCGTTCACATTCTTGCATGAGTTCACAGGTCATTGGGGAGGCGGGTCAAAAACTGTCAGATGTGCTGTGTTGTAATGCTGGCAGTTAGAAAAAGCGATTTCATTCCTGAGTGTCAGAAAGGAAGGTTTGGTCTGTCTGTCCTTCAAAGAGAACTTGAGGTAACAAATATGTTAATATATCGAAAACATTATATAAACGTAGCCACAAGGTTCACTGTATGTAAACAGAAGCTATAAACGCTCTTTTCTCTCATTCATCTTTTTGGACTCTGTCATGGCTCTCCCTTGAGGGTTCTGCTGCCACGGCTCAGAGAACCTTTTCTCTATTTCATTGTTCCCTCTTTCTCTTTAGTGTGTCTACACATGTGCGTCAGACAGCGCTCTGTTATCCAGTGGGTTAACATGAAGGATTGCGTTGTAAGAGACGTCAGACTAGGCAAAAATTTTTTTATTCTGACACGCGAGACCTTTTTTTGGGGTGTCATGGGGCGTCCCAGACACCACATCGCTGTTCTTCAAATATGTCAAGCTTCAAGACCCGTTCCTCAGTCTTGGTGCTTGTATTAAAAATTGTGTAAGAATTGGGCTAATTTCATGTAGTCTGATCCGGCATTAGCTGTTAGCAATGGAGAAGTGGCAGCAGGACCCTTTACTGAAAGAGTGACTGCAAAACTAACACATACGAGCTCAACTATATGTTAATGTATTGTTTAATCTAGAACTAATCTAGAACTAATCTAGAACGGCCTGAAAATATTTGTGCGCACTAGTGTTAGTTTAGCACTGTCAAACTATTAGAAATCCCATAGGGGCGCTAGCAGTAATTAGCATTATTATAAAGGTGGAATTTTTTTTATCTCTGCTTTTGTTTGGCCAAGTTTTGACATTTAAGACCGAAACTGAAGGCCTTACTCTAACAGTCTCAGTGTACTGCAGCTGCAGCAAAGAGTTTGGAGAGTAGGTAATGGTTAACTTTGTGAATGATTTGGGGAGAGAGAGAGGGAGAAAGAGAGAGAGAGAGAATGGGAAGAGTGAACAAAGGGATGTTTTCTGCAGAAACACCTATTTTAGAGCTCCAGAAGGCAGCTGGTGGAATGTTTCCTGTGTGTGACTCTTGGGCTCAAATGAGAATCAGATGGGTGTGGGTGTGTGTGTCTGTGTGTGTATGTGTATGTCTGTGTGTGTGCGTGTGTGTGTCTGTGTGTGTGTGCGCGCGCGTATGTGCATTTTCCACCTCCATATGGAAGAGCTCGTTGCGGAAAACAGACGTAAACACGCACACTTGTTTTCAGATATTTTATTCAAGGACATAATCAGTGAAAAGCCCTAGTCTTTGCTTTAACTGCCTGTTTGGCAGGAAATGAAGGGGTTGTAGTTAAACACATCCCCCTGGACTGATCTGATGTCATCAAAACACACACACAAGATAAACAGAACGTTTGGCACACATGAATGAGCACTCTTTAAGTTTTCTCATAGTTGCTGTGGAGTACGGTGTGTTGATCCTCTGCTGTGTTTACCACATATTGATGGCTAGTTATTAATACTGATAGCTACTTATTTTGCTGTGCTGATGTTAATGAATAGTTAAAAAGTACAGAGCTCAGTTACTGCCAGTTTTTGAGCCCATAAAAAAAGTGTCATCTGTGATGTATTTGGAAAATATCATGAAATTGAACTTCACTAGAATGAAGTTCTAGCTAATCACTAGCTAACACTACAACAACCTTAACACTTCTCAAATGCTAGAGGGTGCTCTTAAGTGAGTCCAAAATTAATGGGTTAAGGTGGAGCATTTGAGCAAAATCATAGTTTATAAATTCTTAAACATTATTGCGACCTGTTCCGCTAGCCAGCCAATCAGCACTCAGTAGCAGTAATGCCAGTGTTCTGCTGCCCAAAACCCATTTGCTGAAAACAGGTAAAAAGAAAAAAATACAGGTAAGTTTTCTTTGCTTTTTTTTGGTGAAATACATCCTGCTACCTCTCAAATTAGATGAAAGTTCTGGGCAAACTATTTTAACTTTGTTTTTAGCTGTTTAGTTCCGTTTACTCCCATTCATTCAGGACTCGCTCGTGGGCACCCTCTGCTGTTTAGCAGTCCTGTTTTTGATATAAAGGGGGAAATAGGAAGTGGCCAGACCCTCATAAACCAGCTCTAACTACAATGCATTTCCACAATCCCTTTTAGGAAAATGCCTGTCTTGTGTAATTAATGGACTTTGAATGAAAAAATGTCCAAGTTTACATGTAGAGGTATAGAGCTAGGCTAGGCTAGTAATAGCCACGGGATGCTGACTGAAGGTGTGTGAGCTACCATTATATGCATATATACACCTATATAGTAAGTGGAACTGATAAAATAGACAATGAGTGTAGAAACAAGGAGGTGGTCATAATGTCATGCCTGATCAGTGTATGTTAGCTACATTAGCTCTCGTGCTGAAGTTGAAGGAGGAAACTTCAGACACCAAACATGAGCTCGTGAGGACTCGTGAGACTGGTCACGGTCTCTTTTTCCACCTGCAGAGCTGCTAAATCAGAACCAGGAAGTACTGAAGAAAACGGCACACAAGACTGGCTAACTGCTAACAGGCTAATAGCTACACATGCACTACAAAACACAGGTCTCCTGGCGTACTGTCAGATTCTTTATCTTCTAAATGGGTGTTATTTGAGCAGTTACTAAAACTGACTGTGTTAGGTTAACTACGCTAGCATTAGCATTGCTCAGCAGTGGAAAAGACTCCGTGTCTTGGTTCTCCGAGTACGTTTGTGGTAAAGGAAGAGAGATGGGCCGTATGAATGATTTTTGCCTAAAGTATTCGAACTCTTGAGTTGTTGGAATATGACTCTGCAGTCTTGGCTGTTTCTTTGCGACCGCTGGGCTGAGTGAAGTCATTTTATTCGAAAGGCTTGTGCACATTTAGCTTTGTTCAACACATTACAAACGAGTCAGTGGCTTACAGGGTACCTTCATACGGCTCTAATATCCTTCACAGTTCTCTGAGAGGCTGTGTTGCTAGGGGCAACACTGTATTCTTCAAGAAATGAAATGAAATGACCTGAGAGATGAAGTTGCATGTACTCAACCTTGAAATATGCATTGATTCCTTTTTCAGACTTGAATAACTCTTAACATTTGACATGGCATACAGAATTGACCGAAGCGCCATGTTCACCAATGTCACAGATGCTCAAATATGTAGTTGGAAGGCTATTTTCCAGATGAATCCAGCTTTAAAAACTATGTATTGATGAATCTTTACAAAAAGTGACTAATTAACATTAAGTAATGCGTTTGTTTGCATGAACGACACATAAAGTACTACATTAATAATGGCTAATATTAAATAAACAAGTAACAATTGCAGTAGTTAATATGTAACATTTAACTAATGTATTTGTCAACATTAAAAACACAGTTACTATGTTAATGATGGTTAGCTAATATTAAGTACACAATTGCATTAATTCCTATTTTTTTGTGATTTGTATTTGTCTGAGAATTTTCACAAGATTGAACTTTTACTGCCACCCCTCTGTTTCACGGTTCCTTTTTAGTCATTAACATTCTCTTCTTTGGGTTCAACTTTGTTCTGCTGTGTTGGTTCAGCTCCTGTTCTGCTTTACTGTTGATCGCTGTCACTTTGAAGCTTTAGTGTTTTTTTTTAGACTGAAAGATCCAAAAAGAGAAGAACAGAGAGAACAAACTTCAAACGAATAAATGCATTTGGGTCATTCTCCATTCGGAGTGGGAATTCAGGTGGATGCATTTTTAAAAAATCTGTTTCTTTCATCCCAAAACTAATCTTAATGTCCAATAACATCTCCTATTATCATACATGCGAAAAGGAGAGCTTAATTCCAAACATGCTTTACAGTCACTGGTGATATATGAATATGGTGTAACACCAGTGACAGTGACTCCAGTGACAATCTGGTGAAAACTGAGGATTTTGTAAAATGGCTGACTCACTGGTGGTCAGGTGACCTTGTGCAACTATTTAAAATCGGTAATGAAAATAAAATATGACATTATTTTGACGATTTTAATTACCCAGCCATTGAAGCAGAAAACACCAGTGACACACAGAAGTTACGTGCTGCTTGATAAACAAAATTATTAATAAATTAATGAAATAAAGTGAGCAAGTGGACTCGCCTTCTCATTCCTTGAGATGCTTCCTCTCTGATGAGCCCTGACCCAAAGAAGTTGTTAAAATGTAGTATAGGAGTCCTGATAACACCAGTGACCAAAAGGGAGACGTATTATTTAATCTTAGGTCAACTGTGTAAATATACATACTGACTTTTGGAGCTGTGCCTAATATTTTAAGCATCTCCTTAAACCCTGCAACCTTTGTGACATGGTTTCCCCTCCGAATGACCCTTTTGTTATTTGTTTACTTAATGCTAGCTAAGTTTGTTAATGTAGTGTCTCATGCGCTTTTAATGTTAGCAAGTACATTATTTAATGCTAAGGCCACTTTATGCTTCTGCGTTGAATCAACACAGCATCTACACTGTAACCTACACAAGTGGCCTACACTGTTGTGAGGGTTTATATTTGTGTGTTGGTGTGTCTGCATCGCTCTGTTATTGCACCAGTTCTACTTTTTTAACTTTCTGTCGCTTCAACCCCAGACATTTGAATTTTTGCTCTCAGATTTGAGTCTTTGTCCTCTAAACGGGTGTTTTTAAGCATCAGTTGGCTGGAACCGAGCCTGTACTGCAGTTGAGGCACTGTACGCTTGGGTTAGCTTAGCCTAGCAGGCTACACCTTTAAACACTACAGAACAAGCTTGATTTTGGTTTTCTGTCACTCACATCAGTCAGTCAGCCTTGCTGTCTCTGTTATAGGTTTTATTGTCTATATTTGTGATAGCAGAGCTTCAGTTAGTCGGGTAATCTCTACTCAGCTTGACTCATGTTAGTCATGTAACTCTCCATTAAAAATGGCCTTTGCTTTGAGTGACTTTATACCTTAATCATGTTTATTTTATTAAAACAAATGACTAAACATTCCATTTTGTCAGTAGCAAAACAGTCATAACTCTACCTAAACATTACCAAATGTTTCAGTAGTGACAATTTTACTTTGTTTTGAGCTCAAAAATGCAGCCAGTACATGACTAGAAAACACAGCTTTGAACAGCTGTACACATATAAAATCATCATATTTTTTATTAAAACGCAAAAAAAAGTTGAAAAGGTGTTTCGGTAGTGACAAATCTTAATGTTCCTCACTGATTTTCAGACTTTTGGACACATTTACTCCAAAAGAGGGATCTTACTGCTCACCATGTGGCCATGAGGCACAGGGATGCGTGGCTAAAATAAGGCTCCGCCTACAGGCTACAATTCTTGGTTTCGATAGTGACCAACAAAATCAAATCTTTTAACAAAACAAGACTAAAATTTGTTTTGTTTGCAACAGTTAGTTGGTTAATCGCTCCTCAGCATCTTGTTCATCTAACTCTTAACTGAATTTGAAACTGGCAGCGAAGAAGCAGAAGCTGGAAATGCGATGCTACCAAGCAGACCAATCACAGTTGTCGTGTTAGGTACGCAGTCCTTACGCCGGTGTAGATTTGACGCAGATGCCTAAATTGGCCTTAATGTGAAAACAGCATTAACTAATGCAGTTGTTACTTATTTACCTCATATTAGATAACTAGCACTAATGTAGTAATTAATTTGTTATTCATGTTAACAAATGCATTTCTTAGTAGGGATGGGATAAAATATCGCTACGGTGATATATCGCTTCCTTTTGTGATGCGTTATCAATACACTAGCACCAAATATCGATTTATTTAGTGAAACATGCATGAGCTGCAAATACTCTGAACAGACTCCCTCTCCAATTTGACTCACCAGATTCACTACTTCATGACTCCGCATGGTGACGCTAAGGCGCTATTCAAATTAGTAGGGTAAACCTGCGGTGAAGAAAAAGAACTGTCTCGTTAAAATAAAGCACACGGGCAACACAGCAAACATGCACAGCCACCGTCTTGTCATCATTCTGATCTGGCTGTTTAGAAAACAGCTAACGCTGCCACAACTCAAAGTCAGAGTCAGACTACAGTTAATACAGTGTTTAAAGCAAAACTTCCTTTTACGTCCCTGAGGGCTGTCAGTATTACTAAGTCTATTGCTGGGTTTATTTGCAAAGACCTTCGCTCATACAGTTAGAAAAGATTTTAGTGAGGCACAGTTGTGTTCTACCTTTAGGCATTTTAACCCCAGAACTATTCTGCTTTCTGGTAGTTTATGGCTGTTTTACTTTGGAATGATGACACTCGCAGTCAGTGTGTGTGTGTGTGTTAAAGAGGATGAAGCTAAGCTATGCACTTTGTGGCAACAGGTCAGTAATATGATTGGGTATGAAAGGAACATCCCATAGAGGCTGAGTGTTTCAGAAGTAAAGATGAGGAGGGGTTCACCACTCTGTGAAAGACGACACGATCAAATAGTGCAACAATTCAAGAATAACGTTTCTCAACATAAAATAGCAAAGAACTTTTGCTTTTCATCATCTGTGGTACATAATAACATTAAAAGATTCAGAGAATTTGGAGAAATCTCTGTATGTAAGGGACAAAGCCAAAAACCAGTATTGGCTGGCCATGATCTTTGGGCCCTCAGGTGGCACTGTTTTAAAAACAGACATGATTCTGTAGTGGAAATCACTGCGTGGGCTCAGAAACACTTCTGAAAACCACTGTCTGTGAAAACAGTTTGTCACTGCATCCACAAATGTAAGTTAAAACTTTAAAACGCAAAGAAGAAACCAAATATAAACAGGATCCAGAAACGCTGACATCATCTCTGGGCCTGAGCTAAAATTAACTTAGGGGAAGTGCAAAAGCGTCCTGTGATCCGACGAATCAACATTTGAAATTCTCAGCTCTCAGCTTGTTATCAGTGCACAGTTCAAAAGCCAGTATTCATGATGGTATAGGGGTGCATTAGTGCACTGCTGAACAATATATACAAGTTTTGGCAACATATGCTGCCATCCAGATGATGTCTTTTTCAGGGAAGACCTTGCTTATTTCAGCAAGACAATGTAAAGCCACATTCTGCATGTATTACAACAGCATGGCTCTGTATTAAAAGAGTCCAGGTGCTAAACTGGCCTGCCTGCAGTCCAGACCTGTCACCACCAAAAACATTTGTCACATTATGAAATGAAAAATACCACAAATGAGCACCTGAACTGTTGAGCAGCTGAAATCCTTCATCAAATAAGAACAAAGAGGATTTCACTTTCAAAACTACAGCAGTGTCTCCTCAGTTCCCAAACGCTTGCAGTGTTGTTAAAAGAAGAGGTGATGGAACACAGTGGTAAACATGCCCCCATACCGACTTTTTGGAACGTGTTGTTCGCATCCAATTCAAAATAGGCACGTTTTGCATTAAACAATAAAATTTCTCGGTTTCAACATTTGATATGTTGTCTTTGTAGTATTTTCCTTTATTTTTTTTTCCTTTAAATTTGCATATCATTGCATTCTATTTTTATTTACATTCTGCACAGCGTCCCAACTTTTTTGGAAATGGGGTTTTACATTATTCCTGCTATTTGCCTATTTAGGAGTATTTTATTTTCTTCAGTTGCACAGATATCGTAATGTATCGTAGAGGATTGTCTTGCAATATATTGAGTATCACAGAATCACACTATCGTAATATCATCATCAATATTATGGTCAGCGTATTGTGATATCATATCGTGAGATGCTTTGTGATTCCTGTGCCTGATTTCTTAGGCTTAGTTAGTGAGTACTTATTGTAAAGTGTCTAATGTTTCTTTATGTTTCTAGAAAGCTCTACTGGACAGACGGGGACAACATCAGTATGGCCAACACAGATGGCAGTAATCGCAGCATCCTTTTCACCAATCAGAAAGGCCCAGTGGGTAAGTGTTCTTTTCCTGGAACACAGAGATCTTTTATATTAGTGAAGAGTACTTCAATCACCGTGGCTTTGATTAAAATGTTTTTAAAGGTCCTTTTAGAGCTCCATTTTGCCGTTTCAATGTTCTTTTATTACACATAAATGTCTCAAACTTGGTTTTGTAGACTTTTTCCAACCTCTGCCACTTTAGCCTTTATCTATTTTGAGGCACATTAGCACTGGAGCATTTTGCTGAGCTATTTCTTTAATGTGTAATCAGCCAGAAGCCTTTTCACTCCATTAAAAAAAATTAAACCTGGTCATAAAAGGCAGACAGTTTGGTAACACAGTCGGCTGCTCCTGGTCTGAGACTGCAGGCTTTTTTTTTATGCTCTCTGCTCCACATAAGGGGTCAAACAGATTGAGTTTTAGACTTTACACTAAAATCCTTTTGCTGTAAGTGTCCCTATATCTTAATTATGCTTATTTTATTAAAACTAATGATTGAACATTCCATTTTGTCTCTATCTAACTGTCATACCACTGCCCAAACTTTAAATGTTTCAGCACTGACTGTTTCGGTAGTGACAATTTCAGCTCATTTTGAGCAGAACTCAAAAACGCTAGCCAGTCCATGACTAGCAAAACACAGCTTTGAACAGCTGTACACACACAAAATTATCATATTTTACATTAAAACACAAAAAAACTGTGTTTTGATAGTGACAGTTCCTAATGTTCCACACTGATTTTCAGACTTTTGGGACACATTTACTTCAAAACAATGGGATCTAACTGCTCACCATGTGGCCATGAGGGAAAGGGATACAGCCTCACTTCCTGCTCTAAAATGCAGGGGTGTGGCTGAAATAAGGCTCTGCCTACAGACTAAAACTCTGTGTTTCAGTAATGACCAATGAAATCAAAAACGATCTTTTAAAAACACGCCTAAATTTGTTCTGTATGATTGCTCTAAAATGATAAATGTCCTACAAATTCAGCCAGAGGTGTGTAAACTTACTTTCCATAGCACAAGACACACCCACTCTGCTCTGATTGGCTGCACCCAGGTGTCAGGTTTAGGTCATAGATAGTGGTTTTCATAAAGACGGTCCACTCTCCTCTCCCTGTGCTACAGGTCTGTCCTTGGACTTTGATGAGCGTCGTCTCTACTGGGTCAGCTCCGGCAATGGCACCATCAGCCGCTGCAATCTGGACGGAACCGGATTGGAGGTGCTGGAGGGAGTGAAGGGCAAACTCAGCAAGGCCTCCGCTCTGGCTATAATGGGTAACGGCGCAGCACTGCACTGCTGACAACCACGATTTAATAATCAGTTCATCAAAATGACTCATTTCAATCACAGGAAAAGCTACTGGCCAGTGTACAGTGCTGTGAAAAAGTATTTGCCCCCTTCCCAATTCCTTCTATTTGTGCATATTTGTCACACTTGAATGTTTCAGATTATCAGACTAATTTTAATGTTAGACAAAGAAAACCCAAGTAAACAGAAACTGCCGTTTCTAAATGTTGATTTTATTTATTGAAGGAAACATGCTGTTCAGTTCTGTCTGGCCCTATGAGAAAAAGTAATTATATACTAAATTTAACCAAATTCTGAGTCAAAAACCTGACATGAATCTTGAAAACTTAAATGGTTCTATGAATAATTAAACGGTTCTTCAGATTGATAGTGTTGTATGTAACCCTTTTGAAAATGGTTCTGTATAGCACCAAAAAGTGTTCTGCTATTGTGATGGTGTCAAGCTTGTATACAATAGAAGAACCCTTTTTGGTGCTATACAATCATTTCACCATGGTTCTAAATAAAACCACTTAATTTACTGTACTAAATGATACTAATTAATCCATTTAAAACTAGAACATTCTGTTCTTGTGTCTTGCTGTCTTTGTTGATGTTAAGTTCTAATGCCTGATGGGTTCTGGTTCTGTCGGTTCTAGGTGATAAGCTGTGGTGGGCGGATCAGGGGACAGATCAGATTGGCACCTGCGATAAGAGAGATGGAGGGAACTGGAAGGTTCTGCGGAACAGCACCTCACCCATGATGCACATGAAGATCTACAACGAGACTGTGCAGACAGGTAGAGCTGAGAGATTATTATGGTTGATTTAAACTTCTTTTTTTTAATTGATTTATTATTGCTGGGTGATTATATCAGTGTATTAGGTGATGTATTATGAGATCATGGAATTTGCATACTGTGCTACTTTTTGGTTTTAGCAACATTTTTAGCAATATAGTTGAAACACAATGAGCAGTATTTTAGGTTGTTTTGAAAGAGCAGATTAAAATCCATATGAACTGAATAAACAGTGACGTAGTAATAGTGATAGTATTAGTGATCTTGCTTTTCCATTTTTAGTGATAAAGTCGCGTATTTGATGGGTTAGAAAGCGTTAATCTAATTCCTGTAAAAAAAGTGTCTTGGTTAGAATTTAGTTCAACTTTAAGCTTTTTAATTCTATTTTCTAAATTTTAAAATCCTTAAAAATGAGACAAACAGTAGGTTTTCTTTCTGTAAAACTCTTTTCTGTCTAGTTAACATTTACAGTACTGTGTAAAATTGTCATTGGTGTCATTTAAAGAGAAGAAAACAGTCCAATCAGGACAAACTCCTTAGGGATTGTCTAAAATTGTTTTATGTGCAAAGTAGCAGTTCTCAGCTCACTAACTTTATTACCGATAACTGATTTACTTTATTAATGGTTACTGATTTAACTTTATTAATGCTAACCTCTTCACTTTTATTGATGCTAAATTATTTTCTCCATCAATGCTGACCTGTTAATTAATGCGAACTTATCTTTATAAATGCTAGATTATTAACTTTATTAATGCTAACATATTGACTCTGTTAATGCTAGCCTATGCCAACGTGTCAACTATATTATTGCTAACTTTTCAACTGTGTTAATGCTAACTTTATATCTTTATCTATGTAAACATAATGATTTTACTAATTCTAGCCTATTAACTTTATTAATGCCATATTATTGCCAGCTTTTTAATTTTATTAATGCTAACTTTTCAACTATCAATGTTAACTTATTATTTTTATGAATTTAAACATATGACTACTAATACTAGCCTATTAACTTTGTTAATTTTAACATGTTAACCATATTATTGCTAACTTGTAAACTCATCTTTATTAACTTTGTTAATGCTAACATTTTAACTAAATCAATACTAACTTATTATCTTTATTAATTCTAACAAATTAACTTGATAAATACTAAGTTAAATATCATCTCGGACCTTGATTTTATCACCCAACCCCACATTCTTTCATTCATGTTGATTGTTGTTTTAATTCTAACGGTTCTAAAGCTGATTTTTGCTCTTTTCAGGCTCCAACTTATGCAGTAATAATAATGGAGATTGCTCTCAGCTGTGTCTGCCCACCTCTCCGACCACCCGGGCCTGCATGTGTACGGCTGGATACAGCCTGAGGAGCGGTCAGCAGTCCTGCGAGGGTAACGGCACACATACACACACACACACACACACACACACACACACACACACACACACACACTGGGGCTTGACTGATACAGCCGTAAGCAAAAGTTTGAACACACTGGTCAAATTACAAACAACAGACCTAAATTTTAGTGCACAGTTTCTTTTTAATTTTCTAGATATTACACATACAATATAAAACGTGCTATATCTTTTGCACAGACCACATTGTGTGTTTCATTTTTTCCCTCAATATGGTAAATTCAGCAAATAAACAGTAATTGTGTGTTACAGTGTGCAGAAGTGTGTCTCTGAAGGTGTGTTCACTTATTTACAATCAGAAAATCAACACAAACGTGGATATTGCCCAGGGGTGCCCAAACATTGGCATAGAACTGAATATTTTGCCAAATATTTTTCCACTCAGACCATTTTAAGCAGGTAAAAATACTGTATATAATGATTTACCATCCAGTATGATTGCCAGTTGTGAACTGACAAATTTCTTAAACTCAGGCAGGTGAAACTCATCCTAAAGGGCACATTTATATGAAGTTTTATATGTATATAATATTGCCGTTTTTCAGTTTTTGACATAGTTTAAAAAATGTCTGTTGGTCTTTACACTGTTTGTAAATTTCATGATGAATGGACCAAAAGAATATATATAAACTATTACATAACAGTTGATTGAACAAGCCTCTAATAACTATTAGGGCCTGTTTACACCTTGCCTTAACATTTTTGGTGATTGGATAACATGAGCATTTCACTTGTTGAGCGCATGAAAAGCCAGGTGTAAACACTCTCAGGACGTGTTGTGAGCATATTCGGAGGTGGTCAGAGACGGACCTTGACCAGATTTATCACAAGTGTAAACCGTGTCCATATACAATTACGTGAGCAGAAATGCGTCAGCCAAGTGCTGACTAACAACAGAGAGAATAAACAAAATGAAATGAAAGATGGAGGATATGTGAGGCTCAAATTCACCAAACCTAAGTCTTCATGCGCTCCAGGCCAATGAAAGCGTCCAAGCTGAGCTTGTCGCTCGTATCATACTGTGGAAAAAAGGACATGTTGTACATGTTGACATGCTTCTTACACGGGAAAGTACAATCAGATCTCACCTGTTCAAGCTTGGGGCTCATTTTATACACTTAAAAAGGTGGTTCTTCAAGGGTTCTTTAGTAAAGGCAGTGTAAAGGTATTTAGAACCATGAGTTTTATATCAAACCATTTTGTGATTAAATGGTTCTCTGCATGGTGATTTATAGTTCTATGTAGATCCTTTTCAAAAATGGTTCTGTATAGCTCCAGAAAGCGTTCTGCTATTGTTACAAACTAGACATAACAATCACAGAACAATAGAATTACTCTTTTTGTGCTATATAGAACCATTTTCAGAAAGGTTCTATGTTAAACTCATCGCCAACGCCTTTACTAAAGAACCATTGAAGAACAGTCCTTTTTTAAGTGTGTAGTAAAAAGTGTAAATGGAATCCAGCCAAAGTTTATCCAGATACGATCCAGATGTGAAACACGTGTTAATGCGAGGTGTAAACAGGCTCTCAGTGCTTTATCAGGAGGATTTTCCAGATTCCAGTAAATCTGTGGAACCTCAATATCAACCAGATGGTGTATCAGCAAAGCCAGTGTTTCTTGTTCCCGTTTATCTAAACACAGCACAGCACAGTGTTCAGTGCAGAGTCGGTTCTGTGGAGTTCTTTACTAAATTATTCCGGCAGGCCTGTTTAATTATGTCATTCCCAACAGTATGTTTTATTTAACTGTTATGCAAAACAGTATAAAACTGAGCACAATGCTATAAACACATCACCCATCCAAACGAAAGCCCTCCACGCTCGGTACAGTTCACATCAACGGCCGTAAAGTACTTTGACCCGACTTGATAAGGATCTCAAACACAGCTTACATTCGTAGCGTGAAAGTGAGAAGCTCTGGAGCGGAGAACGAGTGTGAAAGCTAACGAGAACCGGCTGCTCAGCTTAATCCTGACCTTTATTACTTTCACTCGCTTCCATTGCTTTGTTTTGATGTTTAACAATGGTACACTCTTAAGATGATTCTTCGAAGGTTCTCTTTGCATTATTAAAGGGTTCTTTGCATGGTTAAATTGTTCTTCAGATTGATGGAGAATGTGCTGTAGATGATTCTGTATAGAACTTCTTTGAAAAGAATTCTATATAACACCAAAAAGGGTTCTTCTATAGTTACAATGTCAAGCCTGTTACAGTTGAAGAACGCTTATTAGTGCTACATAGAACCCTTTTCAAAAAGGTCTTATATAGAACCTGCTTGAAAATGGTTCTATATAGCACCAACAGCTTTCTTCTGTTGTTACAGTGTCGGGTTTGTTACAGTAGAAGAACCCTTTTTAGTGCTACGTAGAACCCTTTTCAAAAATGTTCTGTATAGGTCCTTATACAGCACATTCTCCAATCTGAAGAACCATTTAATGATGCAAAGAACCCTTTAATCATGCAAAATGTTTTATACAGATCCACTGCCTTTACTAAAGAACCCTTGAAGAACCCTCTTTATGTGTGTAGTATTTTCACTCTATAAGGAACTAATTTGTTTTAAACTGCTGCATTAAGAACTGTATACTGTTGTGATTATTATTTGGGTATGATGACCGTAAGAATGACCTCTCCTATTGGCTGTTTAAAGGTGTGGGCTCGTTCCTGCTGTACTCTGTGCATGAGGGCATCAGAGGAATCCCACTCGACCCAGCTGATAAGTCGGATGCTCTGGTGCCGGTCTCAGGCTCATCGCTTGCTGTTGGCATCGATTTCCATGCTGGTGAGTGTCATTGTTCGGCTTTTATGCTTGTCCTAATGGTCAGTTTGTAATCTAAAACTCGCCCAGTTTCCCCAGAGTTTGGTGTGAAGCGTGACTGTTCCTCATTTCTCAAACTGAGTACACAAGGGTTTTCATGTAACTGCCAAAAGATTTAGTCTGTAGGCGGAACCTTATTTTAGCCACGCCCCTGCATTTTAGAGCAGGGAGTGAGGCTGTATCCCTGTCCCTCATGGTGAGCAGTTAGATTCCATTGTTTTAAAGTCAGTGTGTTCCAAAGTCTGAAAATCAGTGTGGAACACTAAGGGCACTTTCACACCTACCTCATTTGGTGTGGACCTATCTAACTCTTTCTTTAGAGTCTCTCTTTGCTTCCAATTTCAGTTTGTGGCTGGTGGGCACACATTTTTTGTGAGGGTCCACACCGAACAAGGAAAATCAACATCAGAGCACGCTTTCCTGCTTCACCAGCGCTGCACTGTCCACATAATCTGCCTGTTTTAACATTTGACTCTTTACAGACGCTCATATCCTTCCTGCAGCTCGAGCTGCTGATAAAAACAACAGAGCAGTAAAATAATAGTGAAGCAAAGCCTTTAATTTTGGCACATGAATCACATCACATCATATCAGTTTGGCACACGAAAACGCATTGCGTCAGTGACCTGACGGGGTACATTCAGATTGCCACACCAATCATGAAGAAGCAGATATCAAATAAGATTTATTATTATTATTGCTTTGACTGATACAGACGTTAAATACAACATCACAAACCTCAAACTCTCGTTTGGACTAGGTGTGAGAGCAGCCATAGCATTGTCACTACTACAACACATTTTCTGAAATTAAGTAAATTAAGGCCCAATTCCATTTCACCCCTTGTCCCTACCACTTAGCCCTTACCCCTCTGTTTTGCTCAATCGTGCCTAGGGGTAGGGTGTCCTGATTCTTGTTGAGATAGAGGGGTAGGGTGAAGTGTTAGGACTATGTAGCCCTCCAAACTGAGGTTTTTCAGAGACACACTCCAAACAGAGTGTTATGAGGGGGAAAAAAGAAAAACCAGCAAGATGGCTGCACAAGCGACCAAAGAAATCCACAAATGTGAGAATTTTCTCTGTTAAAATGATACGATAACCATTGTATTATCTTAGTCGTTTCAATGTATTATGGTCCTTTTCCTCATAACAAGCAAAAAAAAATCACTAATATAATAGTATGCTGATATTTCGGTCCACCGTAGATAGTCCAGCAGTTCTGACACCTGAAGCTCCAGAATGTAACTGCTGCTCCAATTAAGGTGGAAGACAAAAATTTGAAACAAGAAGTTGGCGAATAGCTGACTTCAGCTTCATATCACTGAAGAATTAGGGGTGGTTGATAATTAATCCCTTTTCATAGGGAAGATTTAACTGAGTTCCAAGGGGCAAAGAGACACTCGACACAAGGGATGGGGTAAAAATAAGAAATGGGATTGGGCCTTAATTAAGTGATACTTAAAGAGATTTGGTCAGGACGTTTTGGCACACGTAGAATGCCTCTCAGCCAATCACATTGCGAGGTCAAAGCTAACTGTGGTACAATGTCTCTTAGACAATGACACAATCTACTGGGTGGACATGGGCCTGAGCACCATCAGCAGAGCAAAGAGAGACCAGACCTGGAGAGAGGACGTCGTCACCAATGGCATCGGTAGAGTGGAGGGCATAGCAGTGGACTGGATTGCAGGTTTGGCGCACACACACACACACACGCGCACACACACACACACACACGTGTCCATGATAATTCTGCTGAAGACTTCATGGAAATGCTTATGTGAGTACTCAAGCATGTCATGAGTTAATGTTTGGATGCTGTATCTTTTACGATAAGACTTTAATGGCATCAGTCTCTGTGTAAACACTGATTGTATAAAGCCTTCCAACGCTGTTCGTCATGAGATTTTCATACATTATGAGTCAACTTTAAGGGGAATTCCACCAATTTTTCAAAAATTTTGCCTAATTCAGTGTTTGAGATGTAAACGAAGTCATTCAGTGAACCTGCATGTGTCTTCTAAGTTTTTATATGTAATGTTGATTGTTAAATAGGAAGACAAGCTCATTTATAAAGCACAAAGGCAATTCAGTTTGTTTTACATAAATAAAAGCAAAAGGAACATCAGAAGGAAAAATATAGGCGAAGTGCTGAAGAGTGAAAAACAATAAAAATAAAAAATAAAGTGGTAACTAATTAAACAGATAAAAGGAAGTACACAGTTCGTAAGAGCAAAATAGAATTGACAGAACATTTCAAAATAGAAAATAGAAATAAAAAGTGCTTGAGCTCCAATATAGGCACACGAAAGCAGAATGTAGTAGAAAATCTAATATGTGGGGAATACTTTGCCTTTTTGCCTGTTTTCTTTCATCATGAATGGGTTTAAAAAACTACGTCTGAGGCTGAGGCCCTCTCAGAACCATCATAAAACAATGTCTCAGACATCAGGCAGTGTGTTCATAACCATTTCATATAACAACTTTCTGTGAGGGAGCTTTTAGAGGTGGACGTCTGGTCCCTGTCACCAACACTCTGAACAATTCTGACTCTGGAACAGAGCATTTCATACCAAAACACTCTCAATGACTTTGTTTACATCTTAACAGTTTAATTATGCAGAAATCTATGGGAAAAAAACTGTAAAAGCACAGGTGTAAACCTCCAGAGACAGTAGCACATAGTGTAAGTTTGCTGATACGCCACTTTTCTTTGCTGTGATACGCTCCTCTGGTAATCACAGTAACTGTAATTGATTTAGGCTAGAAAATGCAAGAAAATAGGAAGGTAGACAAAAATCTGAGCGTGACAGGATTATTGATGTAAAATTTATGCTGTCAACTGTAGTAAACTGTTGAGGCCTGATGTGACCATTTACCTCCAAATTAACATAAATGTAAAAATGATACACGTAAGCTGTACAGGTTGACGGTAAAGCATGACTGATATAGCAGCTGGCTGACTCTATCAGCCGACATTGGCAAGCTGCTGTTTTATTGGTATTGGAGATCACTAATAATTTGCTGCTAATAGACACTAACTGTTTTTGTAGCAGCAGATAATAGAATTAAACTTTACAAAAAAACAGAAGAATCTATCCTTTAGCATGACGATTATGTTATATCATGAAATAGCATTTTTGTAAAGAATCATAAGAGGTATTTAAAAGAAACCTTATTTAAGATTGAGTTTCTGCTGTTTTTTGAGTTTGGCAAACATAGAAGTCAGCAAAGCGCTGTTTAACTGAAACTATTGGAACATAACATTATACAATATAAATCTAAAAATATATCAGCTCAAATTATCGATAATGGAAATTTCTAGTCTGTAATATTTCCGTATGCCTCAGAATTCCACCTTTTTTCTGCCCTCCTTAGGAAACATCTACTGGACTGACCAGGGCTTTGATGTGATCGAGGTAGCCCGGCTGAATGGCTCTTTCCGCTATGTGGTCATCTCACAGGGGCTGGACAAACCCCGAGCCATTGCTGTCCACCCGGAGAAAGGGTGAGCTTCCTCTCATCTTCTGTCCTTTCACATACAAACACACGTCAGAGCTTCGCCTCACTCGCAGCTCGTGTTCGCAGGTATCTGTTCTGGACTGAATGGGGTCAGTATCCGCGGATCGAGCGGTCTCGTCTGGACGGCACTGAGAGGGCTGTTCTAGTCAACGTCAGCATCAGCTGGCCCAACGGCATTTCCATCGACTATGAGGTAAAAGCATGCATTAAAGGGAATTCCACTGGTTTTAAAATTTCTGCATACTTGTTAAGAGGTAAACAGTCATTCAGAGTGGTTTGATTAAAAATGCATGATTGCAGAGAAACTTAATGATTTCCTCACTACGGATGACTTTGTTTATCTTAATAGAATAAAGCAGAAATTTTGAAAATCACTGGAATTCGCCTCTATAGCAGAAAACATTATAATACTTGGACATTTTCACAATAAATGTCACAATATTTAGTTATTATTTTGTTAGAATGGCAAAAAAATACCAAAACAGTAGCTTTTTAAGATGGAATTTGGGTGCACAAACTTTTGCAAACTTTTTGCATGATGATAATGTGTAATTTAAATTGCTGTCCTGCTCTCTCTTACTGTGAGAAACAGAGCCTGATGGACACACACATTCATATAATTTTATTTATATAATTTTATTATATGTTATATGTTGACTATTTTTATTATATAGTACTGAAACAGCATTGGTTTGTGTCGTGAATGACCTCAGGTTTAGTGCTGAGGCACAAAATCCTTCTGTTCTGGTTTTAGTGGATCTTAGTGCAGCTTTTGATACCGTTGAGCAAAAGATTCTAATCCACAGTCTTGTATTCTGGGTCGGCCTCTCAGGCACAGTTTTAGAATGGTTTAAATCATGTGTAGGTAATAGGCAGTTCATAGTTTCAGTGGGAAATTATTCAGTAAAAAGAATTGGAGTCCCTCAAGGTTCAGTTTTAGGGCCTTTGCTTTTCGCTTTATACATGCTACCTGTAGGTGATGTCATTAGGAAACATAATATCAATTTTCATAGCTGTGCTGATGACACACAGTTATACATTTCCATTCCTTCTGATAATCAAGACTTCATAAACAATCTGACCAGCTGTGTGTCAGAAATTTCTCATAGAATTTTCTACAATTAAATCAAGAAAAAACTGAAATACTGATTGTTGATGCTAAAACTCAGAGAAAGCTGCTTTATGAGAAGCTCGGTTTAGCTTCGTATACCAAACCTGAAGTAGGAGACCTGGGTGTGATCTTAGACTCTGAGCTCTGTTTTATCTGCATGTAAACGCAGTAAACTAAAGTAGCTTTTTATGATGTGAGAAGTATCACTGAAGTTCAGCCATTTCTATCTCAGAGCGATGCAGAGAAACCTATTGATACGTTTGTTTAGCAGAGTTGATCACTGTAATGATCGTTTTACTGGAGAAAACAGTCCATCCTCTACAACTCATACAGAACGCAGCAGCACAGATCCTCACAGAGACAGAGAGCTCATATCACCCCCGTTTACACACTGCACTGACTGCCTGGATCTTTTAGGAGAGATTTTAAAGCTCTGCTGCTTTTTAAAGCTCTAAATGACCTTAAAGCTCCTCAGTGTCTGTCTATGATCTTAGATCTGCAGATACTGACCTTCTACAAACACCTTCCTTAAAATACAGAAAACGTGGACAGACTCTTTCTGATATTCTGCTAGTAAACTCAAGAGCTCAGAGCTCACTTTTAATAAACATCTGAAAACACAGCTCTTTAACTCAGCACTTCATTAAAACTCTATGGCTCTTTGGTCTTTATCTTTTTTAGCCTAACCTGTGTCTTTTTTTTATTATTTTAAATTAATACTCAAAATTTCTTGTATTACTGTAAAACATTATCACCTGTCTGTAAAGCACTTTGAGCTGCCACCAGCATGAAATGTCCTATATAAATAAAGATTATTATTATTATTATTATTAAAAGTTATTTAAACTATGACTCTGTTATTCCTCAGAAATAATCAGTGGGTTGCTTGATTGTTAATACAATCAATGATGATCTAATCAGATGATCTGTGTCTCCTGCAGGAGGGTCTGCTGTACTGGTGTGACGCGCGCACTGATAAAATCGAGCGCATTAACCTGGAGACGGGAGAGAACAGAGAGCTGGTTCTGGCCAGCAACAACATGGACATGTTCTCCGTCTCTGTGTTCGAGAGCTACATCTACTGGAGCGATCGGTCTGTGATGTTTATTGTGTATGACCTCATTAATGAGCTGCCGAGTGTGCAGTAAGGCCTCAGTGCCTTAAGGGCTTTTAAAATAAAAATGATAGAGAAGTAGTTCCGTGTCAGTGTCCACACAAATTTGCAGTGCTATGTAGCATATTGTACTTTATTGCCTGTCTGGATCGCTTTGCTCAGCTGATCCAGGCTCACTGCACAATGTAGGATCTCTTACATCTCAGATAATGGAAATCATTTTCTTATAGCGCCTAATTTCTGGAATGTTCCAGAGAATATTAGGCGCGCAAGCTTGATGAATGTTTTAGATTTAGATCAGATTCGTTCCAGCCAGTAAATTCCTAGAAGTATTGCGGCTCATTTTCTCCTGTCTGTAATTGTTCTGTTTTTATTCAAGTGCAGTTTTAACGTTTCCAATGTTTTGCTCATGTTCTTGCATTTTAAGGTTTTGTAACTAAAATGAAACGTAATTTATAAATAAATATTTATTATTTATCATATCACAAAATAACAAAAATATTTTTTTTGAAGTGTTACTATGCTGCTAAGAGCACCTACAGAGCACGTAGTGTGACAGTGATTGTTTTTAAAAAGATGTAGCCACAAATTAATTAATTGAGGCCACAAATTAATATACTGTGGCCACGAGTTAAGTTTCTTTCAATATAGTGATTTATGGCTTCAATATAGTGATTTGCAGCCTCAGTAAATTAATTTGTGGCCTCAATATAGTAATTTATGGCCTCAATATATTACATTTTGCGGCCTCATTATAGTACTTTATAGCATCAATGTAGTGCTTTGAGGCCTCAATTTAGTAATCTCTGGCCCGCATACAGTAATTTGAGGCCTCAATGTAGTAATATGCAGTCTTAATATATTAATTTGTGGCCTTAATATTGTAATTCATGGCCTAAATATAGTAATTTGTGGCCTCAGTATAGTAACTTGTGGCCCTAATATAGTAATTAGTGTCCTCAATATAGTAATTTGAGGCCTCAGTATATTCACGTGTCCATGCCTTATTAAAAATAATCACTTTATCGTCTTAGGGCCTCCGTAGCTAAGAAACTGGTCTGAATGGATCAGGTTAAACTCCACTATGCTGCTCTAAAGTCTCTTAATATTGTATTTTTATAGTGTTTAATGTTCTAATGAACCACCGATGCAACATTGTAACATTAAAGCACATTTTTAGTGATTTCTTATTGTTGCGGTTTTGAAAAATGTATTGTATTGAGACCCCACAGCATCGTAGGGAACCAGATTGTGAATTTTGTGAATTACTCCCCTGATATTTACCCCTCTTCAAAATATATAGATTTATAACTTTCACAATTACTTTTATCTGGCTGTTCACCACAGACATTAAGACTCTAAAGAATTACTGTTGTTATTCTTAGTCAACCATTTTTAATACTTTTTTTTTCACAGCACTCATTCTAATGGCTCTATAAAGAGAGGAAGTAAACACAACGCCACAGACTCTGTCACTCTGAGGACGGGGCTCGGAGTGCAGCTGAAAGACATCAAGGTTTTCAACAGAGCCCGACAGCAAGGTGAGGCTGTTTATCTTGTGCTCATAACAAAATCCTCCTGTTTAATCACTCGGTATTATATGGTCAGTGTAAAGTGGCCTGTTTCTGTGAAAATAGTGTAGAATTCAATATAAATATAAATGACCAAAAACTTTTCTGTGTTGGTTTGTGTTGTTAATGTTGAATCAGTTCTTGTTGTTGGGGAGATATTAGGGGTCCAAACACTCGATAATATAAAACTAATCTAGTTGCAGATAAATGTGTAAAATTATTCTAATCTGCTCGTCCTGAACATCTTCACAGCTGATAGATAACCAGAAGGGAGCTATAAATAAACGTATAGAAGTGTAAGATGGGTCCAGAATGATGAGCAGAGCTGTAGAAGGTTCTAAAATGACTGAGAAAGCTTTAGAACATCTGTAATTAAGTTATCATGAAATGTATATCCAGAATTCATTATAGTTCAAAAATCTCAAGGCAGAAACTTGACAACAAATGATCTAAATATATAATTGTATATAATTTATCATTTTATTCACTTCTTGAACTATTAAATAAAACATCTAAAAGTACTTATGTAATACTTAAAGCACAATTATGTAATGCATTATATAGAACAGTTGAAAGCAAAAGTTTGGGTCAAATTCCAGACATTCAGGACATCCTCTTCAGCTCATGTGTCTAGTTCAAGTGATTGGGCAGTTTCAAAAACCTACTGCCCATTGGGAATATTTGAATTGGTTTAACAGTTACCTGCAGCTAATGTAGTCTGTTGTTTTATATAAAACAATTTGCTTTTATTGAAAATTATTTTTGAATGGTTCAGGTATTTCATTGCCGTTGTAGCATATTTTGAACAAACCAGTTGGGTTCATTGCAAAATGTTAAGTAAAAATAGAATAAAAACACAGCTGGCCCATGGATTTGTTGAGATTTTTAAAATGACCTCTTTAATGGTTGAGTGTGACACCGCTGCTCTATAGTGAACACACTTGTGCACATTTCAATACACACTTACTGTCAATAGAGCTACATGACACCTACATAAGCTTGTAATGACAACTGACATAATCCTACATAACTGTTTATAAATGCTTATTCCAGTGGGCGTCATCTGTCATAAAGGCTACTTTAGCTAATCAAAATGGGCAAATGTAGCCTTTATCGTGAATGATGCCTATTGGAATAAGCATTTATATACATTTATGTAGGGTTATATCAGTTGTCTTGACAAGCTTATAAATGTGTCATGTAGCCTAATGAACAGAACCCTACAGTAAAGAGTTACCAAATAAATAAGTTAATAAAATGTGATACAAATAAAAAATGTTATGTCACTTTTTTTAAATAATTAAACAACATAATAATTATTGCATATAATAATTGGAAATATCTAACGTAATGTTATTGTAATATTGTAATATTATTTACATTGTAATATGTGATTATATGCTGTGTAATAATTGTTATTCTAAACTCATTTTCCAACTTGCAGGAACAAACGTATGCAAAGAAAACAATGGCGGCTGCCAGCAGCTGTGCCTTTACCGCGGTAAAGGACAGCGGACATGCGCCTGCGCCCATGGCATGCTGACCGAGGACGGGCTGAGCTGCCGCAACTACGACGGCTACCTGCTGTACTCCGAGAGGACGATACTGAAAAGCATCCACTTGTCAGATGAAAACAACCTGAACGCGCCAATCAAGCCGTTTGAAGACCCCGACCACATGAAGAACGTGATTGCGCTGACGTTCGACTACCGCGGCGGAGGAGGCAAAGGAGCCAACCGCATCTTCTACAGCGACATCCACTTCGGAAACATCCAGCAGATCAACGACGACGGCTCCGACCGGAAGACGGTGGTCGAGAGTAAGTGACTAAAGCTTTCCGCCTTTTCTGTGATTAGAGTTTATATTGATCTCTTCACGATCCTTTAGTATCTAAGTCAAAAGATCTGAAAGGTCTTGATTTTGACTCGTAAAGCAGCTCACGTCACCTTTTGTGTCTTTGGTGCTGTGCAGAAGGCTCGAACTCTACACATGAAGGTTCTACTCTTCTCGTCGTTTAGAGGAGTTTTAGAGGAGTCTTAATTATCAAAATTAGGGTTAGGATTAGGTTTGGGGTTGAGGTTAAGGTTAGGATTAGGGCCAGGGTTAGGTTTTGGATAAGGTTGGTAAGGTTAGGTTTTGCGTAATGGAAGTATCAGCGGAACATCTACAAGATATTTACTTTTAATGTATTCAGATGCTTCAGTACTGCTATTTCACTGATATGTTGTTGATGTGTTACTGATAATCTGTTAAGAGTTTATTAATCATCTACAAAGGACCACTCCAAGTAAAGTGTTACCAAAAGTTTTGGCTTATTATTATTAGTATTATTATTATTATTATTACATGCTGTCTGTAAGGAGAAAAATACATGCTCAAATATAAATTAAGGGAAAGCTCATTGGTTAGCTACACAATCAGTAAGCTTTATTTTATTTATTTATTTTATGTTTAAATCTGTAAACTCGCCCAGTTTCCCAAGAGTTTGGTGTAGAGAGTCACTGTTCCTCATTTCTCAAACTGAAGACAGAAGAGGAGATGAGTAAGATCTCTGTTAATGTGAGGAAGAGCGCATCACTAAACTAAAACAGAGGACTTCCAGAAGAACTGTTAAAACAAACATTTCATTGGCATTGAAGCATCAGCGCTGCTATGGTGAGGGAGTTAGCAGCCAGCCATGGGACCCCTGGATACCAGGGGGGATTTCACACCCTGGATGTATGTAAAATGACTCAGTCCTTGTGACATCACAGAAACAATGAATTCAAAACTGTTTTCTCACCGCTTAGTTTCCATGTATTTCCATGTATGAAATAGGGAGTGAGTGGTACAATATAAACGTTAACATTGTTTCCATATTACATCAAACTCTTTTACATTACAATGATTTGGGCCCTTTAAGCCTTACTGAACACCAGGTTTGTCTTTCGGTGTGTCTACAATGTTACGCTCATTGTAGATGTGACTCGTACACAGTACACATCCTCTGTAGGCTGGAGAGAGTCTGACTCAAAGCCACAGAAACTCTCACACAGACGGAGCAGGGAGGTGCAGGGAGGATCTCACAGCCAGTTCTTTTGTTCAATGTAAAAACAAACAGATCATTCTCTCAAATAAAGCGCTACTGAGACTCAGAGAGGAGGAAAACAGAGCGAGGGATGATTTCTGGCTGCTTTTATTGTTTTCCTTCTGACAAAATAAAACACTTGTGGAGGGTAATTGTGACTTTTATGGAGCCTAAAACAACGCAAAGAATTTTCAGGCCTTCTACAGCTTCATTCTAACTTTGTTCAAATAACTAAACACTTTGTTAAAGGGCCTGTGTCCTGTCTTTGTCTTGCCTGATATCCTTTTATGACGTTTGGATGGGTTTCTGAGTTTTATATGGAATGTTGACGATGGTAAAATAGTGGAAAATCTGAAAAAATTAGGGTTCTTTGGGGACTATTTTGCTTCACAACACCCTGCATGCATCCCTCCACCATTAATGGAGTTTAAAAGTACATTTTAGACGAAAACCTTCTTCAAAACTCTCATAAAAATCAACGTCTCAGACATCAGGCAGTGTATTCAGAACCATTTCTTGTAATAACTTTCTGTGAGGGAGCTTTTAGAGGTGGATGTCTGGTTCCTATCACCACCACTGTGAACAATTCTGGCTCTAAGTTTCTCTGGAACGGAGTGTTTCACACCAAACCACTCTGAATGACTCTGTTTACATCTTAACCACTTAATTATGTAGAAATTTTGACAAGACACATCGTATACCTTGAAGTAAGCTCACTTCTGTGGAAGACAGTAATAATTACAGTAATAGTAATCTTTTTTAAGAAGGTTGCTCGCCACAGCTTTTTCTGCCCATGAGTTTTTTGAGTTCCTTTCTGAACTTTTGCGACATGAAGACGTACAGGATGGGGTTCACAACAGTAGAAGAAATGGACATGACCCGGGCGAAGGTGGCGAAAGGTCCATAACGCGGTGAGTTCCCTGTCGCCGCTGGCTGATATGCAAGTTGGGCAAACATCAGGCTGTAGGAGGGCAGCCAGCAGAGCGCGAAAGCCAGCACGAGCAAAACAGACGTGTGGGTCACCTGCGTCTGATAGTGTTCCAGGCGGTCGGTTTGGCTCATCCGGCCTCGTCTGGCCTTTCTCAGGAAGTAGTAGATATTCCCGTAAGCTACCACGATGACCACTAATGGGAAAGCGAACGCAAATAAAAAATGGCAAACACTGTATGCTAGCTGGCCGGTGTCTGACAAGAAGTTGAAACATATCAGGTCCTCTCGGGCCTCGTGTGTTTCGGTCCCAGGCACCAGAGTCCTCCAGGCAAACTGAGGACTTGCCAACACAATGGCTGGCACCCACAGAACCCCCGTGGCCACTTTTATGCGCCCATCCCTACGCCAGCGGTACGCCTTGGTGGGATGAACCACTGTAACATAGCGGCTGAAGGCCAGGGCAGCAAGCGTGAAGGCGCTAGCGGAGGTGCACATGGCTCCTAAGAAGCTCACAGCCTTGCACATGAAGTCGCCGAACGGCCAGTGGCGCGTGGCGATGGCAACCGTTTGGTACGGGATGCAGGAGAGCAGGAGGAGGTCCGCCACACTTAACGACAGGAGGAGAATGTCCGTCCCGTTAGCGTTTGTTTGTTGGAGCCCTCCTGTTGTAGTGCCATTCGTCTGCCGGCGCCCTCCCTTCAGCATCTGGCAGATGATGATGAAGACCAGGACGTGTCCCACCACCCCTGTCACCAGGATGAAGGAGTCCAGAATGGGTACCAGTATTCGCTCAACATCGGTCGGTCCAGACCAGTTACTGGCTTTATCCACATCACCTGGTTCACTGGTGTTGTCCATGAGGAAGATAGCCATGGTGGATGTGGACGTTAACGACTCCCCATTCTGTTTAGTTCTTGTATCTTCTCGTCAAAGCCAGCATACATAAGCCTAAACACTTCTTTTTTTGAAAAATCCCATAAGAGGCAAGCCTGTGCTTTTCCAAAGCTGTGAAAATATTCCACTCCTTCAGCCCTTGTTTAATCAAGAATGAGGAAATCACAGCAACCGGGCAGCACTCCCCCAGATCGATATTTACAGTAGTTGTAAAGCATTGATAAAACACCTTGCTGGAATGATTACTGCATAGTTAAACATGCCGGAGTCCAAAGAACATTCCCAGAGGTGTCTGTTCAGCAAGCACAAACTCAGTCACATTTAAATCCCCACCTCAAAGCCTGAGCAGTCCATTGCTTGTTTCTTTTTCGGCCCAAATTTCAGGATGACCAGTGAGATACCGTCCGCGCTCTGCTGCCTGCCATTTCTTTTAAATATCCACCAAGGCTTTGCGACCGAAAATCACAGTGTCCTCTCCGGGCTTACGACGGACACTCTCTGCCATCCAGTGAGAATTTAACTGCCTATTTATCCACACAGAAATAAAAAAGAGACTGTTCCGTGCTTCCCAGCGGTGAGCAAACGATAGCACGGCTAGCCGAGCCTCGGACAGCAAGGTGAAGGGTTTGTGAGAGAAGCCAGATGTCCTTTGAACTCTGTACAGTGACGAAGGTCTATAAACAGGGAAATCTGTTTGGCTAGTCGTTTAGGTGGTTGTCGGTGGGAGTGTGCCTTCCATCTATAAAAGCATCTCCAAAGCTTTACGGGTCACATCCTACTATAATTTTTCTTTATTGTGTGTTTGCTTCATATAAAAAGCAGATACTACGTACTTTGAACCCTCACAAATACTTTTCCTTGTTCTTTGAGGGGGGGGGAGTAAAGCAGAAGAGTTTACATACAGTAGACTCTGTGTTAGGACTGAGCTATGTGACTGTTTATCATTATTGATGTAAATAACATCCAAATATGTATAAATATAAATATTTATGAGCATAATGAGCCTTGTTCACAAGTATCTTCCTAAGTTTGTTCTTGAGAAAGGTCCTAAGAGAAAGTCTACGCCAGATTCATGACGTGTTCTTAAAGCGCAGAACTGTTCTCACCTTTGTGCTCTTGAGTGTGTGTAGATTCTGTTCTTACCTAAGAACAAATCCCAAATAAGAAAACATTGGTGAATGTCAGAACTGCATCGTAATGCTCACTTTGTATATTGTGAGAGCTTAAACTTCTGAACTGTGTGTTTAATTACAAATAGAGCCTAATTAGCCTGTTTAATTGGATTTAGTAAAATGCTAAATACAAATCATTGTGTTCGTAGTCTTTGGTAGTATTTTTAAAAAAGTGATACTCCTTTGCCTTTTACTGCTTATCAGATGTCAGGAAAAAAATAAATATCATGATATGTTTTGTCATGAAAACTTCTTATATTATTGTAATATTACATTATTGCCATATAGGCTACCTCCACCCTGTTTGTGTGCCACATTCATTCCATAAAATGACCTTTACTAGCTCTACCTTTTTGGACTTGGTTATATTTTCTAGGTCAGCGTGAATAAAAAACGTAGTAACGTAGTAAAAAATCTTGATTTAATTGTGAGGGGTTGTTATGTAATCTTTAATTAATTTTATGGTTATTCAGTTTCTGACACTATATTAAGGTATACTGCAATATTAGGATTCTTACTGAAAAGTAGTTGCAGTTTTAGCAGAGATTTTATCCTGGGGTTCAGTCACGTGGTTTTTCTGTTGTGACTGCCATATTTGGGATGAAATTTCTGTCTTCACAACTCCACATGGATGTAAATAGAGGTGAAAGATGGCTAAAATTACTCACCTGACTTTCGAAGAGAAAAAAACGTTACCTCGACAGAGCCGATAAAATAGGCTGCGATCCTTATACAGTTTCCCCCCAAACTCCTGGTCCCACTCAAACTGGCGAAAAGCTACCCAGTTTGTGTTTTCCTGATATTCATATATATATTTATGGGTCATTCTACAGAAACGTCCATTTTTGTGTCCCTAGTGTTCACAGATATATTACACTTCAAAAACATGTTAAGGTTACAATTTATTTATATTTTAAAATAAAACTGTTATATTAACAATTACACCTTCTTGAGCATCAATTTAGCAATATTAGTTTTTAAATCAATTATATAGAATTCCAAGCATCAAAAAAGTGCTTGTGCCCACAGTCATGTGTAAAGGGTGAGGCCATATTTTGAAGAAAAAAACTTATTTTTCTGCTATTTTAACTACAATAATCTATACATGACTGTGGAATATATAAATTAAATGACATAAAGAAAACAAATGCATAATGAAATATTATAAAATATATAATGAAAGTTGTTATCCCCAAGAGTCATGTCACTGGTGTTACTGCTTAACAAAAAATCTCTTATTTTGAAATAAAAATCACGCTGATGACATCACTTGACTTCCTTTTACCTAATTTCTGAGGATCTATGAAGAAAAGCACATGATAGGTCCACTGTGTCTTTCAGATATCAGAAATATTCTCATTTAGCTCATGATTTCATGTGAAACTTTTAGCTGACGTCACTGGTATGACCTACTTTATTCTTAGGTAATTGTGAAAAAATAGAATACATGTGGGTTGATGCTCTGCCATTTTGTAAAATGCATTTTTTATTAAAAATGTCACTGGAGTTACTGTCTCTGATGTTACCTTTCTGATGAGTAACACCAATGAGGATTGGTAACACCGGTGACACCTATGGAGGGATAGAAAAGTGGACGTTTCTGTAGAACGGACGTTTCTCATACACAGCCCCTCTCCCTATTCTGGTTGTGTATTTAAAAGCACAGGAGCCTGGAACATAGAACTGTTATCAAAAGAAGGGTAAGGCGGCATTAGCTAACTAACCCAGATGTGAACAATGCTAGCCTTTAGATAACTTTTGCTAATGTTAGCAGCTGAGAGATAAACAGTTGTCCCCCTAACGGAGCCACTTCTCTGTTTCTGGAGATTGTAATGACGTTCAAATGGAGAAGCATAAGCATTAAATATAAGACTGAATGTCATTTGGGTTGAAAAAACTACATTGTGATTTTGTAAGTTTGCTAGTGCAGTTAGTGCAGAGCTCCTAGCTCCAGTCCTGCAACCCCTGCACAGCATAATTGTGGTTTCCCTGGTTAAAATACCAGATATTATTATCAGGTATTTTAACCAGGGAATTAAGCCCTTCTTGACCTGAACGAGGTGTGAACAGCAGAGAAAGACACTAACCTATACAGTCTGGGGGCTCTAAGCCTGGAGTTGAAAACACTGAATTAAAGTCTTTGCAATGTCTCGTCATTCTCGGCTTCTGTCGCGTCTTGGAGGTTAATCATTCACAAAGCACAGCTAATTGAAGGCATCGTGCAGCACAGTTGCTCTCTGATTCAGTTCTCAAAATGGCGATGACTGTACAATGTGACGTCATGCGAAACATGAGAATAGATAAGTAGAGCTCTCTGGTTTCAGGTATGGCTATGTTTCACTTTGTGATATCAGACTTTATTTGATGTTCGTGCAGCTGTTTTGGTGTGTTATTGGTCTGAGCACCTTCACAGCTCACGATAAGGCTCACAGTGCTGTATTGTCATACTCAGTGTCTAGAGTACCAAAGGTCTACAGACGGGTCTGAAAAATCTAGGATAGACACGATGCCCAGTTGACACTTTATATTCCACAATACAAAGAGCCATCAATCCCCAAAATGTATAGATACCAACACCTTTATTTTTCTTTTTTTCTCTTAAAACAGTATTGTGATAATGATAACTGTGGTAAAAGGACAGTTAATTATCATGATATTACATTTTTGTTTCAGCACATGCCCATACTTAGCTATTTACTTCAAGACTTTAAAAAGTGGAGGACTGTTGATGTTGCTGAAGTATTGCTATGTGGTTGCTATGGTATCCAAGTTGGTTGGTAACGTGTTGCGAATCTTAAATCCAAACCTTCCTTAAATTCACTGCCACCTTAAATTCAGTGTTACCTTAAATGCAGTACCACCTTAAATCCATTATTTTTGCTGTTATTGCTCTGCCTTAGGCTGTAAGCATGTGAGTCTGTGTGTACTGTGTATAAGTGTCTGTGTGAGAGATATGCGTTGTGACATCATTTGTGGCCGTTAGACTTGAATGTCCCGAATATTCCGTCGTTCATTTCCTATGGGAAAAAATATTGTCTTTGAACGTTCATTTTGCGAAAACCGTGCATCGGATTACATAGAAAAGCACAAGCAATCTAATCAGGTATACGCCCTATGATCGTGCAGCGTTTGTGGTTCTAGCTCAAACTGGACGAGAAATGTTAAATTTTTGAACGTATAATAACAATAATAACAATAATAATAATAATAATAATAATAATAATAATAAATATTAATACTAATATTACGAAGAACAGTAAGTTGGAACAGTAAGGCCAGCTTAACTAGTGATACACAATCAAATTTCATATTTCAAAAATAAAGCAGTTTTATTCCATTAAATTGCATAAGTATATTTATCTCTGCTTTTTGTGGTTCTTCCTGTGTGTTATAGCTGAGCTCTGCACCATCTCCTGCGCATTAAGGAGCTTTTCGTCCGGTGTGCAGACGTCTTTAACTGGCCGCAGTAGCCTTTCTGTTACCATCACTGGGCTAAACAGTACTGGGTTCCCAAAAACATCTTCATATTAACTGCTACAGAGATTAGAAACTCTGACCAAAGCATAATATACAAGCTCTGCACTGCCCTCTGGTGGAGGATAGAGGACAGAGATCTCGTGATTTCCCAATATGAAAACATACAACATTACAGAAAAGTTCATTTGCATATCAAAAATCCTAATTTACTGTTAGATTTTACTGTCCTTCTGACTCATGCCTTATAGCAGGCTTCTTGAAGCCTAAAGTCGGTCTGCTCTTGGCTACCTGACTTTTTTCAAAAGTAAATCGTGCAGCAGACACCAAACCTTTGCGGACCTGCCTCATTTGGTGCACGCTGTTAGAAATAAAGGTTCTGTGCAGGTACATTTGTTGTTCATCAAGGTACAAACAATGTAAATGTTCCCTCAAAGGTACAACAGCGGTTTTAAGATCCAGTTGTGAACTTTAAATAAGTTTTTTCCAGGTGAAAAGTTAACCCAATGTTTTAAAACAGAACAATAAAATAAAAGCCTGGAGACGAGACGGGGTGTGTGGAGTCAATACAACTTAGAAAATATCATGTCAATGAATTATGGTACAATTATGTTCCCTGACTAAAGATATTGAGATGTACCCTTGAGGGTTCCACCTCAGTGACAAGAGGGAGACTGCTCCAGAGACAGTTTCATACCTTTATTTCTGAGAGTGTGGGGGGGGTTGTGTAAACTATCACTTTAACAGGTTACGAACCCACACCTAACATCTGGATTTCAAATGGTCACTGTGGTCTCAGATAATCCGGTTCAGATATCTGACTTTATTTGTCGTACTGAATCACTTGTGCTTGGTGAATGACTCACTCAGCCAGCTCATCGTCTGTTCGTGAAAGTGAGAGGTTGTTTTCAGCTCAAGTTGACATTTTTACTCAGCATCCTGTGTCACAACCACAATGCTTTATGAACTGATTCACTCAAAGTTAAGAATGTTTGTTTTTGCTTTTCCTGTAAAGTTACCATTTTGGAGATTTGGAGGTTTTATTCTGACAAAGATGATAAATGTTACTGATGTTAATCTGAGTGAGTAATTGCAGCGTAGATAAAAGTTCATACCTTCTTCTGATCTGCTATATCCGATAGCAGGTAATAGGTGGATAGGATTAGAAAGTGCTGGATGTGATGTGAGGATAATAAAAGAATGAATGTGATCCAATCCTGAAACAGCACTAAGTCACTGTGATGATTTTAGCTGTTTAGATCTTGCTAGAGTGATTCAGCAGTTTCAGCATCACAGACTATGTTTACTTCATCTTCTGAAGTGTAGTGCTTTGATTAAAATAGATTGTTTAACAGATTGGTTGATTTTGAAGAAAGACTATTGCTTAGTGCTGATGTCCAGAATACCAATATTGGTATTGGAAATGACAAATTAGTGTTCTGCCATCTCTTATCTTCACATTTAAAAGCCTTATTGGCAAAGTAAAAAAAAGAAAAATCCTTAGGCCGTCTGAGAAAATGACCAAGTAAATCTATATATCTGGGCAAATAAGTGTGTTTTTGCTTAAAAAATAATAAACATTAGAATAATTCAAGCAATCCTTAACCATTTTCAAATCTGTCCTCCTTGGGGCAGTCATAGGCTGGAGTTTAGGGAACCAGCCTTGTGACCGGAAAGTCACCTTTTCGATCCTGAGCCGACAGTATGTGACTGAAGTGCCCTTGAGCAAGGCACCTAACCCCCCAACTGCTCCACAGGTGCTATGGATAGGGCAGCCCACCGCTCTGGGCAAGTGTGCTCACTGCCCCCTAGTGTATGTGCATTAACTAGTGTGTGTGTGTGTGTGTGTGTGTGTGTGGTGTTTCGCTGCACGGATGGGTTAAAATGCAATTTCAAATAGGGACTGATAAGGGTCACTTAACAGTATTAACAGTCATCATTCAATACCTGGTTGATCTAATGAATCCTTCATTAAGTTTAATCAGGTGTTGCTGATGGAGCTAAACAAATCCCTGTGATGGCTGGAGAGCAGCGAGAAGTCAGGAACCAAACCTGTGTAGGGCTGGGTGATACGATAATAAATATCAATATCATGATAAATTATGTCATAATACATAAAATACAATATTTTGTTGTTTTATTACAACAGCTTAAAATGTGGCATATCCAATCAGATTTCAGAACCAGAACTAGGGCAGGACAATGTGAATATTTATCGTTACTATGATAAATTGTGTCACAATATAATACAGATTGCTTTTCTGAGCATATTGTGTTTATCGTCAGTACTTGTAGACACTGACTAACTGCTTGTTTCGTTATAAAGAGAGCAAAATTAGTCCCGTTTAACTGGATTTAGTGCCGAATATTTAGTAAAAGTCATTGTGTTCACAGTTTTTGATAGTATATTTTCGAATGTAGCTCTTCTTTCTCTGTTCCAGCTGATCAGACGTCAAAAACATATCATGACATATCATGTATCCTTAAAAAATTCTTGAAGTATCGTAATATTATATTTTTCCATATCGCCCACCTCTAACCCTGTGTTCTTCTAAGCTGCATGTTCATAACATTACTGAAAACAACACATTCTTCTTCGGTTCTTACTGTATTTATGGTTATTTGTGTTATTCTGATGTTATGTAGAGGTTTTTTCAGCTTTACTGTTGAGATAAACATTTTTTTAAACCATTCTTTGGCTGCCTGAGACTTTCACACAGCACTGTGTATCTGAAATTTTCTCTCTGCATGTTTTTCTCAGTAGTCACTGTTTAATGGCCTCAAAACGACCCTATACGTTTAGATAGAAGTGTAGCAAGTCATCTGTCAAGCCCACTAACGTCTCTCCTCTCGCTCCAGCTTGCTCTTAAATGAGTAATCCGTTTGTATTATTCATTCATGCCATTTCAGTTTTTGAACATCTTCTAAACCTGCTAGCACTTAATTCTTCCATTGCACTGCGCGTGAACCATTTACATAATTGAAACCAGGCACAGAGTGTCCCACCTAGGCTCACAAACCACGCTTCTTGGCTCTCCTCATTGGTCTTTTGATGGTCTTGGGCAGTAAACAGAGCTGAAGAATGTGCAGGGGAGAAGCGTCCAGGCCCTTTTCGGCCTCATCGTAACAGCCTGGTGTGAGAAACCACGTCTTTAGGAACGTTTTGAGTATGAAAGCGGGCCTGCATGAAGTCTGGCCACAGTGGTCTGCTGCAAATCTTTCTTTACTCACTGGTTTATTTACTGCAAAGCTGCTTCGAATAGACTGAATACCTGAGTGACCTCAACACAAGCAGCGGTAAAAGAGCACTGAGAGAATATATGCCGCTTTATTTAATAGGTTTAAAAGAGCTGGAGCTGCATACAGTGAGGTCCAAGAGCACTTTTGTTTTCTTTTCTAATTAAATGTAAAGATTTTCATCACAAATTATATTATCAACAGAACAGTAGGAGTTAAATGTAGAATTTCTAAAATATTTTTATGAATTTCAGAACTTTTTTGGTATTTGGTGGTATGTCCCTTTTTGCATTAAAGCCAGCATGCACTCAAATTGGCCAAAGCACATGCAAAAGCCTCTAATGAGCAGTTCAAACCCAGCCGAAAGTCGGCACACAAGCTTCAAAGGAAAGTCTGACCTTCGTGTACAAAGACCTTATCGTGGTCAGTCTCAAATTCAATGTGGTCAAACCACAAATTTGCTTAAATTTGTGAAATGACCTACAAGCTGTGCAGAATCATGCATATTTATTCAATTTACTTATCATACCTTTCAAAATTCTAAATCTTTCTATTTGTTTCTACATTTAAATGAAAGAAGTTCTGGATTTTCAATGTGGCCTCAGACCTTTTGACGCCAGTGGCAGACACTTTGTAGTATCTGACACTTAAAACTGCACTATTTTTTGTTAAAAGTGTCACTACTAAGCCTGAAATAATTATTTAACAGTCAGAGGCATCAGGCGTATTTACATCACACACACAGGCTCTAAAAGAAGGCCCGGCTCAATGTTTGGGCATCAAATAATGTGAAAATTAACATTATACTGAAGAAGATATGATGACAATAGTAGACAAGACGTGTCCTTCAAGTTTAGACAGAGTTCTCTTTGAATTCTCTGTCAATCGTCAGATACCTGCCTGAGGGGGAGATGGCTGACGAAAGGCTGACATATATGTATATATATGTATATATAGTGTATATATATATATATATATATATATATATATATGTATGTGTGTGTGTGTGTGTGTGTGTGTGTGTGCGCGTGTGTGTGTACATATATAAAATCTGTGTGTGTGTGTGTGGCTCTCAAAAATGCACACTCTACAGTAAGTTGTTTTCCTCTTGGTGCAGATGTTGGCTCTGTGGAAGGCCTGGCGTATCACAGAGGGTGGGACACACTCTACTGGACAAGCTACACCACCTCCACCATCACCCGGCACACAGTGGACCAGAGCCGCTGGGGAGCCTTCGACCGTGAAACAGTGGTCACCATGTCAGGAGATGACCATCCCGAGAGCTTTCGTCCTGGATGAGTGTCAGAAGTGAGTTGTTTTCAAAGACAGCAGCATTTTTTTTTCCTAAAATGAAGGTATTAATAGGTGTGTAGACTACAGTGTTTCTTCTGGTGTTAATAGTGAGTTTGTGCTGCAGTAACAGCCCCTACTCTTCTGGGAAGGCTTTACACTAGATGTCGAAACATTGCTGTGAGGATTTGATTGAGCATTAGTAAGGTCAGGTACTGATGCTGGATGGTCAGTTCTGGATCAGTCCAGCTCATCCCAAAGGTATTGGATGGAGCTTCATCACTCCAGAGAACACAGTTCCACAGCCCTACGGTGCTCCACAGCCCAATGGTGGGGGGCTTTATACCCCTCTAGCTCACACTTGGCATTGAACATGGTGATTTGTCATGTGCAGCTGCTTCAGATCCTCTTGTTCAGTGCTTTCCTAATGAGATTATACAAGCTGTGTCAGAATTGGATGAATCTTAAACACGCTGTCTGGAAATGTTTGGACTTACCGTGTACATTTAACAACAGTCTATAAATGCTCTTCCGCAGGACAGTGGGAAATGGACAGTGGCATCCAACCATAATCATACCATGCCTGGGGGAAAAACACTGTACTGCTGCACTTAGTCATATGAAAAAGTTTGAACAGCCCCAGTCAAATTCTGTTTTCTTGATTTTTCTAAGTTAATAATCAATTACCACGTGCTCTGCAGGCAACCTTTTTAAAATGACATTTTCTTCTTATTTTAGTGCAGTTTCTATTCATTTGCTGAGTTTAATATACAGGGAAACCTTTGCTCAGGCCACATTTTATGTTTTATTTCTTTCCTAATATGATAAATTCAGTAAATAAGCAGCATTTTTATATTAAAATGTGCGGATGTGTGTCTCTGCAGAGGATGTGTTCATTTATTTACACTTAGAAAATCAACAACACAGAATTTGACAGTGGGCACCCAAACTTTTGCACACAACTGTACTGGCACTAGGTGGTCAGTGGCAAACCGGATATTCTATTGTTTTTGATGGATATGTCAGATTATTGTTTTTAATCTATTACAAGTATTGCAGTAGAGTCATAATGCTAGTATATTGTCTGTGTCATGCAGCCTTAGTGTGAGCAACAAAAGTTCTGCTGCTGCCAAATTGCAGCCGTTTGTATGCGATGCTTGATTTGACCTCTAGACATGCATGCATGTGACCAGAGTACAGATGGCTTGTGTGTGGTTTGCACTACAGGTATAGCATGCAGAGGTCAGCACAAGCAGCCACAGTGTCCTCATCAACATTACTGAATCTCAGAATGACTGTTTTAAAGAAATAGTTTAGTGAAAAGTCAAATTTACTCAGATTTCCTCTTTCTTAAGCACTGAAGGTGTGAGGCTACTGTAGCTAAAAAGTAATAGAAACTTATATCTCAAAGACTTTTGCAAGTTGCTTTATACAAGTATGAGTCTAGTCTCAAGATGAACTTTCAGGCTGACTTTATATGGTGAAACTTTCATGCAGCTTTTGTTGCTCGAAACCTACATGAAACTAAATTGCATTTGAGTTGCATTGTGCAGAGCGTTCTGCAACTACTTTGAAATCTACCTGCAACAGCTGCAACCATCTCAACTTTGTGGAACAAGTTTCATGAAAAAAACACCAGTAACGCATCACATGATGACATCAAACAACATACTTTCAAACCACTGATTTCTCTAATAATAATTTATTTTTCTTGATCCTGCTGTTTTTGGGATTTACGTAGGTAGATGAGTCGTTTTTTCGTCTTTTGGGGATCCATAATTTTATACAGAGTTCAGATTCATTTGGAACCCAAAAGATGAAAAATATAACAGAACACTGAGATGTTCCTCAATAAACTTGCAGTGCTTTTAGGACAGAATGTGAGATATAAAGTAGACTATCGAAGTAAAGACTAATTAAACATTTGTTTTCAAACGCTTAACATACACACAACAGACATAAACTCAGATACACAGTACAGAGCTCTAGATAGATAGATAGATAGATAAAAGACTAATATATAGATGTTGGGGAAAAAAGAATGGCAGCTGCAGCTGGAAAAACAATACATAAAGATGTAGAAATGCTGCAAATAACAAAACACCTTGCAAATAACTTTATAGCTAGAATGACGCAGTGTATCCAGTATCGCGAGCTGCTATTTTGGCTAACTAGTGGAGTACCTGTATGTGTTGCATGAAACTTTTTTGAATTCATGTAACTGTCAAGTTGCATGGAAATTATGTTGCAGGCAATTCAAAGCATGCAATTAGTTGCATGAAAGTACAGAACTGAAGTACTACATGCAGTAATTGAGGTGTTTAAAGAAAAGGCAAAATAATTTAACTGGTGGTTAGTCTGTAGCTTCTAAGTATAGTAGTTAGCTAGAATAATTATCCAGCTGAAACTTAGGTAAGCTTGAGGGGATTTGATATGTAACTCATTAAAACTTTATGAAATGAAAACTTTAGCACAAATTAGCCATCAAACTATGTGTTTGCCAGCCATTTCAAGTTGTTTGCCTCTTTCCTTTTAACACCATATTTACTGTGTGTAACTCTTCAGTTCTGTTCTTCAGACTGAAGGTGTTTCTGTAATAAAAGAACCTTAAAAGAAGCCTTATCGAGAATTGCTGCAGTAGAGCATCATAGCAGCAATGACCACGCATAACTTTAGCAAGGCTGACAGGAAAGGTCTTTTATGAAAGGTTACCATCTCTGTTATCAACCTACCAATTAGCTTGGTGCTAACTGCTAATCTTCAAACATCCCAGACGTTTAAGATGAGGATACAATTGTGCAACCTTTTGAAGTACTGCTTTAACAGTAAGCCTCCCTTCTTTCTCCCTCTTTTTTCTTCAGCCTGATGTTCTGGACCAACTGGAACGAGCAGTCTCCAAGCATCATGCGTGCCCAGCTGTCCGGCTCTAACGTGTTGGTGATCATTGGGACGGATATCCGCACGCCCAACGGCCTGGCCATCGACCACCGTGCTGAAAAGCTCTACTTTACTGACGCCACGCTGGACAAGATCGAGCGCTGCGAGTATGACGGCAGCCACCGCTACGTGAGTCCTGTGCACAAGTGCAGCTCTTTCATGCCTCACATGCCTCACGTTGTACTTCATTAATATACTTCTACAGAGTTGACAGTGACTCTGATGATACTGTTACAAGATAATTACACATTTACACAGTTTGTAAACAATGTATACACAATTTTCCAGTGGCAACCATGACTGTTAGTCCTTCAATTTGGGCCAGAAATGTCAATACTCAGTGAAAAAACGGGAAAACAGCATCTCAAAGATAATGCTATTTTCTGCAAGCACCCCATGTGATTTCTAATAGTGTGTTAGCACTAAGCTAACACTGGTGCACATGAACATTTGACCATTCTAGATTAAACACAGACATTTGTAGCTTGTAAAAGTCATTCCATGTGTTTTATCTGAAGCTTGTAACAGACATTGTCTTGGACCTGAGCTTGTATGTATCAGTTATACAGTGGCTCTTTCAGAGAAGAGTTCTGACATAGAGCTGCTGCTGCTGTTTTCCATTCCTAACAACTTCCAGGACTAGAGTGTTGCTTTTCACGAATCTGGCCCCACTTCCTGTTTATGTTGGTAGTTAATCTAACGTGTAAGACCTGAACTAAGTATGTTTTTATTAATCGTCAGTCACGACTGTTTGTCCATTTTCTTTTAAATATTTCAACACAGAAATTTACTTTAGCATTTCTATGTTGTGTATGTCAGACAGAAACCACAAAGTCTGTTAGAGATTAGTTTAAGAGGCTTATTTTAATTTTTTTTTAATATATTTTATTTTTACTGAGGTAAAAGTTTTTGAAATTTCTGTGGTTTTGTGAACCAAAACAGTCATTCATTTTTACATGATCATTTTCAAGCCACTTTGTAAACAGGCTGTTCTTATGTCTGCAGATTTTAAGACTAATGTATGTAAATTAACTCTTAATCTGATTGGCTGTCCTGAATTGTGCATCATACAAGAATCAGCCCAGGCTAAAACACTCCATTTAACCTCAGTGTGAATGGGTGAGGCTGAACTACTGTAGGCTGAATTGATGGATGCATATGTTGGGTAGTGAAGTAAGAAGTGAATGGTACACGTTTACACACTATATCAAAAAACAAAAAAAAGTTGAATTTCCATGATACAGGCTCTTTAACAGGTGGGCAGGTATTAATTTAGGTGGGATAGAAGCTTCCGTTACATGTTAGCTACATTAGCTTCATAGCTGCAGTGAGTGGAGGGGGTGGAGGGATAGTATAAATTTTATTTTTGGCTGGACTTTTCCTTTAACGCCTTAATGGAAGAAGAACTAAGGTCCAAAACAGTTCCTCTTCCACTAAGCAGTTAACAGAATAGCGTTCGGATCTTGAAGTAATTGAATAACGGCATAGTTTTAATCTGAGGGTGTTGTCTCTGTAGGTGATTCTGAAGAATGAGCCAGTGCACCCGTTTGGCCTGGCCGTTTATGGTGACCAGATCTTCTGGACTGACTGGGTGCGCAGGGCCGTCCTCCGAGCTGGCAAGTTTGTGGGCTCCGATATGAAGGTCCTGCGCGCTGACATCCCTCAACAGCCAATGGGAATCATCGCTGTAGCCAACGACACCAACAGCTGTAAGTCTCAGCCTGAGAGAAAATCTTCACTGGCTGTGTTTACATACAAAGATTTTTGCCAATCTGATTGAATACATTCTGATTACAGATTAAGACTGAGGTGTTTAAATCACTCCACTCAATAATCTGATGAGAAATCTCAGTTTACGTGCACACTACAAGTAATCTCATTCAAAATTATGCGCATGTGTAGAGAACCACTTAGTGAAGGTGTTTCCATGACAACAAGCATCACGTGAATCCAGTCAGAGTGAGACGAGCAGCAGTGAGCGGAGCTTGTGTTTTTAATTACTTTAAAATGATGTCAGACTGAGGAAAACAGAATCTTATAAAGTTCAGAGAATAAACTTCGTCTCCTCTAAAGACCAGTATCTGCTCCTGCCATGTTGAATGTTCTAAACTTGCTATGATGCGACACACATGGGCAGATCCTACTTCAACTATCCGATTGGGAATGTAGTCAGATACAGACGTTTACATGGTTATTATTCTTCTGTTTAACGGATTATTTACAGGATTACCCACCTTATTCAATTGGATAGAAATTGTATTCCGAATGGCCTCAATCAGACTGGTCTACTCCGATTGAGGTGTATGAATGGACTTATTCTATTCCAATTAATCTATTAGTCAAATTATTATCAGATTATTAGGCTGCATGTAAACGTGGCTACTGAGAATGTATGTCAGGTTTTTTCATCGCTGACTGAAAAAAGCAGGCCTGAAATTGCACAAAGAGTTTCTAAGATTTCTGCAACGTCGTTTTTGGTGCGTCTCTGAATGTGACTTCGGAGTACAGATGCTATTTTATGGGTCAGCCGTCTGCTCCGCGCTGTTATCCACTTCACTGCGTTTGAATAGCTCCAGCAGCAGCAGCCAGTGTCAAGAGTTTGGGGACACAAAGCTTCTCAAATGTTTTTTTCTTTTTTAAATACAAATGTATATGTTTATGTATATTTCATATTAAAGCCTAATCAGGCTTAACGTGCAAATAATGTCACGTGTAATATACAGGCCTTGCTTTTCATGATCTTATTGTGATGTCAGCTCTCAAGTCTTTCAGGTGTTTAATGTACCTTTGGACCAAATTAATGTGCTTTTAACAATAGTTTGGAAAAGAAAACTGTCAAATTATTATGTTTGTTGGTGCTTTTCTATGATTCTTCCTGTGTGCCATAGCTGAGCTCTGTGCTGTCCACTGTGTGGAGCTTCTTGTCCATCATGTGAAAGCATTTAGATGGCTTTATTAAATACTATGTATTTGTACTACTAGTACTACTAGTAGTAGTATCTTACCAAAATAGCCATCGGACAGAATACCATGGAAACAAACTGCCAACTCCCTTGCAACCACCTGGAATAGCATAGCAACAGCTGTTTAGACAACCAAACAGTGAAAATAACTCTTAACTAAATGGTCTTTGTCAAGTTTTCCCTTTCTAGTTCGTATTTGTCATATTTAACTTAAACTATCAGAACATTATTTATATAGTTGGTATCAACTGCAAATGTGCAACTTTTTGTATTTGTTGGAAAAGGTAAAAAGTAACTGAAAAGTTAGACTTTATTAAATAATTTAATTGATTTTTTTTTTACTTTGTGGATCAACTTGCGTCCTGTGCTGATGTGCATGCAAGCAGAACGATAAATAGGCCAGTGTTTTTTTTTGTTTTTTGTTTTTTTTTTCTCTTATAAACCTTTTATTTCACTCCAGTTTCTTAGACTCAGTAAGAGCTCAGACAGACTGTTGTGTGACACTGAAGGGACAGCGTTTTGGGCTCATGAGTAAACATGATTTACGAAAACAGAAGTGGAGATGTTTGAAAGAGCTGTAGTAGCTGTAAGTGCGTTCACTTTAGAGGATGTGTTAACTTATTAGTTGAGGTAAGAATAATACATAATACAATATTAACAATAATAACAAAGTCATAATGATAATAGTTGTAGTTTGTGTTGACAGAGTTGCTCATAAACATTGACAAAGTGTTTAAATGAATGTTTACATTTGTATGCAGCAACATTTGGCACATTCTATATTTCTATAGTTTATTTTTTCCATTATGTTAATTTAAATAAAAAAAAATCTCAGTCATTTGCGTTATACTGTTTGTTACATAGTTAAAATGCTTTAAAAAATTAAGATATGTTTTTTTTTAAACTGGGTTCCTTTGGAGACCACCTGGCTAGTGGCCTCTAGGCAATTTGAGTTAGTTTTTTTCTTACTTTATTAAGTAGCAGCAAGTCACATTTTAAAGCCAGCACCGAGTTGTTCCCAAACTTTTGATGGTCACATTCAGTTGAGCGTGAAAGTGTGAGCAGTCGGTTTATGTCTGCATTTCATCTTTTCGTGCGATGTGTGTGCGTGTTTGTGTTTTCCTGCTCTCTGTTCTTGCGCCTCAGCTGGTAATTACGTGCCAAAAGTAATCACAGAAACTGACATGACCAAGAAGAACTCCATACAGCCGCAGAGTGAAGCTATCACCACACAATCAGTGCGGCTCACTGTGCCAATCTAACTGTGATACAGCCCGTTCTCACTGTCCGCCGAACAGGCTGCTCTTCAGATGACGCCCCATCTGCAGTTCTGTCCTAAATAATACCCTCCGCCCATCTCCTCTGCCTGTGGTGGCAGATTTCCAGCACGGCTTTACCAGAGTGATCTGCAACACCGGCACCGGAAATTCAAAACGGAATTCATGTTTAATATTGAGATCACAAAAAAATGGACTATATAATTGCATTAGGATACCAGTTAAACACCTACGTGCTCCAATTCTTTAAAATATAAGTTCATATAACAATAATAACACATTTAAGTTATATAGTACACTTTTCATACAACGCAAAATGAACAAATTCAAAATTCATATAAACACGTCTAAAAAGAAGAGTTGTATGATTCAATAAAAAAAAAGAATTTCTTAAAACAAAATCCATAAAATAATTCTCAAAGGGAAATTGTTAAGATTATTCTTAAAAGATCTAGAGTTTCTAAAACAAAGCGAAATTAATTCACAAAAACAGGTAAAAAAAAGTCTTAAGATTCTTCTTCAGAAAAGGGATTGAGAATTACTGAAATGAGGTATAGCTAATAATCAAAAAGACACCATAACAAAAACAGCCTATTTTAATTTAAGGGACAAAGAGAGGGTGTATCATGTACAATTCATGTAGAATTATGACTGTTGCATAAATGTCAATATCCCATGTGCAACATGTGTAAAATATCCTCGTAATGTTTTTTAGCTTTTCTAATTAAAATGTTTATATTGTTAATTTTGAGTGTGTGTGTGTGTGTGTGTGTGTGTGTGTGTGTGTGTATACATATGTGTGTGTGTGTGTGTGTGAGTGTATATCGTCCATACAGTAATAAGTAACAAACTGTAACCGTGTTAAGTAATTAATAAGGTTAATTACCTTCTTTGCTGATTCTCTTCTTGTCACTTCTTTTCTTGAGTGCCTTGCTGTCCCTTCGCTGCGGCAGCACTGTGAGTTGGGACTAATAAAGGGTTATCTTATCTTAAAAACCACACAGATGTTATAAGTGAACAATATGTGGAAAATTTAAATGCAAATGTAGCATATAGGCTCTATAATATCAGAGCACACAGGTAAAATTAGGTCAGCTCTGAATGTGTCCTGGGAATTTTTATTTATTTTTTTTTTTTTTACTTTTTTGGGGGTTTGCTTTTATCCCAATATTTATCCAAGTGAAGAACACTTTTTGTCACATCTCAGTAGCTCCTCTTCTCCTGTCCTCACCCGCGATCACACGCTCGCTCGTGTGGAAACGGAGAAAATTCCATTTGGGAAGTGTCAGGCTGGATTACTGGCTGCTTGATGGAGCTCTGTATGTACAGTGTTGGTTTGCATTGATATACATTGCTTTCGCTTTGATTATTGTACTCTTGTTGATTTGGGTATTTGATTACTTACTGTGTGCACATAAGTGCATATTACAGCCTGATATATCAGTTAAACCATGATATCAGCCAATATCGACAAACCTACTGTATTATTGATATCTTCAAAAGTATCACTGATAACACACCAATAATCAGCATCTTTGTCACAGCATTACCAAAAAGGAAGGAATCTTAGATGTTTGGGAAACTCAATGCGCTCTCTTCCAAGCGCATTGAGCTGTCCAATGACTTTGCTTTAGCAGCAGTTTGCAAAGATACAGTGGAGCTTTACATGTCTTGGAGGAGGAATGTGCTAGCCCCCAGCCTTCCAGGTGAACAACACCAAAAAAGGCACTTCCAATACCATAGCAACCACCTGGAATACCATAAAAACCAGCTATCAGTACTATTGCAATGACCTAGCAGCTACCTAAGAACCAGCAACAATGCCCTAGCACCCACCTGGAAGACTATAGCAACCACACAGCAACACCCTAGCTACAGCATAGCAATTACTAGGTAGTCCTAGCAACTACCTAGCAACCAGCTGGATAACCATGGAAATTGCTTAGCGTTACTTTAGGGGCCCACAACAACTGCTTTGCAACAGCCTAGCAGCCACACGGACCAACCATGTTGCAACTGCCTGAGGTACCGTGGCAATAGCTTACCAACACCCTTACAACCACCTGCAATACCACAGCAGCTGCTTACCAACAACAACCACTTGGAATACCATAGCAACCACTGTTTAAACAACCAAACAACTAAAAGGATTTTGTTAAGCTTTCCTTTTCTAGTGTAAGGCTGTGTTCAGACTGCCAGCCCAAATCTGAATTTTGCCATATCCAGATTGTATCCAGGCTGATTTTTTGATAGTTTGGACAGAAAAAACTCAGATGAAATCCGATTTCTGCAAATTGGATACAAACCACATTTGGAGCTGGTGTGGAATGCGACTCCAATCAGATGTTCACAGTGTGTGTGTGTGTGTGTGTGTATGGATAAACTTTGTTCACAGTGTGTGTGTGTGTGTGTGTGTGTGTGTGTGTGTGTGTATGGATAAACTTTGTTCACAGTGTGTGTGTGTGTGTGTGTGTGTGTGTGTGTGTAGGTGTGTGTGTGTGTGTGTGTGTGTGTGTATGGATAAACTTTGTTCACAGTGTGTGTGTGTGTGTGTGTGTGTGTGTGTGTATGGATAAACTTTGATGCTGATGCACAAGCAAAGAGGACAATAAATAGACCAGTGGGTTTTTTTTTGTTTGTTTGTTTGTCGCTGTGTTCTGCTCTTGCAAACCTTTTATTTCACTCCAGTTGCTTCTTAAGAGCTCAGGCAGACTGTGTAACACTGTGGGGACATGTGGTTGGGCTCATGAGTAAACATGCTTTACAAAAACAGAAATGCAGATATTATTTGAAAAAAAGCCACTGTTACATTCCTACAGTTAAAGGAATAGTCTGCTGAAAAATCTATTTTACAGTATAAGGAAGTAAATAAATAAGCTAACACATTACAGAGAACACCCATTTTACTCTACAATTACTGCATGTTTGCTGAATTTAACATACTGGGGAAAGTTTAAATCTGAAGTGTGGCCTGTGCAAAAGTTATGGCACATTTAATAATTTCTGTTTTATCTCTTCCAATATGTTAAAGTCTGTGCACTAAAATTAGTTGAAAAATTGCATATTTAAGTGTGTTCCCCATAGAGGGTGTGTTAAGTTATTTACACTCATATAATCAACAGAAATGTGTAGTTTGACCGAGGAGGGGATGGTAAGACTTTTGTATACAAGTATATAGAAATCATGAGAATTACTCTGCAAATAAAGGATTAAAAAGTTCTGGATGTGTTTGTTTTTGCAGGCGAGTTCTCGCTCTGCAGACTCAATAATGGAGGCTGTCAGGACCTGTGCCTGCTGTCGTCCGAGGGCAAGGTCAACTGCACTTGCCGTGGAGATCGAAAACTCCAGGAGGACAACACTTGTGTCTGTAAGAGGGCATGAACTACACGCTGTCCATTTCCATTTCAATGCCACATACATATTCGCTTCTTCCAGCTAAAACATCATAGAAGGAGAAGTCCAGTGAAAAATTAAAATTATACAAAATGCACTTGCCCACTTTATTTGATCAGCCGAGGCATGCAGGTGTCTGAACTGAAGTTTTGAAGCTATGAAGCCCGAAAGTTTGTAGACACCAGCAATTCTTCTGGTATTAATAGTGAGTTTGTGCTGCAGTAAGAGCCTCTACTCTTCTGGGAAGGCTATATACTAGATGTTAGAACATTGCTGTGAGGATTTGATTCGGCATTAATGAGGTCGGGTACTGATGTTGGATGGTCAGTTCTGGATCACTCCAACTTATTCCAAAGGTATTGAATGGAGCTCCATCACTACAGAGAACACAGTTCCACTGCTCCACAGCCCAATGGAGGGGGGCTTTATACCCCTCTAGCCAACACTTAGCATTGGGAAAGGAGACCTTAGGCTCATGTGCAGCTGCTCCAGAGTGTCCCATTCTGTTGGTCAGTGCTTTTCTATGCAGATTATACAAGCTGTGTCACCTTAAAGTAGCTGAATTCACCCACTCGCAGAGGCGTCTGGATACTTTTGGACATAGCGTATATCTATATCATCATGTTTGCAGTCAAACAGTGTCAGTTTAAGTAATCTTAAATAGACTTGCTTATGTGTTTTTTGACATTGTATGATTTTCAGTTGGAAAAAAATATGAATGCGTCTATTTAATGTGTCTGTGCTCTGTCTGTTGCAGTGACTACTGCTAAATGTAACTGTGCTGTTCTGTGTTCTTCAGCTCTGAACTCTTCATGCAGCAGCATATATGATTTCGAGTGCGGGAATGGAGATTGCATTAACTACACGCTAACCTGCGACGGCATGGCGCACTGCAAAGACAGGTCGGATGAGAAGCAGTCCTACTGCAGTAAGTGCTGTGTGTCAGTGTGGGTGTAGACTTTGACACACTAAACTTTGACCTGCAGGCTGTCAGACCTCCGTAATTCAATATTTCACACAGATCCGAAGTCCAGTTCCTGCCAGAAAATAAAAGCTTAAAAAAAACCAAAGAAAACTTACTGCTTGCCATGGGCTTGTTTTCACTTTCATGGCTACGACACCTGATTTTCTGGCTTTTCACCTTATTTAAATTACTTTATTTCAAATTTTACTTTGGTTAGTGATTATTTAAGCCATGTATCTTATTGATCTTATTATTGAGCTATTTTGTAATATTAGCCATCAAGGTGTGACGCCCCATGTATAAGAACTGAGAGGAATTCCAGCGCTAAATAGCGAAACGTCAGCGTTTTGAAAGCCGTTTGTATTTTTTTTTGTTTTTTTTTCTAAAATCTCAGATAAAAGAAAAAGGCGTTTTTGTGTGGACAGGAAACTGTGAAAAACTGTTTTCAAAAATATGTGGAAGGGGCCTAAAACAACCATGTCACAGGGGCGTCACGAACAAGACACCTGAAATGCCTTCAAACAGAACCGTATTTCGTCCGAAGAAAGGCGTCCTCTCAGCATCTGCAATATAAAAATGTCTTCACCACTGTGTTGATACCTCTAAACATATTGTGTTTTTGTGTTTAGCTAACCGCGACTGCAAAAAGGGCTACAAGCGGTGCGTGAATGGCCGCTGTGTCAGGCACGGTTCCTGGTGTAACGGCCGTAATGACTGTGGAGACAACTCAGACGAGCTCTTCTGTAACGGTGAGAAAAGTACTGACTAACTGTGAAAAGTTTTGTTCCGTTTAGGTGAGGTTCTCTTCTTCAGCATGGAGATCTTTATCCATCAGCATCATCTTAGTCCGGTTTGGCAGTTTTTTAAAGCTTTTTTTGCACCCATGCATGCAAATTACCTTCAATGGTAGCTGAGGATAATCTATATGGAGAAAAAGCATCACAACTACTAAAATTCTTAAGTTACTAAAATTCTTAAGTTACTATAATGTTATTTACATTAGTGACATGTGAGTGACAGTAATCAACAATAATTATAAATAGTAAGTTCTGCCCATAAACATACAACCCCATTTCCAAAGAAGTTGGCACGTTATAAAAATATAAATAAAAACAAAATACAATGATGTGCAAATCATTTAAACCCTATATTACTGAAAATGCTTCAAAGACAACATATCAAATGTTAAACCTGAGAAATTTTATTGTTTTTTGAAAAATAAATGCCCATTTTGAATTTGATGCCATCAACAAGTTCCAAAAAAGTTGGAACGGGGGCAACAAAAGGCTGGTAAAGTTGTGTAATGCTTAAGTAACATGTAACAAGTTCAGTAACATGATTGAGTATAAAAAGAGCATCCCAGAGAGGATGAGTAAAGATGAGGAGGGGTTCACTACTCTGTGAAATACTTTACGAGCAAATAGTGCAACAATTCAAGAATAACGTTTCTCAACATAAAATAGCAAAGAACTTTTGCTTTTCATCGTCTACGGCATATAATATCATTAAAGGATTGAAATAATCTGGAGAAATCTCTGTATGCAAGGGACAAGGCCAAAAACCAATACTGGCTGACCATGATCTTCAGGCCCTCAGGCAGCACTGCTTTAAAAAACAGACATGATTCTGTAGTGTAAATCACTGCATGGGCTCAGTAACACTTCTGAAAACCACTGTCTGTGAAAACAGTTTGACGCTCCATCCACAAATGCTAATTAAAACTCTAACACAAACAAGAAGCCATATATATACATGATCCTGAAATGCTGCCACCATCTCTGGGCCTGAGCTCATTTAAAATGGACTGAGGTGAAGTGGAAAAGTGTCCTTCACAAACAAATCAACATTTGAAAATCTTTTTGGAAATCATGGACACTGTGTCCTCCGGGCTAAAGACCACTCAGCTTGTTATCAGTGCACGGTTCAAAAGCCAGTATTCAAAATGGTATATGGGTGCATTAGTGCACATGGCATGGGTGATGTGCACATCTGTGAAGGCACCATTAATGCTGAACGATACATACATGTTTTGGCAACATATGCTGCCATCCAGACAACGTCTTTTTCAGGGAAGGCCTTGTTTATTTCAGCAAGACGGTGCCAAACCACATTCTGCATGTGTTCAAGTTCAAAATAAGCATATATTTTTCAAAAACAGTAAAATTTCTCAGTTTCAACATTTGATATGTTGTCTTTGTCCTATTTGCCTTTTGAAATTATGGTTTACATGATTTGCACATCATTGCTTTCTATTTTTATTCACATTCTGCACAGCGTCCCAACTTTTTTGGAAATAGGGTTGTAGTTTTATTCAGTTTAACTAAAAGTCAGAGCAGCTGCTATTGCATTTCCGTGGCAGCAGGTTTACTGATCGGTTCTTTGCTTGTTATCGTCATGTTAAAGCATGTTATTACTAGTTGAGACACGACTTATGGATATGTATTGCAACCAAATTTAGTAAAAGGATAGTTTGGAAATAACTAGTGTAACTAAGGACTCAGTAAAGACTTTAAGCACAAACTTGGGTATAAACTAGGGGTCATGACCCAAATGTTAAGAAGAGCCATTTTGTCCTTTCAACAAAAATCGATCCAGCTTGGGAGCCACAATGTGTTATGTCCATTTTATTGAAGTAAAGTTTTACCATCTAGGCTGTAAATATGTCTCAGTATGTGTTAATGTAGTTTAGACTAAAAAATATAATATTAACAAAAACGCATTTACTTTGCTCTGCTTTAAGCTTTAGCTCAGCTATAGCTGCTTTTCTCACATCACCAGCAGGAAACTTTTCCACAAAAGTAGAATAGTTTCTTGTAAAATGTCTCAACGCTTAATTTTTGCGAGGCTGAAGTCAGCTTCTCATTCGCCAGCTTGTTGTTCAAATTTTCATGCTCCAGCTTAAATGGCACCTGAGGCGTCAGAATGTAACTGCTGCGCCATTTAAGGTGGAACGGGAAAATTCGAACAAGAAGCTGGTGAACTGACTTCATCTTCACAACTTTTTAGTGTTTTACAGTTTCTCACTGCTGATTAAACATATCAGGAAACCAGCTGAAGTGATTATAAATGCAAATAAGTCCATTCGTCTCCAAATTATTGATGTTCGTTGTAAATCTTTCTCTTGGCCTTTTTATTAGCTATTAGCTAGGCGAGACTGTTGTCCATGTTGCTATGGTGACCAGCAGTCTGGGCGCCAATCTTCAGGGTTAAAGGGTGAATTAGCAGTTGTACGTTAACTCCAGTGTTTAAGACCATGTATAGTTAAAACTGTGTTAGAACGATCAGCAGAGCTTTATTTAACTTTAAAGGAGGATTATTTTATTTTTAGCTAAAAGTCTATTTCTGTTGTGGAGCCTAAACAGGGCAGTAAAAGAGCCACATGTTGCCAACCCCTGGTATAAACTCATGGAAACCTGGTGCAACCGTCCTGCTGAAGAGTTCTGTCGCTGCTCATATGCAGAGGAAATTATTTATCATTCTAATTGATATGTATGTGTTCCCCAGCGACCTTGTGCACATCAGATCAGTTCCAGTGTCGGGACGGAAGGTGCATCTCCAACTCCAGCCGCTGTAACCAGGTGGTGGACTGTGAAGACGCCAGCGATGAGATGAACTGCCGTGAGAAACTTTGTCTTCACTACAGACCTGTTTTTAAACCAGTATAAATCTGCCGCCAGAGGAGTTACGGCACGTGCATGTCCATGCTGGTCAGAGTGAAACATATCACTGTGTAGAATCAGAGCTTTCTATGAGCTGCTCTGTTTCCTGTTACTGTATAAAGATGCATGAAGCTTCCTTTCTGATCATTCTGTGCAATTTTCACTTATAGCAAATTAAGTGTTTAAGAGTAACAGAAGGAGACTAATGTATTAAGTATATTCCTATTCAAGTGAGACAATCTAAACAAAAACCTATAAAATTTCATTTTTTTAGATCATGTTCTTCTTTAAAGCATTTATATATCTTGACCTTGAATTAGCTCTAATAAGAAGTCGGTGCTGTGAGACTCTGGGAGCTGCAGCTGCTTTAGTTTCTCTCCTGAATGTTTACTGTAACGTTTAAGCTGTTTTATGTCTGTTGATGTAAAATTGGTAATATTTATAGTCTTTTGAAATATGAGGCTCATTTGCTGCAGCTCTTGATGAAAAACTGTTCAAATTCCCATCAAAATCTCTGGTTCTCAGCGTTAGTTCGAGCTTTATGTCTGTAGTCTGGACTAAATGTGGTCAGTAAATGAAGCTGCAAGTCTAGTCGGAAAGGAAAGACTCTCAAACTTTAGCTAACTTCGTTACAGCAGTGTGGCACGTTACACTGTAATTTTACAGCACTGCTGCCACCATCAGGTGAAAGGAAGAACTGCAGTGGCTGGAGGGCAACTTAGAACACACTCTAAAACAGAAGACAGGGGTTGATTAAAATCCGTCTGTGGCTGCAAGTGGCCCTGGGGTCGGACTTTGGACACCCCTGAGCTAGTGTGTGTTTAATCTCAAATTTGCTCTGTCCTCCTCAGCTGCTACGGACTGCTCCAGCTACTTCCGTCTGGGAGTGAAAGGTGTGACCTATCAGAGGTGCGAGTTCACCACGCTGTGCTACGCTCCGTCCTGGGTTTGTGACGGCTCCAATGACTGCGGAGACTTCTCAGACGAGAGCTACTGTCCAGGTAACATGCAGCCATACTAATTTAATTTTATCTGTCTTAGGGATGCACAGTGATGTGACAGTTTTCTGTCATACTAGTCCAGATTCATTCAGTCAAAATCTCTATAAATATTTATGAATCGTGTCAGCTCATAATTTCCATAACAGTTCAACCTATAATTTCTAAAGTCACTTTTTTAGAAAGTACATTGTCACAAAGCAGCATTACAGCATTTTCACACAAAGCAGGGTAATTATAGTTTTGAAATATACATTAGTTTTTAGAGGCAAAGCACCTCGTGGACATGGCAGTGTTGAGGTAATTACACAAAAATTAATAACAGTTTTCAAACTGTAATATTTATGTCTGTGTTACTCTATAAATCTTATACATATCTGTAAGAACTAGTATCTGTCTGCCTGCCTGCCTGCCTGCTCACTCACATTTATCAGGCTGAAGATTCTCCACAAGGGAGTGCTTTATTAGTGCTCATGTAGCTTTTGGTGCTTCGTAACAGTGTCCTTGTTTGTTTTGGTTTTCAACTCCAGTTTAGTTTCAATAATTTTGGGTGGGTGTGTGTGTGTTCATTAATTATTTCCTGTTTAATGGGAAGAAAAAAAACACAAAAAATAACAACCCCACTATTCTAGCCCCAACCCACATACACATGGGACTTATGAACAAGAACTGATCATAGATACAACATAGGACACATGAAAAGTAGTTTCAGGTAGTAGTTTTAGTTTTCTAAAGTAAGAGTTTGTTTCATTAAAAATATGTTATGGTGAGAAATCAGCACATACTCAAAGTACGTACCTTACAACACCCTTCTTGTATGATTCCACCATAAATGGATTAAAATAAATTGATTAAAATACCTTTTAGATCAACAATCTGATCACAAAACTACTGGGCCAAAACCTACTCACCACTATCATGTCTCAGGCATCAGGCAGTGTATTCAGCCATTCCATGTAATAACTTTCTGTAAGGGAGCTTTTAGAGGTGGACTTCTGGTTCCTACAATTCATAAATGTTTTTTTTTTTTTGACACATTAAAATCTTAATTATGCAAAAATTGTCATGAAAAAATTATCATGAAATGTTTGCATAGTGTTAAGAGCCAGAATAAAATCAGAAAAATATTGTGTTATAAACTTTTCTTATCAATATAGTTTCTTTTTATCATGTACTGTGTAAATGGTTACATTTAAAAAGCTATTGATCTAGGAATAAGTTTTTTATGAGTTTAGAAAAATAGTATTAATAGTAGAAGAAATACAAATAATGTTAATACAGCAATTAGTGTATACATTTATAGTGTATTCATTTTATGTATGTAAATGGTTGCTTAGCCTTTTCCTGCTCTCTCCTTGATTAAGCCCAGTATTGTTTATAGTTATCAGCCAATACCTGCTTTATCTAATCAATACTTCATTACATTAAATCAGGAGCTTCTAATGGAATTTAATAAATCGATATGACTCTGGAGAAGAAATCTGGAGCCAGAATTTGTTCCCCAAACTACTTTATAAGATATGGACTACTTTTTTTAATGAATAAATTCTTATAAGTGCTTTGTTCTGTATTTATTTTGTGTTTACGTGCCTAAGACTTTTGCACAGTACTGTCTTTATAAGATAAATTTATATTATTGCTCACAAACTTGCTTGTTCTCGCTCACTCAGCAGTGTGTGTACAGAAGAGCACGCAGTGTGTTCTCTAACACATCACACTCCAATAACTTCACCTCATCCCTCACTCCTTTTTTATATCCTCCTTAGGTCCCACAGATGCCGGGAAGAGGAAGTGTCCCCCCAATTTCTTCGCCTGTCCCAGCGGCCGCTGCATCCCTATGGCCTGGACCTGCGACAAGGAGAACGACTGCGAGAACGGAGCTGATGAAGTGAACTGTGGTGAGATAACTGCGCTCTGTTTTACCACAGCCTTTTATTCCATAGCATGGATGTCTGAGTATGTTTATGGCCAAGAACATTTCATATCAAGTATCTGCTAATATTGAGTCTGACTATTTACATTTTAATAGCTGATGTAAAAGAATTAGAGATTAGTTTTCTCCTCCAAGCGTGTTGAGCTCCAATGATGACGCTTTAGCAGTAGCTTCATGCATTTCAGAGGAAGCATTCCTTATGTCTTTGTCTCTTATTAGGTTTGTGTAGTTGATCTCTTCTTTTTTACACATTTAGTCATGCTTAGAACAGTTGGATTTTATCAGATGTTTGATTGTTTTCGACCCGACTCTGATTGTAATCTAGAGTAAACTAGTGTAAACTGGCCAGCGACTTAATGTAAACAGACTCCTGCAACAGCCAATGAAAACTGAGAGTGAGAAAGAAGAAAATAGAGCAAGTAAACAAAGAAAAATGGTGAAACGTCACTCACATGTGGAGTGAAGCTTTTTAATAAGCTGAGTTTAACGTATAAAGCGCTAAAAACTACCAGAATGATCACATTTTTAAATTCATGATTCTCATTTAAACATGTTTACCTGCTGCTGCGCAAACTGCAGAGAGAACAGCATCAGCAGCTCCACGTTTGTTTATAATTGTGTCTCCTAGTAACAGGAGAATGCGTGAGTTTGCATGAGTTTGCGTGAGCTCCATTCGGTTCAGCAACAGCTTAAAAGTTGAGAATTTGTGATTCCTAATCATTTAGTGTGTGTTCCCCAATATTTCACTAGCCCAAAAAAATCTGCAAAAACCACTCATAGTGTGAGATGCCCAGTCTTTTTATGTTCTGTTAAGACTTAAAAAGTGGTGTAGTGTACCCAAGGCTTTAACCACAGTCAAAACACTGCATTGCATATATTATGTACCTCACATAACATAGAAGCAGAAGAACAAAAAGAGCTTCTCCATGTTTTCTGTATTTTACGGAAGGTGTTTGCAGGTCAGTATCTGCAGATCTAAGATCATTAAACAGACAGACATCCAAGAGCTTTAAGGTCATTTAGAGCTTTAAAAACCAGGAGCAGAGCTTTAAAATCTCTCCTAAAAGATCCAGGCAGTCAGAGCAGTGTAAACGGGGGGTGATATGAACTCTCTGTGTTAGTGTTGTGAGGGTCTGTGCTGCTGTGTTCTGTACGAGTTGTGGAGGATGGGCTGTTTTCTCCAGTGAGAAGATCATTACAGTGATCAACTCTGCTAAACAAACGCATCGACAAGTTTCTCTGCATCGCTCTGAGATAGAAACAGCCGAACTTTAGTGACATTTATTAGATGATTTAATTCAATCTTAGTAGCATTATTAAAATGAGAATTAAAGCAGAAATGAGAATCTAAAGTGACGCAAAGTTTTTGTACGTCAGATTTTAAAACATAGCCGAAACAGATCCGTTAACCCTCTGGGGTCCACAAATTCGTCCATCTGTCAAATTCAGTGTGTCTGTCTGTGTCTCATGATAGGATGGAATGGAAAGGGCGACTCTACAGATTCTGGAAATGTTTGAACTGTATTTCTGTGCTGAATTATCACAAAAATACAGTTCAAACATTTCCTGAATCTGTAGAGTCGCCCTTTCCATTCCATCCTATCATGAGATCGTACGTGACTCACATCCAGAGTTATGAGGCCGTGAAGAGGGGCTGAGATACATGTCATCTGCCTCTCACCGTGTGGAACTGGTGGATTCGTGTGTCCGTCTACCTTTCCTATGAAACTGACCAATGAACACTCAGGAAATCACTAAGGACTGACCCATCACACCGGAAACTCTTCATTCTTCATTCAGTCCACATCGGAGACACGTGAAATGGCATGCAGAGAGTTTACAGCTGTTGAAGTCGCTGCAGAGGTTTTGGAAAATAGTGATGAAGATAACAGAACATTTTGATATGAGACATATGAGTATTATGTTATATGAAGAGCCTTTAAAGGAGAATTTAAGAAGATATGAACAAATCGAGACGAGAAACTTTGACTGCCGCAGTGCTGATCTTTTTGTGTAGTGAAGCTGTAGTGAGGTGCATTACTGCAATATTATTTTGCCATTAACTGCCGCCATGTAATTAACCACCTTTCTGTCTCTTTACAGATAAAGTCTGCACAGCAAACCAGTTTGAATGCGGAAATCACCGCTGTATCTCTAACACCTGGGTTTGTGATGGAGCAGATGACTGCGGTGACGGCACTGATGAGGACAGCAGATGCAGTGAGTCCAGACTCTGGGAAACATCTTTAAACATCATTAAACAATTCCTGCCCAAGAATAACCACCTTTTAATAACATAGAGAATTGACAAGCCACTGATTTACCAATATCAGTGAAAGTGCCGCTGATGAAGAGCCATTAATTAGCATTTTTATCCCCAATGTAGCAATACAGCTGTGAATCAGAACAAAAAGCACCATCATGGTTAAAATAAACAGCAAACCCCAGTCAGCTATAGCATGGAAATAACATAACACAAACCTTTTTGTATGAAGTGACGGAAAAATAAACATAAGGAATAATTAACTGACGCCAAAACTGGAAAGAATTCTGCATTACTCCTCCTCCAGTGCTACAGTATTTACATTATTAACTGTAGGTGGATTCCAGTTGCCCTAATGGTTCCTTGGAAAGTGAACTATGCAGTTTATTCAAACATTTTAGTAAAGATACCAAACCACAGGGAACTGAAAATGTTAGCATGTTGCCTGTTAACAGGTACACTTTGCCATCAGTTATTTGTTTTGTCATATTTATTTTTTTTTCTTTTGTAAGGAGCCCAACCAACTAAATCGTATGTTTCTATATTGGCATGCTTTAATAAATGAAATGCTGTGCATGTCGTTACATAGCAATGTTTAATGCAAAAGCTTTGGCTAACACTTAAAAATTAACATCTCATGGCAAATGTCAAATTTGGTTGTGTGTAATTGTGAGCGATTATGTCCCGTAATGTAACAGCGCCATATTACCATAACATCAAACATTATGGTCGTGACAGTTCATGAAGACAATACCATAACACTGTTATATTACTGAACATCATCTGCTCATAACAGCTCATGACTTGCAGTGACATGTTTATAGCATAATTATGTCAATGTTACATAGCAGGATTCTTCATTAGTAAATCATTCACAAAGAGTCACAAAGAGTCACTCAGAGTGGTTTGGTGTGAAATGGTTCAGGTGTCTTTACAGTGGTGGTGATGGGAACCAGGGGTCACCATGACTACAACGCAAATATAGACATTTTGTTTACTATCCAAAACCACCAGTGAACCTACATGAGTCTTCTGAGTTCTATATAGAATGTTGTTGATGATAAAATAGTGGAAAATCTGTAATAATGTTTTCTTTGGGAACTATTTTGCCTCACAGCACCCTGCATTTATCCCTTCACTATGAATGGAGTTTAAATTCAAAACCCTCTCAAAAACAGTGTCTCAGACATCAGGCAGTGTATTCATAACCATTTCACGTAATAACTTTCTGTGAGGGAGCTTTTAGAGGTGGACGTCTGGTTCCTATCTTCACCACTGTGAACAATTCTGACTCTGGAACAGAGCATTTCACACTAAACCACTCTGAACGACTCTGTTTACTAGGCAACTAAACATGATTACTGTGTAGGGAATGTAAGGACACTGCTTTGGGACAGGACCTGGTTTAGATCATGTTCCATGTATATGTGATTCTGGATGAAGTAATGGTGTTTGAAACATCTCTCCTCTTCTTTACTTTCAATTTCACCCTTTTGCTTTCTCCTGCTTCTAAACCCTCAGAGAATAAGACGTGCGGTGTCGACGACTTCCACTGTCCAGACTCCCATAAGTGTGTGCCGCGACACTGGGTGTGTGACGGAGACCGAGACTGCCCCAACGGAGCGGACGAGAGCGTCAAAGCTGGCTGCAGTGAGAATCGCTTACCTCTAATTAATTTAGCCTTTTAATTAAAAGGAAGTCCTTATAGGCTAGACCGGTCCTGTCACTGTGCTCCAACATCTCCATTTCTGTTGACTTTTATTTTTTTTACCTCATTTGAACACAGCAGCTGTCCTTTGCATTGTGTGAACATTTCATGATGAATGGACCAATGGAAATGTTTTTCATTGAACAGTGACGATATACATTACTACTAATTAGTTGATTAGTAGAGACTCTGGGCTTTACACTGCAAAAACATTCTATCTTAGCCATTGAAGACAAGTTGATATATCTAATGTTTCTTATTTTAAGCTTTTTGTTAGTGTATTATAAGAATAATGTATTTCTAGACATCTAACTTATTTTATTAAATATTTTAGCAGATAATTCGGTTGTTTTAAGAAAAATGCTTGAAGCAAGCCAAATTATCTGCAAATACAGAGAGATAATTTGGTAGAGATTAACATATTTTCAGAAATTAATCATTTACATTTTTATAAATGTTATTAGTAACTTGTAATGGATAACACTTTTCAAAAAACAACATGCAATAGTCCATTATAATGACCGGGAGTGAGGCTGCATTAAAATGACTAATAATAATCACTACAATCACAAATAACAGCAGTTTTTAAAATGTATTTATATTTCAGAATAGGTTATTTAACATGAACATGTACAGCATACTTTTAAGCATAATTTGTATTTTCATGGGACTCTTGGCTCATGGGGGTCCTAGGCGGCTGCCTACCTTTGCCTGGTGCAGAGACCACCCCTGCCTTTACCTCCTGTGATTGTGTGGATAGAAAGTAGTAAAACTATTGGCATTTGATTACTAAATGTGCTAAATGTTTCCTGTAGCTTTCATTATTTATTAAACATGTTAACATACGAGTTCTTTAACACTTAGAAGTCTAGAGTTGCGAACGTCATTGCTGTGCCATCCATCCATCCATCATCTAAACCGCTTATCCTTCTGGGTCGCGGTGGGGTGCTGGAGCCTATCCCAGCTGTCATTGGGCAGGAGGCAGGATACACCCTGGACAGGTCGCCAGTCCATCGCAGGGCAGACAGACAGACATACACAGTCACACACACACTCACTCACACCTAGGGGCAATTTAGCACGTCCAATAGGCCTGACTGCATGTTTTTGGACTGTGGGAGGAAACCGGAGTACCCAGAGGAAACCCACGCAGACACGGGGAGAACATGCAAACTCCACACAGAAACGACCCTGGTCACCCGGCCAGGAATCGAACCCAGGCCCTTCTTGCTGTGAGGCGACAGCGCTTCATTGCTGTGCCATTTAAATAAATTAAATAATTGAAAACAAGACACAATAATAACTTTTCATCAAATTCAAATCTTAAACACCTTCTCTTCTAATTACAAACACAGATGTGGAATGTTTTCATAAGTTGAAAGGTTTAGTTAAGTTTAGAATAATTTGTTTCAATGAGCCACAAGTCAGAAATAACTCATATCAAATTACAGCATGATTTATCATTTCCAGGGATAACTGACTTCTGAGGTTTAAAAGAATTGGCCTTTGTACCTTGTTTACCATCTACATTTTATTCCTCTTCAGCATTTAAAAACACCTGTGAGGCCGACGAGTTCATGTGCCACAACAGGCGGTGCATCTCCAAACACTTTGTGTGTGACCACGACAACGACTGCGGCGACGGTTCGGATGAATCCGTGGAGTGCGGTGAGTGTAGCCTGTCCTTCGTCTCTTTCCCGTCATCCAGTTAGCCTTCTTGAAGTAATTAGAATGTTTTTTCACTTAAAGGAGGGGCTCATCGATTTTGGCAAACTTTAGCTAAAGCTCAACTTAAATACATTGATCCCTCCATAGCCCTGCCTCCAAAATACAGCCCCTCCCTTCATTGATCCCTTCAAAGGCACACCTCCAAAATACAGCTCCTTCCTTCATTCCTCCCTCCAAAGTCACACCCCTTGAATACAGCTCCTTCTGTCATTGCCCGAAAAATATAGTCTGTCCCTTTAGTGCTCTCTCCAAAGGTCATCCTTCAAAATACAGCCCCTCTCTTCAGCGCTCCTTCCCCCACCCCCAGTTTTCAGCCCCTCCCTTCAGTGCTCCTTCCAAGGCCATGCCTCCAGAACAGCCCTCCTTTCATTGATCCCCCCCCAAGGCCACGCCCACAAAATATAGTCCCTCCCGTCAGTGCTCTCTCCAAAGCTCCTCCTTCAAAATACAGCCCCTCCCTTCATTGATCCCTTCAAAGCCCCACCCAGAAAACAGACCCTTCCTTTAGCGCTCTCTCCAAAGCTTCTCCCACAAAATACAACCCCTCCCTTCATTGCTCCTTCTAAAGCACCATCTCCAACATACAGCCCCTCCTTAAGAATACTGCCCCACCTTTCAGTATTCCCTTCAAAACTGCCTCTAAAGCCCAATCCCCAAAACCTAGCCCTTCAGTACTCCCTCTTAAGCCCCTTAACTAAAAGACAGCCCCGTCCCATTTACAGAGCGTGGGGCAGCCACAGAGAGATTTTTTTTTTCATCTGTCGATATATTTCATTGACAGCTGTCGGAATGTGAGGACAATTTCACCAAATATTACAAATACTACAAAATCATTGAACCCCTCCCTCCCCTTTAAGGATGTATTAGGCAGTATTATATAAAGCAGCTTAAAAAACTCAGCGCTGACGCAATGGTGTTGTCTTTTTCTCAGGTGTATTGATGAATGTATTGATCAGTCTGTCAGTGCACTGGCGCAGTTGTGCTGTTGACATCCTGACCCTCACTAATGGGCAGTCGTTTGTCTTTGCTAACAGAGTACCCCACCTGCAAGCCCAATGAGTTCCGCTGTGCTAACGGACGCTGCCTGATCCAGAGCTCCTGGCAGTGCGACGGCGACTTCGACTGCCACGACCGCTCAGACGAAGCCCCCAAGAACCCGAGCTGCAGCGGGCCAGGTACAAGAGAGTGTCTAGAATCTGAAACTGTTTCACTTAAACCTTTTAACTCTGTCTTACGCCAGCATATCGTCAGTGATAGTTTTACCATTTTTGTTTCTTTTAACTGATTTAACTCCACCCTCGGTATTTATTAAAGGAGTTATTAAAGAGTAGATTGAAAGACGGGAAAAAAGAAGCCTTAGCATTAAAGGACCTGTATCAAGGAAAACCCATGTCACTTTTTGATGCTATAAGTAAACATTTTTAAAGTTATAAAACATACAACATAAATAAATGGTTCAGTCCATACAGTCAGTATACGAAAACTGTGATGAAAACTTTTTTGTGATGTCACAAAAACCAACATGTTTATATATCCACATCAATTAAGCCCCATCCATTCATGCTTAAGTTGTAAGGAGTGTTTCAGCCCGGACTACTTTTTAAATTAGTTACAATACACGGCAGCCAATCAGAACAGAGCTCATTTGCATATATCAGTCTTAAAGGCACAGAAACAGCTTGTGTTTTTTTGTAAGGGATAAATAGAGGCTGGAAAATGGTCATGTAAAAATAAATAATAAATAGTGTAAAATAGTTAACTATAAATAGTTTTTGTTACAGAAACTAACACAAAGAGCATAAGACCCCCCAAAAAAAGAAACATGGAGAAAAATGTAGGGTATGGGCCCTTTAAAGATGAATAGTTGAATTGCAAGGACATGTATGCCTAAAGGTCATAAATACATAACTTACAAATGAGTTTTAGTAGTTATTGAACAGTTTGTAGTCAATATTGAATGAGTTGTGATAACTGAATTAAACTGCAGTTTAAGAGGTTAATTGAATGGGTTAACTGAATGGGATCTACTGTAGCTGTTGACTGTTCTCCTCTATGTGGTTTGTCCTTCTCCGGCGTCGAGCAGAGAAGAAGTGCAATGACACATCGTACGCGTGCAGAAACGGAAAGTGTGTTAACGAGACGCTGCTGTGCGATTATAAGGATGACTGCGGCGACGGCAGCGACGAGCTGAACTGCTTCGTTAACGAGTGCCTGAACAGCAAACTCAGCGGCTGCTCTCAGCTCTGCGAGGACCTGAAGATCGGCTTCAAAGTAAGAAATGCTGCTCTGATATTTCAAACATTTTCAGGTTTTTTGCTCCTATCCGAGTCTTTATTAGTATTGAGGGACCTGATCTTGAATATTTCATAGAAATAAATGTATTCCAAGCAATTTTGTACTTTAGCTTGTTCACACATGTACAAAGTAACATTATTTAGAAAAAAAATGTTCAGTGATGAAACCTAACTTTAACACACTTAAGTGGTTTTGTTATCTACCAAAATATTAAACAGACACTTAATTCAAGTATACTAAAGTTAGGTAAAACATCATTACAATGTAACATTTTTTCCTCTAATATTATATTGTACATTGTATGAATGTTTTTGTTGCTGGTCTAATAGAAAAAGTACAAAATTATTTGGAATATGTTTATTTCCATTCATTGTCCAGAATGCTTTTCCGCTTTTCCTGTAGAATTACCATTTTAGAGATAAAATATTTTGACTCCACAACTACAATATTTAATAATTGATACATTTTATATACATAAAACCTCAAAGTTTTGGATGTACAATTATGATAATCTTATTAAGAAAATAAAGAAATTAAATAAAGAAACTGGAGAAGTTTTTAACTAAATATCCCGTTGTTGTCGCCTTTCGCGCCCTGCAGTGTAGATGTCACCCTGGCTTTAGGCTGAAGGATGATGGGAAGACGTGCGTGGATGTAGATGAGTGCAGCAGCACCTTCCCCTGCACACAGCACTGCATCAATACTCACGGCAGCTTCCACTGCGTGTGCGTGGACGGATACCAGCTCAGCTCCACCGACCCCACCGTCTGCAAGTCCACCTCTGGTAAGGTTTCAGTCCTCTATGAGGACTTAAGGGATGATGCAGATAAAATTTAGAAAAAATAAGGCTGTTATAATGCAAATTTTGTTTCAATAAAGTGCGTCATGATGACGTCTCAACACGATACATTTTTCAGTGCAGCAAATATAAGGATGTCTGTGTATGTGCATTGTGTTAATATTAATGTTAACATGCCCAGAACATGAAAAACAGTTTTTTCCACATTTTTTCTTTGTTTTGAAGTGAAACAGTTAATGCAGTATATAAGCATTTCTAAAGTACCGTTCACTCTTCAGTCCATATATGGAAACTAAGCTGAACAGCCCGTTTTCAATACATTATTTTTGTTGCCATCTGCCTGTTTGGCTTACAGCAGTTAGCTCCGCCCACTCACGCTGACTAAGGAGTGTTTCAGCTGATCCTTTTTGAATGAGGCAGCCAATCAACTCTGTTGTATTTACCTATCTGTCTTAAAGACACAGTAACAAAAACAACCTTTTTAACTCTGAAGGGTAAAGAGAGGCTGGAAAATGGTCATGTAAAAATGAATTATTATTATAATGACTGTTTTTGATACATAAATGCAAACAAACGTCATAAGTGGACAAAAAGCAAAAAATACAAGGAAAATGTAGGATATGTGCCCAATGTTTGCACCATGCACAAAGCACATTATATGCATGCACACTAGTGGTGTAACAGTACTCATATTTTCAGGTTTAATATGATTTTCAGTGCTGAGATGAAGATTTTTTTTTTTTTTGGTGATCAGTATTTTATTAATTAATAAATATATAGAACACAAGAACTATGTTCAAAAAGCCCAGGATATGCCCACAGGGTTCTTTACAGTAGATATAGTAGAGAGTTAATAGTTACTGTTAGATATCAATAATAGAAACATTAATGATGGTAGTAGTGATGGTCAGTGGTACACTCACATAAGATGAGAAGACATAGATATTAAAGTAAAAAATAAATAAATAAACAGATGAATAAATGAACTCTGTATACTGGAGTTCAGCGCTCACATCAGTTAACAAAGGTTGCTATGCTCTATTAGCTTTAACAATTCTTTCTCAGTGCGATGAAGATTTAATTCGATTTACAATATTTTATGTGTTTTGACTCTACAGAGCTCTAATTACAAACTACACACAATAGTGAAAAGAGTCATTTTTTTACTGGGCTGATAAATCCAGCCCAGAGAAGCACAGAGAGCTGATATCTTTGGTGATTTTAGTGTGTAGTAACATTGAATGTCCATATAACTCTGTTTTAGAGGCTGACACTCATTAAAATACAGCAGAAATTCGTCTGCAGTCCACCTCAAAATGTAGCGTCTGCTGCTAGTCCCTAGTAAATACATTTCGTTGATGTCTGGACCTCTCGTCATTTTTGTTTGTTTTTTGTGCTAAATGTCGGCCCCTAGTGTACATGAATGAGAAATTCTCATTGTTACTCTGTCTCACTCAGATGAGGAGCCTTTCCTGATCTTTGCTAATCGATACTACCTCAGGAAGCTCAACCTGGACGGAACAAACTACACCTTATTGAAGCAGGTAAGCCTTTCGCATGATATCTACTCCATTATATAGTTGTGCTACAGATCAGAGGTTCTCAGTCTTTTGCCTCAAGCCACACCTGTTTACACTATATGGCTAAGTGTACACTTGACAGTCACACCTATAGGAGTTTGTTGGACGTCCCGTCCCAAAACTATGGGCATTAATATGGAGTCACCCCCCTGTATGTTGTTATAACAGCCTCACTCTTCTAGGAAGCTTTCCACAAGATTTTGGAGTGTGTTTGTGGGAATTTGTACCCATTGATTTCCAGTTCATCCCAAAGGTGTTCAGTGGGATTGAGGTCAGGGCTCTGTGCAGGTCACTAAACTGGTCAAACCATGTCTTTATGGAGCTGCTTTGTGCACAGGGGCTCGTGCCTGAACAGGGAAGGGTCTTCCCCAAACTGCTGCAGTTTGTGTGGTCTACCGCTTCGTGGCTGAGCTGTTGTTGCTCCCAGATGCTCCCATTTCACAGTAATAGCACTTACAGTTGACAGGGGCAGATCTAGCAGGGCAGAAATGTCACACACTGACTTGTGGCAGAGGTGGCATCTTATAATACTGGCACATTATAAGTCACTGAGCTCTTCAGTATGACCCATTCTACTGCCAGTGTTTGTCTATGGAGACTGCAAGGCTATGTGCTTAATTTTATACACCTGTTAGCAATTAGTGTGGCTGAAACACCTGAACTTAATAATTAGGAGGGGTGTCATCTCTAAAAGCATGAAGGCCTTTTTTGCTGAAATTCAATTTGCAGCTATTCAGTAATATGTGACCAGAAATCAGGCAAATGTGTTGGCAAATTAAGTGGAATGTTTCTGCCACACATTTTGTACACCAGTCACTCACGAGTGGATGAATGAAACACAGGTGGGAGGGGGATATTTTGTTTTTAAAGGCTTATATTAACATTGTTTACCATTTGAAAAAAAAATTTCTTTTTGATTGTGTTATTTTTATCACTTATATTTATCACTTAGATTTAATCATCACCAGCCCTCTACAGACCTCTAGCCCCCATCAGTATTGGCCCGAGGACCACCAAAGGGTGCTTGAGAGAACCTGCTATAGATGACATGATTAGAAATCATAGTTATGTGTGAGGTGTTTATGTATGCGTTGTCTGTGCGTATGTGTCTGCAGGGCTTGAATAATGCCGTAGCTTTGGACTTTGACTACCGGCAGCAGATGATCTACTGGACTGACGTGACGACTCAGGGTAGCATGATCAGGCGGATGAACATTAATGGAAGTAACGTTCAGGTAACATTTTTACAACATTAAGCTGTTTAAGCACTCATATCAGTCAAGGCTTATGTGTTTTCAGGTGCGAAGGTTGGTGAGCTCAGATCAGTCAAATTCTAAAATTACAAATTTTACACTCATTTGAATGTGGGTGTGTCTCCTCGGCAGGTCCTTCACCGCACGTCGCTAAGCAACCCTGACGGGCTGGCTGTTGATTGGGTGGGAGGGAACCTGTACTGGTGCGATAAAGGCCGAGACACGATCGAGGTGTCCAAGCTGAACGGTGCCTACAGGATGGCGCTGGTCAGCACTGGGCTGCGAGAGCCGAGAGCCGTGGCTGTGGACGTGCGCAATGGGTAACTGTTCTGTAAAAAATTCACTCATCGCATTAACAATTGTTGTTATTTTATTTAATAAAAACTTTACATTGTAGATTCAGATATTATAAACTAGACGGCAGAAGGTGTTTTTTAAAGTTTTATTCAATGCAAATCTTTTATGGTAAATAATGCTGTAATGATCAGTTAATAATCATTGCAGATTAAATTATTTGCCTTGATGTTTTATCACCACATGTACATTCACATATATTCATTCTCAGAATTTCAATTATGGAATTTTCTGCACCTCTGTTTATCATCTATTCATCATATCTAGAATTTTTTGCAGCATTTTTTATTAATGATGTATTACATTAGTTATATAATCAAACCATTCGTGTACATTAGTGCTTCCCTTTTTTTTATGCGCTTCTTTTATTGTGTTTGTAATATATACTGTATATATATCATATCTGACAGCTAAATTACAGTAGAAGTAAAGTAATGGAATTTTACATAGGTAAACCTGGGGCGATCATCTAACAGTATCCAATAAAAATTTTTATTACATTTAATTTGTCGTACTTGTAGTCAGATTTGTACTCAGGCAAGTTCAGAGAAACTAAAGACCAAAGAAAATAAATCAGATAAAAAAAATCAGATATGGACATTAACATATTAATAATAACTGAAAATAGGGCATTGAATAGCTGACTTTTTGACCTATCCAGGTACCTGTACTGGTCAGACTGGGGCGATAACCCTCACATCGGCCGCATTGGGATGGACGGCACCAACCGGAGTGTGATCGTGGAGGACAAGATCACGTGGCCAAACGGACTCACTCTGGACTTCATCAACGACCGCATCTACTGGGCCGATGCCAGAGAGGACTACATTGAGTTTGCCGACCTGGATGGCACCAACCGGCACACAGGTCAGAAATCATTTCACCACTAATACACTCTCATATTGACACGTATAGATTACATTTCTCATGCTGGGGGACCTCAGAAGAAACTTCAAGGTTCGGGGGCTGTACTACAGAAGCTTGAAATCTGACCCTATCTGCTCAGTTTCCATGATGATTTCAGTACAGACTGAATTTAGGACAGTAGCTATTACAGAATAACAGTTCCTAACTTCATCATCTTATCATTAACTCCAGATAATAATGCAGTATTACACGAACATCCTAACTAGAATAAATCTCCTAAATACTGTCCTAACTTTAGGATAAACCCCAGCAGTGTCCTAACTTCTGTTTAAGTATCCATTTCTATCATTTTTAGGCAGCTGTGTCCGGCAGCATAGATCACTACTAGCATTATGATGCTACATTTATTTATACTGTAAAATGCTGCTTTTACCTATGAGACCTTTTTCTTTTCTAACTATGCGTTTTAAAAATCTCAGACACTGCAGACACGATCTCCACCGTCCCCTCTTATTACCTTCATGTGTTAATGTTGATGAAAAAATATTACAGAGATGGTGGTGAATAATGAAGAGACAGAGCTGAACGTGAGTCTGTTTATGAGGAGGAATAACGTTAGCGCACTTGACTAAAGTGTTTGGGAAATGGAGACTGAAACTGGGTGGTGGCGACACTTTGATAAACAGCAGGGGGCGCTCTCACAGTATTCACAGCTTACAGTTTATCACCTTTTTTACATCAGTAACAGCTGTAACTTACATTTTCAATAATTTTATGATTACGTTTATGTTTCAGCTATGCGTGTATGGTTGTTTGCTAGGAAACAGAAATGACAGCTGATTGTCGGCTTTGAGTAAGATTTCCTAACTGGAGATAAGATGCTGTAAGATAAGATAAAATTCTTAAATGTAGAGCTGGGCGATGTGAGGGAGAATGTAATATTGTGATACTTCAACAGGTTTTCAAGATATACGATACATCACAGTATTTGTTTCCTGACATCTGATAAGTTGGAACAGACAAAGTAGTACCACATAAGAAAAAAAACACTTTCCAAAACTGTGAGCTGCACTGAATTAATACAGTCAAATAAGTCTGATTATGCTGATTACATAATTAATAATTAATGGTATAGGTATGTTGTTTGACATGATCACATGATGTGTTTTGATTGGCTGTTTCATGAAACTGTTGCAGCTGAGTTTCATATGAGTTGCAGGACACTTTACATTATACGTAACTCAAATGTTCCATGTAGGTTTTAAGCAACTAAAGTTGCATGAAAGTTCCACTGCGAAAAGCCCTATTTAGATGACATGAGGAGGTGGGTCATGTAATCTTTACTGATTTTTAGTCCTGCCCTAATGCGCCATGTCAGTGTTTTTTACTGACTGCGCTCCCACTTCAGTAAAGATGCTGATGCCTTTTATCTTCTATAAAACAAGCTGTAGAAATAAACACAGATTATATTAATCCAGCGTGAATCAAAATGTCATTAAAAACTTTAAAACATTTTCTGTGGAAAAGCAACTTCTTAAGTATTTGCTTGTGCTCTCTGGCTAAAATCAAGCCGATGTGTTTTGTCCTCCTCAGATGTCCCACTCAGAATGTTAAAACATAAAAATTACTGAAAGAAGTTTGCTTTTATGCTGAGATGTTGACCGTTGGCTGTGAATTCCCAAGCTAATGATAATGCTAATGTAATGCTAATGATACATTGCTTTCACTTCAGACAGCACGACAGATGGTCTGGGTAAATGGGATAGTAGCCAAATTAAATGTGTTTCTGCTCGTTTCTGGAGGGCAGCATGTAAATCGAGTAGCTGTTTCCATCTCTGTCATTAATACCCAGGTATCTTCTCCTGTGTGAATCGCTCATAAACATTACAGACCTGCAGTAAACTCACATTACCCACCTCGCCATGGAAATCTAATCCTGACCGAACAGAGCTTAATAACTGGGCTGGGATATACAATTTTGATTTTGATTTGACTGCTTTGAAGTATGTTAATTCAGTATACAACACATTATCCCACTGCTCACAATTGTAACCGAAAATAAAGCAAACTTTATCATATACTTTTCCATGAAAATAAAAAAAAAACAATTGATTATTTCCAAGAGTTACCAGTGACACATAATCTGGATATAGGAAAAATTTGTGATTAAATGGGTTGAGAGAGAAAATGTGAGAGTATGCAAAATTCATGTAGGCATATCCCTTTACATAAAAAGAAATCTGCTACCTGAGTCTGATGTTATACATGAAAAATCATCCTGAACTCGGGTAGCAGAACTTTTGTGTAACTTCTATTTTTATCCCACCTCTGCTTCTGTTTGTTTTTGCTCGTTAATGAACGCAGTCTGTTTGACGTCTCCTGCAGTTCTGAATCAGGACATCCCGCACATTTTCGCCATGACTCTGTTTGAGGAATACATCTACTGGACCGACTGGGAGACCAAATCCATCAATAGAGCGCACAAGACCCTCGGCACCAACAAGACCATGCTGATCAGCACCCTGCACAGACCCATGGACATTCACATCTACCACCCGTACAGACAACCTGAGGGTGAGGACACACTCGCACCCACAAAACACCTGTACTTTTCAACAAGCTGTGTTAAAGGTGCAGTATGTAAGATTTAAGGGGAGCAGAAATGGAATTGGTTAGCTTAGAATGAGCCCCTCATATCTACGTAGGGAGCAGCTCCTCTTCTAACAGAGGCCGAGATCGGGACAGGCGATGGCAAAAAACCCGGCGGCCACCATAGGTTCTGCTACACGCTTGGAAAAGGAGAGATGAAAGAAGGGATTCAGTTGGTTGCAATCTGCTCACCACTAAATATTACACACTGCACCTTTAATTGAAGTGTAACTCCAGATATTCGTTCAGTTGGAGTTTTCCTGCCGTAGATGTTCAGCTGGGTTGATATCTGGTGACTGTGAAGGCAGTAGCATATGATTTACATCATTTTATACTCAGCAAAACATTGTGGCCACTGCTGCCCTGTGAATGAGGCACTGACCACTCCCAGCAGGATAGAGAATATTAAGGTGGACCCAAACCGTACCAGTAAAATTCCCCCTCAAGCATTCTTGATGACCACCTCTCTGTAGACCAGTGCTGATGGTTTTCACACCACTGACCTCTCAGATGGTCATTCGTCTTTTTGATGAGGGGTTTACGCACTGCAGCTCTACCTTAATATCCGTCTCTGTGTGGTTGTAGTCGGATTGTTCTTGCTGATACAGTCTGCTCACGTCCTGCATTGACGCACCTGAGGAACAGCTGCTCATACATAGTGCACTAATGCATGAACGTCCGCTTCAATGTCCAGCCCTGTTTACTGATGTCTTTCCGCAGATCTGAATGCAGAGGTCATTTTAGTCACTGTTCCTGATAAAAAACAGTTGAGCACTCATTGTGACTGAAGCTCTTGCCTTCGTTGCCCCAATAATGAACCCTCTTTCAAAGTTCAGAGGCACTTAGATCTTTCGCTCTTGCCATTTTGATGCATTTTTATAGCATCACAGAGCATGATAGGATGTTAACTGCTTAATTGTGCCAATCAGTACACCTGTCTGGAAGCATCCACCTATTTATTCAGGTGTATTTCAGTGGCAGGATCCCTGATCTATTAGTCAAAACTGCAAAAAATGATATCAAACAAGTGAAAACATCTTAAATCATTAATACATCTAATATTCCACATTATGGGATTGTTGTAAGAATGTTATAAGGTGATTTAAACTATTTCTAAACATTTTTATCTAGTGAAAGTTTTCCACTGGTAGATAATTTTCCCTTGTTTTAAATATTGTTTCTTGAATTAAGCAAAATAATCTGCTTTGTTTCTTAAAATAAAATAATCTGCTGATGTAGTAAGACACTTTTAATAAATAAAATGACTTAAAACTAGTAAACATATGCAGAAATAGTTTAAACATGCTTATCATACTCATCCAACAATATCATAATGTGAAATATTGGATATGTTGGATAGATTTAAGATGTTCACTTGCTTAGATCTCTTTGCTTGCAGTGAAATATTAACTTATGTGCTTTCTTATTCCCTAGTAACGAACCACCCATGCCAGACGGACAACGGCGGCTGCAGTAACCTGTGCCTGCTCTCCCCTGGCGGAGGCTACAAGTGTGCCTGTCCCACCAACTTCTACCTGGCTGCTGATGGAAAGCAATGCATGTCCAACTGCACCGCCAGCCAGGTGCGTTCACTTTAAGGAGTAGTTTTCCAAAAATCTCAATTGCATTGTTTTCTCTCTCAAATGTAGTCAATCAAGACACATTTGGTGAAGTTTGCCTCTTTAGTTTTAGCTTTGGAGTTGCAAGGCCTAGGTAGTAGCTTACTACGGAAGCCTGCAGACCACCAAATAGCATCTGACTGCATGTCTAAATCATCACTCGCCTCAAACCATGTGGAGTTGTTCAGTAATTACTAATTGATAGTATTCTGATGACGTCACAATCATTTTGCCACCGTTTTGGTTGATAACTTCAGGTTCATTCAGTAAAATTAGTTTGTAATGAGATAACAAATTCATAACTGATCCAGCAAAGGCAGTAAAACATGTTTTAAAACACTTTTTAAATCTGACTTTAAAGTATATTAACTGATATATTTCAATGTATTGATTTGATTTTATTTGATTTGTTGCTGTAGTGATAACAAATGAAAGCTGCATTACTAGCGCCTTGTCCCAAACTGCATACTAGCTCACTAAATAGTGTGTAAAAAATAGTGCATATGCCATTAGAAGTGCATAGGTGAAGTGTAATAGGTGAAGTACAGAAGTGTGTGGTTTGAGACGCGACGTTAGTTCAGCCAGTGAGACGCGTTCAACAGCTGCTCTGCTGCGCTGCTCGTAAACAACTTAAAGCAACAGTTTAAAGTATTTGCTGTTTAAGAAGCATTTTTGAAGTAAATTAATGCATTTATTGAGCTAAACTGTTGGTGGCTTTGTATTGGCCAACTTGCAAAAACGTGCTATTTTTAAGGTGCCTCAGTGTAACTGCAGCCCCATTTAACGTGGAATGGAAAATTCAAATGAGAAGCTGGTGAATAAGATGCTGACTTCAGCTTTATACCTGTGTATGAGTTTATTATTTAAGAGCTTTGGCTGTTTTTGAAGCCACTTTTATCAGTTTTTATAAAATATCACAAACTGGAATGTTCTGAACCCTTAACATAACTGTGACATAACTATGTAATCTGTCAGAGGAACTGTGATCCCCTTCCATTCTCACTTCTTGCTGTTCTTCAAATTCTTTTCCCCTGCAGTTTGTTTGCAAGAACGACAAGTGCATCCCGTTCTGGTGGAAGTGTGACACAGAGGACGACTGTGGTGACCGGTCAGATGAGCCGGCAGACTGCCGTAAGTCCATCAGCTCTGGGAAATGATCCGAGAGGACTGTGCTGTTTGTTCGGGCTCCTTATGAAAGACAGATATTTCCTACACTGTCTGCCCAAAATGAGTCAGATGTCCCTTCTAATGAGTGAATTCAGCTATCCTTGTAACTTTGTATAATCTCCATAGAAAAGCATTGACTAATCGAAAGGGATGTGCTGAGTCACCATGCTCAGTGCCCAGTGTGGGCTAGAGGGGTATAAAGTATTGGGCTGTGAAACAGTGGGACTGTGTTCTCTGGAGTGATGGAGCTCCATCCAATACCTTTAGGATGAGTTGGAGTGATCCAGAACTGACCATCCAACATCAGTACCTGACCTCACTAATGCTCACTTAGATCCTCATAGCAGTGTTCCAACATCGTGTCCACTTTTCCTCCACTTTTCCACTTTTCCTCAGAAAGGCTGGTGGGCATTTCTGTGTCGTTATGGAAATGGAGGAGCCGTACTGAACATATCAGAGGCTCTAAACAATCTGATATGCTTTTTGTTGCACAGAAGGCAAGGCAACTTTATTTATATAGCACCTTTCTTACACTGCTATCATTCAAAGTGCTTTACAATTGAGAAAATAGTCATTTAAAAAAGTAAAGGAGAACAGAAATTAAAAACATGATTAAAACAGTAGTTTAAAAAAACAGTAGTAGTAAAACAGCAGCAGTCGTCCACACAAGCTAGAGAGTTAACCCTCTCAATCTCACTAGCAAAGTAACCAACAAGCTTCGTATGGTTTAAATTTTACCTTCACGCTTGAATCATTTTAACCTCCCTCCAAATCCTCACAGTCAGCATGTTCATTATTATGTAAAACTGTCATGGATTCAGTGAAGAGAAAGAGAGCTGCCGTTTCTGTCCACTGCGAGAAAGTTATGTTTATTGTTTGTGACGAAGGCCAGTCTGCCATTGCCTGATTGACTGAGTGCAGTGCAGCTGCCACATTTATTTGTATAAAGTTGAAATCTGCTGAACTTTTGGCCATGTGACCAGGCAGATTTCTCCACAGCGCAAACCATCATTGACCACACGGTGCGGCAGAGCTCTCCATTGAAATGAATAGGATGCAGTGAGGAGAAGTGGACACATACCGTAAAGCCTTCCCAGAAGAGTGGACTGTTACTGTGGCAAAATGGGACAAACTCACTACGAATACCTCTCATCTCGTTTCAAGAAACGCTGGACATTACACAAACTTCTGGACAGATAGTGTAGCATGATACACTTTGTTAAATGGCTCCCTTAACATTAAGCATTTAAAAACAGCAATACAAGCCATCTCGAAGCATACCGGCTGTGAAACAGAGTTTAAAGCACACATATTTTCTCATCCTGCAGCTGAGTTTAAGTGCAGGCCAGGCCAGTTCCAGTGCGGGACGGGTATCTGCACAAACCCAGCCTATATCTGCGACGGAGACAACGACTGTCAGGACAACTCGGACGAGGCTAACTGCGGTACAGCTCTCTCTCTCTATCTCTCTCTATCTCTCTCTCTCTCTCTCTCCCCTCTCTCTCTCTCTCTCTCTCTCTCTCTCCCTCTCTCACGCTCTCTTTTTCTCTTATCTTGTGCGTACACAAGGCTTCTATTATGCAGGTATCTACGCATGAAACAAGATACTTGATACAGTATTTACAGTGATTGTCATAACATGCAGTGTAACTATTGTGTAAGATGGCTATAACTAGTATTAAACTGTTCAAGATATAGTGAGGCACGGCACTTGTGATTGTAAAGAAGTAGAATGCCTTTAGGGGGGCAAAAATGCAAAAAATTGTGGTAATAAATAAACTGACAAAAAAAAAACAGAAATCATCAAATTTCAAACAATTTGGCAAATTGGCGCCACCCTGTGGAGAATATGTAACCTGCTAAATGTTACAAGTAACAAGCTTCACATCTTAGATAGACAGATGGATAGAAAGATAGATTAGATAGAATATTAGTTATTAAGGAGGGATTAAATAAAAGCTATGCATGTAGTTATTAATTCTGTAATTAGATTTATTTAATGATAAGTATAGATGAGTAGATACAAATTGTTAATTGCTTGTTAAAGAATCAATTCTGTAAGTATATTGATTGTTTGAATATTTGATATTTGGATGGATGGATGGAAGGATAAAATAGTTAATTCTGTAAATGGATTTGATTGTTTAATTATTAGTTAAAATAGACTGGTAGATGATTGATAGATAGATACAAGTATATAGTTATTGTTAATTCTGTAAATTGATCGATTGTGTAATTATTAATTATTAATGTGCACTTCGTCTCCAGATATCCATGTATGTCTGCCCAGTCAGTTTAAGTGCACCAACCCCAGCCGCTGCATTCCTGGCATCTTCCGCTGTAACGGCCAGGACAACTGTGGAGAGGGAGAGGACGAGAAAGACTGCCGTGAGTCTCTAGAACATTCTCCACTGCCTCTCTTAAAGGGATAGCTATTAAAAATAGTAAAATAATATGCTAATAATTACGGATATGTGAGCTAACTGAGCACATGAAACACACCAGCACATTTATAAATATAAACATATTTATAGTTATAAATCATAAAACTCATAATATTAATAACATGATTTGCTTATAAAGGGGGTAAACTGGCATTTTACTTCCTTGACAAAGTTGACTTAAACCTAAGAGATGTAAGAGATGTTTTATGTGAACAATATTAAAGTTTCAAAACACACTATTCAGTCCGTACAGTCTGCAAGTAAAACTGATCTGCAGAAGCAGCTCTTTTTAAATTCACTGTCTTTGTGATGTCGTGAAAACTTAGGCATTTACATAAATCTGCCTACAGCAGTTTAGCCCCACTAAGATGCTCTGCGTCTCGGCTCAAACACAGCACAGGTTAATCAAGCCCTGTTAATCCTCCAGATACAGTCATGGGCAAAAGTTTGAACACCCCAGTCAAATCCCATGTTGTTGTTGATGTTCTAAGTGAAAATAAGTTAACGCGTCATCTACAGAGACTCACTTCTGCACATTTATTATCACTATCTGCATATTTATTTACTGAATTTAACATATTTGAAAAATAAAGCATAAAATGGGACTGTTCAGAAGATACGGCACATTTCATACATGACAGCAGAGATTTCCTTTTTTTAATATGTTTAAAAACCATTTTAAATATTTTATCATTGTATGTATCGCCCAACTCTAACAGGAACTTTCACTCTAAAGTGCAGTTTGTCCTCTGTTTCCATGTAGCGGAGGTGACGTGTGCTCCGAACCAGTTCCAGTGCACCATCACCAAGCGCTGTATCCCACGAGTGTGGATGTGTGACCGGGATAACGACTGTGTGGACGGATCAGACGAACCCGCAAACTGCAGTAAGTTGATTTTCCTCCATATTTCAGCTCTCCGCAGTAAACAGAGTGCTTAACGCTAGAACAGGCTGCTGTCAACACCGTCACCACGTCTCTCCCCCTCTGCAGCTCAGATGACGTGCGGTGTGGACGAGTTCCGCTGTAAGGACTCCGGGCGCTGTATCCCCGCCCGCTGGAAGTGTGACGGAGAGGACGACTGTGGAGACTCATCTGATGAGCCCAAAGAGGAGTGTGGTGAGTCTGAGGGCTAAACTCATTTAAAACAAATAAACAAATACTGAGCAAAACCGAACAGTTAAATAGAAATACAGGACGTATTGTGAAAGTTTTGTCTGAGCACTTTTCTTCAAAGTTATGTCCTGTATACCCACAGAATTTCCACATTGAATTTGAACAGTACATTTTAAGTAACTGCTCTAAATAATTCAGTATTTACTATGAAATATTCTGTGCAATGAATTAATCAGTATCTGCTATAAATTATTCAGTATCTGCTATGAATTATTCAGTACAATGAATGATTTAGTCTCTATTATGCATTATTCAGTTACTACAATTAATTATTAGGTATCTATTATGAATTACTTAGTATCTACTATGAATTATTCAATATGTACTATGAATGATTCAGGGTCTGCTATGAATGATTCAGTATCTACTATGAATTATTTAGTACCTACTATGAATTTTGCTGTAAATGCTGTTGCTAAAGTGAAACTTTTGTGTAATTTATGTAGTTCTGAGAGTGAGGAACAGAATGTTAGAGTTTAACAGATCATTTTAATACAAATATATCTATCAATATTTATCTAAACTCTAAGGGTATTTATGTGGCTCCACACTTTGATTCCTCACTCTCAGAACTACAGAACTTCTATATTTAATAATAAACTTTTAAAAAGTAGATTGTCAGCTAGCCTGTTTGTGTGCAGATGAGCGGACGTGTGAGCCCTATCAGTTCCGCTGTAAGAACAACCGCTGTGTTCCTGGACGCTGGCAGTGCGACTATGACAACGACTGTGGGGACAACTCTGATGAAGATGACTGTGGTAGGTGCCTTCAGAGGAGAAGAACTGTGGGTGTGTTTGTGGGTGTGTGTGGGTGTTGGAGCTGAGCTGTTTACTTTTAGTCCTTCAGATTAACACAGCAGGACTCAACAAAACATCCAATATCAAAACACCTGTTAGACTACTGATACTGTTACTGACTACTGTTAGACCCTCGACTTGTATCTATTCAGAGCCCTTTAACTGGAGAATTACTGTGTTTATTTCACATTGTGTCGTCTAATGTTGACATTTGTTGACATTCCTCATCTCGATCTGCTGTATCTGTAGCGTGTGGTTCATTACCATGATCAGTGGTTTTGTTGTTTCCCTGTACTTAGAAAAGAAAGCAAAGCTTGCTCATTCAGAACATACTGATTGAATCCGGTATGCAGGTGCAGCAGGTTGATCAGGTTGAAACTGCAGGAACTTTTCTTTAAAGCATTTAAATATCATTGAATGTCTGTCGTGTCTATTTGGTCATGTTTCTGTTTGGCTTACAGTGTGCAAGTTATCATCTATAGCTCTGTTGGAGCTGGATTAGTTTTGACAGAGGAGGTCCTGTAATGTATTTTGTGTGTGATTTGATTGGACGAATCATACTGGATAAAAGTTCTGTGTAAATTTCTCCAAATTACCTCAAGATCGAAACATAATCGTGCAGACATTTCCATCAACATAATGTGACAGACGCTACACTTCAAATCAATAACAACATGCTAAAGGGCAAATAGACAACACTCTTAGAAAAGATGGTTCTTAAGGGTTCTTTAGTAAAGACAGTGGTTCTGTATAGAACAATGAACACTCAGAACCATTTGCATGATTAAGTGGTCCTTCAGATTGATGGAGAATGTGTTGTATATGGTTCTACAGTCTTAAAATAGGTGATTCTTCAAGGGTTCGTTAGTAAAGAAAGTGGTTCTATATAGAACCTTAAACACTCAAGGAACCCTTTGCGTGATTGAAGCGTTCTTTGCATCGTGAAATCGTTCTTAAGACTGATGGAGAATGTGCTGAAGATGGTTCTGTATAGAGCCTTTTTGAAAAGCGTTCTGTATAGCACCCAAAAGGGTTCTTCTATTGTTGCAATGTCAAGCTTGTAATGATAAGAACCCTTTTTGGTGCTGTACAAAATCGTTTTCAAAAAGGTTCTATATAGGACCATATACCATACATTCTCCATTAGTCTGAAGAACCGTTTCACCATGCAAAGAACTATTTAAGCATGCAAGTGTTTTTTTGAGTGTCTATGGTTCTATATAGAACTATTGGTCATACTAAAGAACCCTTGCAGGATATGGTTCTATAGAACGTTATGGTAAATTAAGATACTCAATTTTCCTTCTTATAATTCATCCTTCAGCAAATAGGTTGTGGATTTCAGTAGACTCTTCATAAACCTGAGGATTATAATATTATCATTATATTAAACATATTATATTGCAGTAATATTTTATATCAAAGCTTAACTTTCTTTAGGTTGCAAAAAAAAGGAGAAAAAAATGACTGTTGGTTTGAGCAGGACTGCTATTACTGAGGGAGCTCAGAGTTCGGACAGCTATAGAAGATAATTAAAACAGGATTATTACTGAGCAGACTGTAAAAACTACGGTCATTACAAGTTCATACTGGTTTTAGATCAAAGACCTCATCTGTGATCACTCAGATTGCAGCTCCTCCCCAGATAAAACTAATCCAGCTTCAACAAGGCTAATAATCAACCCATACTTCACCATAAATAAGCTGCTCATGTTCTCTCGTTGCTGTGTACAGCACTGTGCAAAGGTCTCGGGCAAATATGCACATTGGTTAAAACTATTTGTCTTGGCAACACAACAAGTATCATTAGAATAAATAAAAATAAACATCAATACAGTAAAAATAACAAGAATCTTCTAGTGTAAAGAACACAGTTTGGTTCCACATTTCTCCTCTAGACATAATGAAGTATAAATTAGATAAAACAGGTACTTGATAGCATATAACTACTAATAGTACTGGATTTAATCAAGGAGGGGGCAGGAACAACACTGGTTAAACACACTGACACACTTATAACAACACATTTTATTTATATAGCACCTTCCAAAGCTCAAAGTGCTTAACAAAAAACAAAGGAAAGTACTATATGTTAAAATAAACACACAAGCAAACACACATAAATTAACATTAATGGATGTGAAATCCTCTGACATGCCGAAATAGTCATGGGACAGGAGCTAGTATTGTGTAGGACCCCCTGCAGCAACTCAACGTGGCATCAATCCCTCAAGTGGACAGAAGCCGTCTTGGGTGTGAATGGACCTCTCTAACACGTCCCATGAATGCTCAATTGGGCTCATGTCGGGTGAACATGCAGGACACACCATTCGTCAGAACTCTCCAGAATGCTCCAATTGGGCTCGACAGCATGGTGCAATATCCTGCTGGAATATCCCATCATTGTGGGGGTACATGAAGTCCATGAAAAGCTGCAAATGGTCACAAAGCAGTGAAACGTAGCAGTCAGCTGTAAATGATGTGTTCAGGAGGACCAGTGGACCCAACCCATGCCATGAGAACACACCCCACATCAGTATGGAACCACCACCAGCCTGGACAATGCCTTGCTGACAACTGGGGTTCATGGCTTCATGGGGTCTGCACCACACACGAAACCTACCACCAGCCCGAAACAGTTGGTACCGTGACTCATCAGACAAGGCCACGTGTTGCCAGTCCTCTAGCAACCTCACAAGCCCAGGTGAGGCACTGTGTCCGGTGTTGTGATGTTAACAGAGGCACTATGGTGGATTTCTGCTCCCATATCCCATGGAAGTTGAAGCACACTGCACTGACCTGCAGGATATGCATGTTGGGCCTCCTGCATTGAATGGGGATGTGATTTCTACCAGAGTCGCTTGTCTGTTTGCACGGCCAGTTCTAGCCAGACGCTGCCAGTCACAATCATTAAGCACCTGTGGATGGCCACTGCACTGTCCACTGTGGGTGGTAATGCCTTCTATTCCTGGTATTATACAGGTGTGAACATTCCCAAGTTGTCCCCTGAGGTAATGCCAGTTCATAATCAATTTACATACTGCTATCCCATGACTTTTGGCATGTCTGTGTGATAAAATACAAAAGGACATGAAACGAGAAACAAGAAGCACATGAAAGAACATAAGGACATATAATAAGAAATAAATGATATAAATTAACATACAGTAAGAATAAAAATACAAGAGCAGATTAGCAACAGTGTGCATCCATAAAAAGGTGAGTTTTAAGAATAGATTTTAAAAACTTCAGACTGTCTTCAGTACCACAAACAGACCACAGCTAGCTGACCACAGGCCAATATGAAGTTAAAAGTCCAGATATAAGCACTACTTCTTATATTAATATTGTGTTTATTGTAATATTAGTGTTTTCTAAGCAAATAAACCCTCACTGCTCAGATAAACAGCTCTGTGAATGTCATTTTCTCAGCTGCTTAAATCTTTTGCGCAGTGCTGTATGTGCAGCTGCTGCTGTGTAAATAAAACACTGTGAAAGACTTCTTATCTTGGTTTTCTGCACTTTTCGGTTTTTGTTGTCATTCACACGTCTCACCCCATGTTACTTTTTTTATGCCTCATTTCACACTGGCACACTGACGCGACACAGAGGTAGGTTTCCATTTCCGAGATGTCTGCACTCATCCATTTCAGTGTCCGGCTCAGTGGAGCTTTAACCATTTAACAAGGCTTAAATATTGCTTTAATGGAGAATTACAACCATTTTTCAAAATTACTGCATAGTTCAGTGTGTGAGGTGTAAACTGAGTGATTCAGAGTGGTTTGGTGTGAAATGGTTCAGATGTCTTTACAGTGGTGGTGATAGGAACCAGGGGTCACCATGACTAGAAATATAGACATTTTATTTACTATCCAAAACCACCAGTGAACCTACACATGTCTTGTGAGTTTTATATGGAATGTTGATGATGGAAAAATTGTGTAAAATCTGAAATAATAAGTTTTCTTTGGGGATTATTTTGGATAAAAAAGTGTCTCAGACATCAGGCAGTGTATTCATAACTATTTTATGTAACTTTCTGTGAGGGACCACCACTGTGAACAATTCTGACTCGGTAAGTTGCTTTAGTCCGGAGCGTTTCACACCAAACCACTCTGAACGACTCTGGTTACATTCTAACCACTTAATTATGCAGAAATTTTAAAAAATCAGTGGAGTTCCGTTTTAACCACCTATTTTATTTGCTGATTTATTTTACAAACCTGTCCCCGTTCCCAATCCCAAACCCTCTTCCTCCTCTTTTGGACGTGCCGTGATATCCTGCTGTCCCTTCTAGGCTCCTGCAGCTCCTCTGTAGAGAACTCTGTTGTATACATATATATTTTTTTTTATACTGTTATTAATTAATTTTGCCTGTGATTAATAGTAAACATGTAAGCATGTAATCATTTTTACAAGTTTTTACAGCATATTTACAGCTCTTTTCTCTTTTCTTCCTTCTTTATTTCCCACCCCTTTCTCTTTTTCACTTTCCTTTTTCTTTCTCTCTTTTATTCTATCTCTTTCCTCACTTCTAATCCTCTTTTTCATTTCTCTCCCTCCCTCTTTTTCCCCATCTCTTTCTGTATCTCTCTCTTTCCTGTCTCTTTCTTTCTGTCTCTTTCTCTCTCACTTGCTCCCTCTACCCTTCTCTTTCTCTCCTTGTTCCTCTCTCTCCCTTCCTCTCCCTCTCTCTCTCTCCCCACTTTCTCTCTCTCCCCACTTTCTCTTTCTCTCTCTGTCTCTCTCTCTCCCTCACTCTCTCCCTCACTCTCTCCCTTTTGTCTTTCTCACTTTGTTTCTCTCTCTAACTCACTCTCTCCACTTTCTTTTGCTCTCTGCATCTCTCTCTTTCTTTCTTTCTTTCTTTCTGTCTCTCTCTTTCTTTCTTTCTTTCTCTTTCTGTCTCTCTCCCTCACTCTCCTTCTCTCTCTCTCTCTCTCTCTCTCTCTCTCTCTCTTTCTTTCTTTTTCTTTCTTTCTTTCTTTCTTTCTTTCTTTCTCCCTCTCTCCCTCCCTTCTCTCTTTCTCACTTTGTTTCTCTCTCTAACTCACTCTCTCCACTTTCTTTTGCTCTCTGCATCTCTGTCTTTCTTTCTTTCTTTCTTTCTTTCTTTCTCTTTCTTTTCTCTCTCTCTCTCTCCCTCCCTCTCTCCCTCCCTCCCTCTCTCCCTCTCTCTCTCTCCCTCCCTCTCTCCCTCCCTCCCTCTCAGTTCCCAGGCAGTGTTCTGAGAGTGAGTTTGCCTGCACTAACGGTCGCTGTATTGCTGGACGATGGAAGTGTGATGGTGACCACGACTGCGCTGACGGGTCAGATGAGGTGAAACATACACACGTGCACAGCAGCTCTGTCCCAATCAGCACTCTACACCCTGTCTAGAGCGTCTCAGTCCAAATTACAAATGCAGCTCGATAAAAAGTTACTTTAAAAATATATAAATACATAATTTGTGCCTGAATTTCATCTTCCCTGCCATGTTGGTCAAGCAGCTCTTAACAAACGTGTTCCCTCTAGTCCTCGCCCAGAGGCTGCAACAAAGGCCCATAGAGGGCGCTCTTTGAACAGTAAAAAGAGAAATGAGACATGCTGCAGCATCGCTGTCCTCTCAGACAGATACGTTACTCAGTAACATTACTCGTGTATTAATCTCCTAATTAATCTCACATATTAATGTGACATGATCTTGTCCTGCAGCACGGCTGTGATGTGAAGTGTGACGGTGACCAGTTTCAGTGTAAGAATGGTCACTGTATTCCGTTCCGCTGGAGATGTGACGCTGATCCTGACTGTATGGACGGCAGTGATGAGGAGAACTGTGGCAGTGGAGGTTAGTGTCTCTCTCTAAATGTAATCCGATCTGTGTGTAGCTGTAAAGCACGCACACACACATGCACACACGGCAAGCCAAACAGGACGTTATGTTGACAAAAGTATTGGGACACTACACATTACACCTACAGAAGGTTTTATCAAAACCAAAATAATATATATATATGTATATATATATATATATATATATATATATATATATCTCAACTGTATCTCCCAAAAAAATAACTTCACAGTAAAAATATTCTCAGCTTTAGCTCATGGTGTCCTAATGTATAGATTTTATTATTTTATTCCAGGTGATTTTGGAGCTATTCTATTCCTACTGTAGCATTTCTATTGGTCTGTTCATTATGAAAAAAAAAGAAAAAGAAAGAATCATGTTTTTGGTCAGCAACAAAAAACATATACAAAATGCAATACATATTTTTACATATAATAATCTGAAGCTGAGTGTCTGAAGCTCTCAGCGACGCTCAGTGTCTCTCTGTAGGTGGAAGGCCAAACGATTTCAGCGGCACAGTTCAGACTAAGAGTGCAGTGTTAATGTACATCGCTCTAACGCTCCGTAATGGCTGCGTGTGTGTGATGTGAATACTAACGTTGATGTTTTTGTGTCTCAGTGGGGCGACAGTGCCCTCATGATGAGTTCCAGTGTAACAACACGCTGTGTAAGCCACTGTCCTGGCAGTGTGACGGAGAGGACGACTGCGGAGACAACTCAGACGAGAACCCGGAGGAGTGCAGTACGAATCCCTCTCTCTCTCTCTCTCTCTCTCTCTCTCTCTCTCTCTCTCTCTCTCCATCCTTTCACACCTTTTCTATCCTTCTGTTCCTGCTTTAATGCAAAAATGATATCTTGGCCAATAAAGGCAACTTAAATGTAATTCTTCTCACTATGAAACATCTAATATATCACATACATATTTGCTTTACACTGTATATTTAACATTGCTCATTATGTCTCAATATACAGCATGAATATTATTAGAATATTGAACTTATTTCCACACGTTTTTACTTACTAAGTGTGACTGTCCTGCTGCACAGGCAGATGCTCGTGGCATTGCAGGGGTTCAAATCTGATACATCAGAGTACAGTGACCAGTACTGGCAGAATTTTTGACCCCTTAAAACTGGTATCAGTATCAGCCACAGACTGTCCATATCAGTTGGGCCCTTTATGTTTTAGACCACATATGTCAAACCTTAGACCTGTGGGTGAGATCAGGCCACGATCTTATTCAGCCTGCAAAACTATTTTAATTTTCTTTTATTATTAGATTGTTTCAGAATGCACTGCACTACAATCCCCAACATGCACTGCAACGCAATTTGTGCTCCCACCCCGGTTCCCCCAACAACAATCTATGGGACAGCGATTACCCCGCAATCTACCACACCGGTCACATCACCCAACACAGCAGCTGCATTTCAGCTGCAGTTCAACCAACATAAACACTATAAACACTTTTAACACTCAGAAAATGACCCGAAGAATGAACAAATTTGTTGCAGAGAAAAGATGTCTGGTGTCTAGATCAAACACCTAGGTAGGTTTAAAAGACCTTGGGACACTTTAGGTTATACTTTATTTGTATAGTACACTTTAGATGCTTTGTATGTAGTTAATTTACTTTTACGTTATATTCAACTAAATATCTACTAAATTGACCATAATTTTCTTTAACTCTAAACCTGGCTCTAATCCTAATCCTAACCTTAACCTCAACCTCAACACAAAACCTAATCCCAACCCTCACCCTGGCCCTAATCCCAACCCCAGCACCGTTTAGAATCAACTTTCTATGTTTCAGCGAATAGTTTGTTAATAGTTTGAACATCTGTAGATGATCTGTAGGCGACTATAGTGCACTATTCAAATAAAGTAAGACCCATTTTAGTGTTCATGTAATATTTCAAGGTTTAGTATGAGTGTCTATATTTTACTGTTGACATTTTGGCGTATTTTGAATAAAAATGGCCAGTTCAGGATAGAGCAGAATGTGATTGAAATATGAAATAAACTCATAGGCGTTTTCTGGCCCACAGAGTCATTGAGATTTTTAACATGGTCCTTTTTAGCAGACGGTTTCTCCTGCCAACATGTCATTTTTACTCCTATTGGTTCTTTGTTGTCTAACAGTAATATATTCTCTGTTTTTCTCAGAGAAGTTCCAGTGTCCTCCAACCAGGCCGTTCAGATGCCCCAATGGTCGTATTTGCCTGCCACAGTACAAACAGTGCGACGGTGTTGACAACTGTGGAGACAAAAGTGACGAAGAAAACTGCCGTGAGTTCCGTCCATTCTGCTGTCCTTCTGTTTTGGGAGCATAATTATGTGTTTTGTTCATTTTGAAAATAAGTTTAAACATCCTCCAAGCCCCATGTGTCAAACATGCTAAGTCAGGCCCGTGACACAGTCCTATTCGGTCCGTGAAATTATTTTAATTTTCTATTCTTATTAGCCCGTTTCACCCTGAGATGCACTACAGTCCCCAGCATGCACTGGAACATACTGTGCATTCTGACACCCAACAGCAATATATGGGCCAGCAGTTACACAAAAAGAAGATGCCTGGTGTCTAGTTCAAGCAAAAAGGCAAACAATTTATTTTTATTTAGAATTGATCTGAATAAGTATTCGGTGCTTATTTTTGCAGTTGCAGTTTTGGCATATTTTGAATAAACTACGGTCCATTCAGGTCATGGCAAAATGTTAAGTAAAAATGAGATAAAAACACAGCTGGCCGACGGAGAAAATTGGGAAAAACACACTTAAATATGACATTTTTTTTCTGCTACAGTTTTTGTATACATGTTGAGTTTAACATACTGGGGGAAAAATTAAACATGAAATATAAAACATGCTAAATTCAGTAAATAAACAGTAATTGGGTATTAAAATGTACAGAGGTGTGTCTCTAAACTAAACTGTTTCTAAAAAAAAAAACAAAAGGTAATTTGACCCAGGGTGCCCAAACTTTTGTACAAGACCCTTTTGTGATAGAGGTAAGGGGAGGGGGTGGTGTTGTGACTCAAAACATCACAATGAGTATAACACAGTACATAAAAATGCATTAGGTAAATGTATATACCCAAATTTGAGCTCCTGTTTGGTGTGTGTTTTTATTTTATGGTCTCTCATAATACAGAAGAGTTTATTGAGTGCTTATATCATTAGCTGAGTTTGGACAAGAGATGTGTAATTGAAGTTACTGAGAAATGATGACACTTTTATGGAAAACCACAGTTAGGAAAAACAGAAAAGTCTTGATTCCGACAAAAGATTGAGGCTTGTAGCAAACAGCACATTAATTCAAAGTATCTGGTCTAATAAATCACCACCATTAGTCACAGTGTAATGCTATGTGGGAATATTGAAGTATCACAAACATTTTTATGATGTTAAATGAGTTTGTTCACTCTGTACAGAGACCACGCCAGTCTGTGGGAAAGATGAGTTCAGCTGCAGTAATGGCAAGTGTATCAGCTCCAACCTGCGCTGTAACTACTTCAATGACTGCGAGGACTATGGCTCTGACGAGATCAAGTGTGGCAAGAAAGGTGGGTGAACAGGATGTGAGTAGGTAAAATAGAGCCCGATCGATGTGAAAAGTTATCAATATATACATTTTACGGAGCCACAAATCAGTAACATAGAAAAATCATACATACATATATTTACTGACATATGATTCAGTGAATGATGACTTTTTTTTTAATGATTTACACCTGATTTAAAAATCCTAGCGTTGTTTGTTTCTGTTAATTAGCTCTTAAACGTTTGTGACTCAGTGTAACTGTCAGGTTCTTATTTATTTAGCATGTGTTGTCATTTTAACCATGATGTTTAATAGTCTCATTAAAATGAGAGATGCATGTTTGTGGTACTATAATACAAGTAAAGGATGTTCTGTGCGTGTGCGTGTGCGCGCGTGTGCGTGTGTGTGTACATGTGCGTGTTATCTACAGACTCAAACCTGAATGAGTGTCATCAGAACAGAAGTATTTGCGGAGATGGAGATGAAGCTCATTGTGTCATAAACGGCACAGATTCCTTCTGTTCATGCAAACCAGGATTCCAGAGAACGACTCAGCAGATCTGCCTAGGTACCCTCCACTCGCTCGCTCACTCACTCACTCAGTCTCTACCTCAGTCTCTCCCTCTCTGTCTCTCCCTCTCTCGCTCACTCATTCAGTTCTTCCCTTGCTCCCTCATTCACTCACTTAGTTCTTCACTCACTCAGTCAGTCACTGAGTCACTCTCACTCTTTCACTCATTCAGTTCTTCATTCACTCACTCACAGTTCTTCACACAGTCAGTCAGTCACTCACTCATTCAGTTCTTCACTCGTTCACTCACTCTCAGTTCTTCATTCATTCACTCTCACTCACTCACTCTCTCAGTTCTTCATTCACTCACTCACTCCCTCTCTCAATTCTTCACTCACTCACTCACTCAATCACACTCATTCGCTCACTCATTCAGTTCTTCATTTGTTCGCTCATTCACTCACTCACTCGTTCAGTTCATCACTCGCTCCCTCGTTCACTCACTCACTCAGTTCTTCACTCACTCAATCAGTCACTCAGTCAGTCACTCTCACTCGTTCGCTCATTCAGTGCTTCATTCACTCACTCACTCAGTTCTTCACGCAGTCACTCACTCACTCACTCAGTTCTTCACTCGTTCACTCACTCTCTCAGTTCTTCACTCAGTCAGTCACTCACTCACAGTTCTTCACTCAGTCACTCACTCACTCACTCATTCAGTTCTTCACTCAATGATTCAGTCACTCAATTACTCACTCACTCAATCAGTCACTCGATTACTCACTCACCCAATCAGTCACTCACTCATTCAATCGGTCGTTCACTCACTCATTTCCTGACTCCCTCATTCACTCACAAATTTTTTGCTCCCTATTTCACTCGCCCACTCATTCAATCATTCTCTCATTCATTTGCTCATTAACTCGCTCGCTCATTTATTTACTCCTTCACTCAGTCATTCACTCAGTCACTCGGTCACTCGGCCACTCGCTTATTTACTTGTGGTGTCACTAACTCAATAACTCGCTCAACTGTCACACGTTCACTGTCTCACTCACTCTCTCAATTACTCTCTATTTCACTCGCCCACTCATTCATTCTTTTGCTTTTACTCACCCAATCATTCGCTCACTCAGTTGCTCACTCATTCACTTGCTCACTCGCTCAGTCCTTCACTCTTTGTCATTCACATACCCATTTACTCACTTACTTGATCGCACACTCACTTGCCTACTCATATTTGTCCACATTCCCGAGGTCTTTCGGTGGTGAAAGTTTTGTTCCTCTCTGCCAGATGTGAACGAGTGTAAGCAGTTTGGCGTGTGCTCCCACATCTGCAACAACACCAAGGGGTCCTACAAGTGTAGCTGCCACAGGAACTTCAACCGGGTCAACAACGGCTGCAAGGCGGGCGGTGAGTCTCGGACCAAAATAGTGTAAAATACAAATGTATGACTTGTTGCTGAAGGAAAAAAAAACAAAAGCATCATCATTACACGACATTAGCTTGGAAAATGGAACAGCAGAAATTCATTTGAAGCACATTTGAGGTTTAAAGTCATGTAAAATATTACTTTTAGCCATTTAAACTAAATTCTGGTTTGCATTGTTTGATTCAAAGGACTGATTGGAGTTCAAGTAAAACCGGCTAAACTACTTGTTGTAGCAACATGGTTGTTTTTAAAATGCCTGTTTATTTCGATGTTGAGGTCCCAGGTGACGTTTTCTTCTGATAGCTTTTCTGTGCAGATCATGTTTGTTGACAGTGGAAATCGGTAGCTAGAAGCACTCTAATATCTCTTTATAGTGTTCTCCTGCTTTGTAGGCATCAGTTAGCTTCATTGTCAAATCCTCTAACAGCTGCTGAGACGAGCTCCTGGTTGTTGAGTGTTAGCAGGTCTGAAGAGTCTTCTCCTGTTGCAGGTAACGAGAGGCAGATTCTGTACTTGGCTGACGATAACGAAATCCGCAGCCTGCATCTTGAAAATGGGAACTGGATTTATGAGCAGGCTTTCCATGGCGACGTCAACGTCCGAATCGACGCCATGGACCTGCACATTAAACACAAGCGCATCTACTGGACCAACTGGCACACGGGCAGGATCTCTGTTTTCGAGGGGTCTTCTGGCTCGGTCTCGCCGAATTCCAACCGTAACCGCAGACAGAGCGATCCTAGAGTGACCGATCTAGAGGTCAGAGTTCAGAGGGGTCAAGAGGGAACCTTGTTTGATACTCAACTCTGGGAAACAAGCCTGCAGTATCGCGATCTATGTAGTTAGATTATTAAGTTTTCCATCTGTTAACATAAAAATAATGCAAAGATGCAAATGTAACCCAAATAACTGAATCATAGATGATATACACTCACTGAGTACTTTAAATCCAACGTCTTGTTTCTACACTCATTGTCCATTTTATCAGCTCCACTGACCATCCAGGAGCACTTTGTAGTTCTACAGTTACAGACTGTACTCCGTCTGTTTCTCTGCATACTTTGTTACCCTGTTCTTCAGTGGTCAGGACCCCCACAGAGCAGGTATTATTTGAGTGGTGGGTCATTCTCTGGACAGTGAGTGTGTAAAAACTCCAGCAGCACTGCTGTGTCTGATCCACTCACACCAGCACAAAACACACTAACACACCACCACGTCAGTGTCACTGCAGTGCTGAGAATGACCCACTACCCAAATAATACCTGCTCTGTGGGGGTCCTGTGGGCATCCTGACCTTTGAAGAACAGGGTGACAAAGTATGCAGAGAAACAGATGGACTACAGTCTGTAACTGTAGAACTACAAAGTGCTCCTATATGGTCAGTGGAGCTGATAAAATGGACAGTGAGTGTAGATATGAGGTGTACCTAATGTGTAACTGCTCTTGCTAACTAGTAAAATAATTAAGAAGTGTTTAGTTGCTTTGCGTAGAAAACTAGCAACCTGCAACATTGCATGAACATTTTAACATGTTAGCTTTAAGTTCCACTGTGGTTCTGTAAGTTACTCATAACCACAGTGGAGCTTGTTAGTCCGTGCAGGATCTATCAGCACAGGAAGTGAAGTTTGTTGGACTCTATTCTTCTATTTTTGGATCTTTTTGGTCTAAAATAAAATGCTGAAGCTCCAAAGCGAGAGGAGGGATCAGAACCAGCACAACAGAATAAAGTTAAACCCAAAAAAAGAGAATTAGGAGCTAAATGTTAATGACTAAACTGGCTAAACTGTACTTAGACCTGAGTAAATGAAACTACTACACACATCTGCTTAGAAATGTTCCTTGACCTTCATGTTCCTCCTCCTGCAGATTCCGAATCTGAAGATGCCGCGCGGCATTGCAGTCGACTGGGTGGCCGGGAACATTTACTGGACCGACTCGGGCCGGGACGTCATCGAGGTCGCTCAGATGAACGGACGCCACCGCAAGACTCTGATCTCAGGCATGATCGATGAGCCCTACGCCATCGTAGTGGACCCAACGAGAGGGTGAGCGGAGCACAGAGCTGGAGTGATTCATTAAGATGAAGTACTGAATCACACATCATACGGAATGCATGTTTTATTTTGTAGAATGATGTGTGATTCACTTCACTTCAGATATTTTGATGAACTACTTTGATTTGAGCTGCTTTAACACCTTAATACAGTCTCATGCGTGACACGTCCTGTAATACTCTAAATAGTTCAGATCTTAGAAGTATTTTAAATGTTCTATAAATTTTAAATAATATCAGTTTGATTTACATTTATTTTAAATATGTGGCAATTTGTTTCTAGTTAATATTACATTTAGTATATCTAAATAAAGTATTTTGTTTCTGGTAGGTAATATTTTCCTGATGCTTTATATGTAGTTATTATATATTTATAATAAATCTCAGGTGGATCTTAAGCTCTATAAAGTTCCTTTAAATTAAAAAGCATATTGATTTAAATGTGTATGTACAGTATTATTTACAATATCATATTTAGTTGTAGTAATCTCATAAAGACCTATAAAACCTTTAACAAATAAATGTTGAAAAATAATGTTATTTAACTATTCTATGTATTTTTAAACATGACAGTGTATGTAATGTATGTGCATAAACTGCTTTGTTTCTAAAAGGTTATGAATATAGTAAATAATGCAGATCTCACAAAGTCTTATAAACCTTATTTAAATAATGTATTTGTTTTTACTTGTATTATTATAAACACACTCTTACAAAAGATGGTTCTTTACAGGTTCTTTATTAGAGAAAATGGTTCTATATAGAACCATGAACATTCATAGAACCCTTTGCATGGTTAAAGGGTTTTTTGCATTGTGAAAAGCTTCTTCACATTGATGAAGAATGTGCTGTAGATGGTTCTAAAATGGTTCTATATAGCACCCAAAAGGGTCCTTCTATTGTTGCGATGTTAAGCTTATAACAATAGAAGAACTCTTTTGGGTGCTGTATAGAACCATTTTCAAAAAGGCTCTATATAGAACTATCTGTAGCAATTTCATGCACATTTTCCATCAATCTAAAGAAAATGGTTCTATATAAAACCATGAACATTCACAGAACCCTTTGCATGATTTAAAAGTTTTTTTGCATCATAAAATAGTTCTTCACATTGATGGAGAATGTGCTGTAGATGGTTCCATATAGAACTTTTTTGAAAAGGGTTCTATATAGCACACAAAAGGTTTCTTCTGTAGTTACAATGTCAAGCTTGTTTTCAATAGTAGAACTATTTATGGTGCTATATACAACCATTTTTAAAAATGTGCTATATAGAACCATACACAACACATTCTCCATCAATCTGAAGAACTGTTTCACCATGCAGAGAACCCTTTAATCATGCCAAGGGCTCTGTGAGTGTTCATGGTTCAATATAGAACCCTTGAAGAACCGCCTTTTTTAAGAGTGTATGTAAAAACATAAGGTGTTGTGTATGTCCTTTGTCCAGTTAAAATGTTCTGATATTGTAATACAGTTCAGATCTCATTTTATGTCCCATAATATTTCAGTATTTCATGTTTATTTAAACGTGTTAATGTATATTTTGTTTTTAAAGGACCATGTACTGGGCAGACTGGGGTAACCATCCTAAGATTGAGACAGCAGCAATGGACGGCACTATGAGAGAGACGCTGGTGCATGAGAACATCCAGTGGCCCACCGGTCAGTCAGAGCCTCCAAACACAGTCAGATATTAGAACATATGCTGTGTATCTCCTGTATGGTTTGTAATCAGTAACTGTATGTCTCAGGTCTGGCGGTGGATTACTTTAACGAGCGGCTGTACTGGGCCGACGCCAAGCTTTCAGTGATCGGCAGCGTGAGGCTGAACGGGACGGATCCGGTCATAGCCGTTACCAGCGTTAAGAACAGTTGAGTCATTACTGTAATCAGGCCAAATAAATGTCTTGATAAAATACAGTATCTCAGTATTACTGTGATAATGGTGATGATGCAGTATCAGATGAGATGTGAACGGAGAGATTCAGAGTGGTTTGGTGTGAAATGGTTCAGATGTCTTTACAGTGGTGGTGATAGGAACCAGGGGTCACCATGACTACAACACAAATATAGACATTTTATTTACTATCCAAAACCACCAGTTTTGCTTTCTGAGTGCTTCTACTCTACACTAAAAGAATGTCTGATAATGATCAGATTGTTCTGATTGGACTGTTTTCTTCTATTTGTTGCACCAGAGTGAATCTTACACAGTATTGTAGATGTTACCCAGATAGAAAACACATATCTAGGATGCTCATTATATCATGGATTATATGCTAAAAATATTGCTACAACTGAAAAGCAATATCACTGTGTAAAAATATAGCACTGATTTCGAAGACATGCTGATATATATGATAATTTCTGTGCTTATAACTGTAACCAATAAGTAGCATCTTGTTTTGTCTGATTTTTACATTGTATGCAAATTAATCAGTTGTAATTTTAATATGGGGCATTAATTCATAATAAATAAATGGTAACTCATATTGTGCATCCTTAATGATTTCATAATCTCTCTCTCTTTCTCTCTCTGTCTGTCTGTCTGTCTGTCTGTCTGTCTATCTATCTATCTATCTATCTATCTATCTATCTGTCTATCTTTCTGTCTCTCACTCACCCACACCAGACCTGCACCACCCCTTCAGCATCGATGTCTATGAGGACTACATCTACGGCATCACCTACCACGACAACATCGTCTTCAGGGTCAACAAGTTCGGCAAGGGCACCGTAGAGAATCTGACCACCGGCATAAACCACGCTACAGACCTCGCGCTGTACCACAACTACAAACAGCCAGAGGGTGAGTATCGCCAAGAGGGACCCTGAATTAGCTGCAGACATGTTGTTATCCCTTCCTTTAAAATTTTCAGTTATTGGTGATTTTCACTGGGACTTTTCACTGAAACAAGAAAAATATTACCTCTAAGGTTGACTGTTGGCTGTCGGGCACTGTCAGGCCACTGGAGAGTCTGTAGCCGAGTATGTAAATGGTGCGGAGTAATTTTGCTCAGAGTATCAGTCCTTTTGTCCACTCTGGCTACCTCTGAGTGAAACGAGTGATGCGGCAGCAGCTCTGCAGCTCACACACAGTGGCCGTTCATACACACTGTCTGCACTGCAGAGCTGTTTAGCAGAACTACAGACAGGAAATTCTCACCAAAGTTCTGTAGACATCAGTCATTCTTGCGTCATCCATGACAAAGAAGATGTGAAAGGCATTTGTGTTTGTTTACCCTCGGCAGACTTCTGGCTTGTGATTGGACCGTTGCTTCAAGCCTAAACCTTCCAAAAAGCCTGTGTAGCACAGAATGTTTAGTAACAGCTACAAATTATATAATTCATAAAATCAACTGTGTAATGTTTGTCCATACATTCAAGACAGAAAAATGTATATGATAAGAATGAATTGCATGGAGCAGATTTACTCTGACATGAGTGGAACATGTGTATCCAGGCCTGGATCATCATGTTCAAAGTACATTCACAGGAACACCAGCTCACTGCTAAAAACCTGAATGCTTGACTGAGGTAATGGCAGAATATGGAATGGTTGCTAAACAGTGTTTGGAGGAGGAAATGAAGAGGACATCAGGATTATACACAATCATAAATCAGCTGATTTTTTCCACTGTTGCTACACACTTAGAAATATGGTAATTTAAGGGTTCTAGTAAAGAAAATGGTTCTGTGTAGAACCATGCACACTCAAAGAACCCTTTACATGATTAAAGGGTTCTCTGCATCATGAAATGGTTCTTCAGATTGATGAAGAATGTGCTGTAGATGGCACCTTTTTGAAAAGGGTTCTATATAGCACCAAAAAGGGTTTTTCTGTTGTAACAAGCTTGACAGTTTTGGTGCTGTATAGAACCAACACATTCTCCATCAATATGAAGAACCATTTCATGATGCAAATAACTCTTTAATCATGCATATGGTTCTTTGAGAGTTCATATATATAGAATTCTATATAGAACCATTCTTTTCACCAAAGAACCCTTGAAGAACCATCTTTTTTAAGTGTGTGGTACAGGTCACACTTCTCTTGGCACCGGGAGTTAAAACAGCTGTTCAGATTTTCTCATAATTGCTCGCAGGCGCCTCCTAGTGGCTCGAGCCCAAAGGCACGCACCCATAACACCTCTTAGATGATGTGCCTGTGCATAACAGGACACCCCTTATGGAAAAATAGCAGAACATGGCTTGGAAAAAGTGGCGTAATCAGACCTATCTGATCAAAAACTAAACACAGCAGTTCGAGCAAACCCTGCAACACTCAGCCAAAACATCGTCCCGCTTTTATGTGCCAGCCCTTTAATGTGCTCAACAGGACATTCTCACTTGTATCAAACAAGCCGTTTATGAATGTCAATGAATCAAGACCGTCTGAGAGGAAAAAGCGTTAATATTTTATCACAGTGAAGCTGTTTACTGCAGATAAAGTAAATGGTGTCATAATGACATTTATTTCATAATTAATGCTGAAGTATATTGAAATGTCTGTGTGTTTTGCAGTTACAAACCCGTGCGACAGAAAGAAGTGTGAGTGGCTGTGTCTGCTCAGTCCCAGCGGTCCAGTCTGCACCTGCCCTAACGGACACATTCTGGACAACGGCACCTGCGTGCAGGTCCCCACGCCCACACCTGTCGGTGAGTGTACAAGAAGATACACAGACATAAACCAAACGTACTGACATACAGTTTAATTTGTGGGTGTGAACGTACATCTAAATCAGACAGAAACATGAAACTACACTCTTAGAAAAGATGCTTCTTCAAAGGTTCTTTAGTAAAGACACATGGTTCTGCATAGAATTTTTTGAAAGGGTTTCTATATAGCACCAAAAAGGGTTCTTCAATTATTGCAACCTTGACATCGTAACAATAGCAGAACCCTTTTTGGTGCTATATGGAACCAACACATTCCTCATTAATCTGAAGAACAATTTCACCATGCAAAGAACCATTTAAGAATGCATGTGGTTCTTTGACTGCTCATGGTTTAAAATAGAACCATTCTCTCTCCTAAAGAACCCTTGAAGAACCATGTTTAAGTGTGTACACTGTCAGAATAAAGGGTTCTGTACAGGTACACTTTAGTCCCCGGAGGTATAAACAGTGTAAATATACCCTCAAAGGTTCAACATGGTCCAGATGTTTACCTTAAATGGATCTTAAAGGGTGAAGGCAAGTTTATTCATACAGCACATTTCATACACGAAGGCAATTTATTATGCTTTATATAATAAAGGACCAGCATATTTATTTCATATGTTACAGCGATATGAGCCGAGCACAACTGTCAGATCATTAGGAACCAGTCAGTTAGTCCTGCCAAAGGTGAAGACTAAACAGAGAAGCAGCGTTTAGCTACTATGCTGCCCAGACACTGAACACTTTTAAGTCTGGCTCTGAAAACATTCCTATTTGAGCAGCTTTCAGCTCAGTTTAAACACTGTTAGGGTTTCTTTTCCTCTGTAACAGCACTTTAGTATCCTAATCTAACTTTTAATTTTTAATTTGATTATTTAACTATCCTAATTTAATTTCTAATTTGATTTTTATTTTAATGATTAAATCTATTGTTTTAATCATGTTTCTAATTTCTATTCTTCTATTTCTATTCCTTTACTTTTTTTTTTAAACAACTCTGTATTTTCTGACTCTGTATCTTCTCATTTGTAAAGCACTTTGAGTGACAGCAGTGTATGAAAGGTTCTGTATAAATAGACTTGCCTTGTTTTATATACATAAAATCAAAGAGAACATCAAAAGGAAAAACTTTAAATACTAAATTAGATACTGTCATATAATAATTATTATATACTGTCTATATACTCTATGATATTACATTAGCAGATTAAGAGACAGCGTCATTAACAGTGACTTATTATTGGTACAGAGTTAAAAATAAAGTGTAGTAAGAACAAATTGCAAATCTAAAAGCTTAATTATACACAAAATTAAATAAATAAATAAATATAGTAAATTAAATAAATATATATATATATGCACAAAAGGGGCCTCGACTGTGATGATGCCAAAAACTGTTATTTCGTTAATGTGATTAATAAATTTTCTCACTTTTCTCCTTTTATTCCACTGTAGTCGATCGGCCAAGATATGTTTGGTGTCTGAGGGTTTTGTATGTTTTTAAGTACTGCATACTTATACCCCACCAATTAGCATAATGCTAATGACCTCGAAGCGTGTGGACCTGTTCAGTATCTCTAATAGACTTGATTTGTGGTTTCTGACACTGTATGATACACTGTTGTCTATAAACATGGACTAAAGTACCTCACAGGGCTGCTGTAACTGAAGTGTGGCTGCTCCAGATTGTCTCACTGTAACTGGTAAATGGTTTTTCTATTTATTTATTCCTCTCTCTCTCTCTCACTCAGCTCCGAGCGGTCCGTGCACCCTGCAGTGTCTGAATGGTGGGAGCTGTGAACTGAACGCCAGGAAACAGCCCAAGTGCCGCTGCCAGGCGAACTATGGAGGAGACAGATGTGAGATCAATCAGTGTAGAGATTACTGCCAGAACGGAGGGACGTGCACTGCATCTCCCACAGGTAAACAAACGCACACAGTCGGTGTCACCAAGCTTAGCAGAGTTACTTTAAGAATGAATCCCAGTGCAGATTACTGATTACCTGATATATGTAATCTGTAACCTAATCCAGATGATTACTATATTAAAGTCAATCTGATTACTGTCTTATTTTTTTGAATGACTTGTTTCTCTCGATCAGTGGGCTGGAACCCATATAATAAGAAGAGCTGTTTTGTCCTTTCAACAAAAATCAGACCACCTTGGGAGCCACAACATTTTATGTCCAGTTTACCTTCTTGTCTGTAAATATGTCTCAGTATGTGTTAATGTACCAGTATAGGCTAAAGATATAATATAAACAAAAACATACCTGCTTTGCTCTGCTTTAAGCTTAAGCTCAGCTGAGGGTTAAAGGGTGAATTAGCAGTTCTACATTAACTCCAGCGTTTAAGACCATTTGTTGTTAAAACTGTGTTTGAACAATCAGCAGAGCTTTATTTTACTGCAAAGGAGGATTATTTTATTTTTACCTAAAAATTATATACTGCTGTGGAGCTGCAACAGGGCAGTAAAAGAGCCGCATGTGGCTCCAGAGCCACATGATGCTGACTCCTGCTCTCGATCAACACCTGAAGGCCGAAATATTATTCACAAATGAGGATGGAACATGAGTCCTTTCTTCTTGTGTTTTCTCAGGTTCTCCTACCTGTCGGTGCCGGGCGGGCTTCACCGGGCCGAACTGCAACCTGCGCACCTGTGACAACTACTGCCAGAACGGAGGCAACTGCACAGTCACTCGCGGCAACCAGCCCATCTGCAGATGCCCCGGAGAGTTCCAGGGAGATCAGTGCCAGTTCAGTGAGTATCACAGCAGAGCTGCTCTGTGTGGAGAGTGAAGCACTGATACTGACTAATGAGGCTCATAACCATCGGCTGAACTTCTGAAACCCTGACGTCATGTAGGATAATGATCTGAAACCGCTGAGCGTTTTATTTGATTCTTAGACATTACAGACTTTTACTTTCTGTATGAACTGTGAGCCCTTTATCAGTTCTACAGAGCTTTCTTTTTTTTTTACCTTTCTTTTTCTTTTTTCTTTCTTTTTTTTCTTTATTTCTGTCTTTCTTTCTGTCTTTCGTTCTTTCTGCTTTTTCTTTCCTTCTGTCTTTGACTGTCTTTCTTGTTTTCTTTCTTGCTTTCTTTGTGTTTCTTTTTCTATCCATTCTGTCTACCTTTCTTTCTGTGTTTGTCTTTCTTTCTTTCTGTCTTTCTTTCTCTTTGTCTTTCTTTTTCTTTGTCTGTCTTTCTTCCTTCCTTTCTGTCTTTCTTTCTGTCTTACTAACTTACTTACAAATTATATATACAGTGAGGCCCAGAAGTCTGAGACCACATTTTTTTTCATGTGACGCTGAAAACAAACAACCAAGTTTTATCAAATTGATATAAACAGTACAAAAGTGTGGAGAGGTAAAATGACAAAGAAATATTGATGATCCTGCACTATTTCTAGGTCACTAATGAAACTTTATTGAAAACAATATTTGTGATATTATGCATGTTGAGGTCTTTGTGTGGAAAGATCAGATTTGTTTTGAGTCTAATCTCTTCCACTGAAGCTATGTTTCAGACTTTCAGGTGGATTTAATCTGCTCATCAGAGGCTTTTACACAAACATGTGGAGCTTCAGTACATTAAAGGATACAGTAATGCTGATTACTGATAACTGACAAACATTGGTTAAAAAGCAGTAAATCTACAATGTACAGTTGAGTCCAAAAGGCTGAGTGCTTTTATTTTGCGTTCTTTTCTAATCAGTTACAAAACAGATTATAGAGTGTACTGTATGTCCAAAAGGTCTCCTGCAGTAACAGCCTCTACTCTTCTGGGAAGGCTTTACACTAGATGTTGGAACATTGCTGTGAGGATTTGATTGAGCATTAGTGAGGTCAGGTACTGATGTTGGATGGTCAGTTCTGGATCACTCCAATTCATACTAAAGGTATTGGATGGAGCTCCATCACTCCAGACAACATAGTTCCACTGCTCCATAGCCCAATGCTGAGGGGCTTTATACCTCTCTAGGTAGGGGTGGGCAATATGATATTATGTTGTTATCATGATAAAGTGCAGTGCATTTTGTAAAATATTAAATAAAAATGATTGTAGTTGTAGGTTTTTTTTATTAGTAGCAGTAGTATTTTTCATATGTGGCACTGCAGGTTAAATTTTGTCTGTTCCAACTTATTAAATAAAAAAATAATTGTGCTGCATCATGTATCGTGAACATGTCTTGAAATACAGTGATATAATATTTTTGCCACATCGCCCACCCCTACATCTAGCCCACGCTTGGCATTGGTCATGGTGACCTTAGGCTCATGTTTGGCTGCCCCAGAGTGTCTTATTCTATTATTCAATGCTTTTCTATAGAGATTATACAAGCTGGGTACCTTAAGGAAGGTAATAATGTAGTAATAGGTAACTTCTCTATGTGATCTCACAGGATTGTGTGATAATTTCTGTGAAAACGGAGGGACATGCCTTCAGTCTGGCGACGACTCTAAGCAGTGCCGCTGTCCGCCGCGCTACATCGGGAAGAAATGTGAGGTGGACAAGTGTCACTACTGCCGTGAAGGCAAGTGCATCCCCACCAGCAGCAGCCAGCCCGAAGGAGACGTCACGTGCAGGTAGTCACATGCTCTTAAACACCTACTATTTATGGGGGGTTTACAGTTAAGCCAGTTTTTAAAACTGTATTGTTTTTTGTTTTAACCTCCTTTTGAGGATTCATTCACTCACTCACTCACTCACTCACTCACTCACTCATTCAGTCATTCATTTATTCATTCATTCAACATTTAGCTTGGAAATATGTTAAGGAAGATTGTTCATTTTCAGTAGAGCTGAGTAAAAACAAATAAAAACCATAAGCCATTTTTAACAGATGGGAAACTGAAAACAAACACTCATAATAAAATAATAAAATCAATAATAGGACAAAATTAATACAATAATGAACCCCTAAATGTAAAGAATATAGTTGAAAATAAATACAAAATGATAGTCAATCAGATAAAACAAAGTAAAATGAGATGAAATTCGAAGTTTAAACTGCCCTAGGGATGAGATTGAGTTCAGCTTCAGATTAAGTTATTCAAAGTTGCTGGTGCATATGAATAAAACTATATTTTCCAAATTTAGCAAGACAGTTGGACCAAGTATTGTCCATATCTGAGATGTTATGTTAGCTTTGGTCGTTATGTTCTAACTAAACAAAATTCCTTTACTCTGGACCAGAGGTGTCCAGTCTTATACACAAAGTGCCAGTATGGCTGAAGATTTTGATTTTAAACCAGAAATCAGCAGGAGCTCATTTGATCAGTCAGTGCGTTTACATGCACTTAATAAGATTAGATTAAGGTCTATAAATCTGATTAAGAAATCTGATAAAGAGGCTGGATTTGAACTCAGTAATAGGGTTTGTCAGTACATGGAAACCCTCACTGATTTCTCTCAGCAAGCAGCGTTTAAAACAGCACCAGCACCAGCAAGACAAACCACAACACTTTTGGAGCGATGCTGAAACTGACTACATACTCGACGAAATAAAGGATTATACATTCGCTGTCCTATAGATCATATGTCAGGCTCCAGTCCTCACAGGCCAAAGGCAGATTTCAGCACCACTGCCTCATTAAACACACCTGATTCAGCTCATCAGCTAATTAGCAACGCCTTCATGAACTGAATTCAGAGTGTTATGTTGATGGTTGATGGTAAAAAACGCTGATCTCTGCAGCACTTTCCCATAAAAAAATCCCCAGTTTGACATGCCTGCTCTATATATAATATTTAAATTTTCCGCTAATGTGATTTGATGTTTAAAAAAAAATAAGATAAAAGCTGCAGCAGGAGTTTTACGTAACGTTTGTCACGTCTTATTCTGTGATTTCCTTGGCTGGTTGAAAAGTTGAAATCTAATTACTGCCTGAATCTTGTAGACCTGGAGTTGCCCCAATATCTGATTACCCAAGAGCATGAAAATACACTGAAACAGTTACTGACAGTCTGATTTTCTGCAGTTATCATATTATTAAGTGTAAACACACTGAACCAGTTACTGACAATCTGATTTTCTGCAGTTATCATATTATTAAGTGTAAACACACTGAACCAGTTACTGACAATCTGATTTTCTGCAGTTATCATATTATTAAGTGTAAACACACGGAACCAGTTACTGACACAATCTGATTCTCTGTGGTTATTAGATTATTAAGTGTAAACACACTGAACAAGTTACTGACACAATCTGATTTTCTGCGGTTATTAGACTAAGTGTAAACACACTGAACAAGTTACTGACACAATCTGATTTTCTGCGGTTATTAGACTAAGTGTAAACACACTGAACAAGTTACTGACACAATCTGATTTTCTGCAGTTATCAGATTATTAAGTGCATGCAAACACACTCAATGATTGGACAGTGAGACTAACTCATTAAACAAACATTGAACATTACACAACATTAAACAAGTGGAATGGGATGTTCCTGCTTGATTAGAATCAAAGCCTGCAGCTAATTAAACTGCATTAAACCAGTCAGAAGAAGTTCTGTGGCACTCTCCTTATCACACTAAATTTAGTTATTGAACACAATGGGTTGATAATCATCACTATCAACTCATGTTTTTAAATCATTTGGTCCCTGCAGATATAGGAAAACACAAATTCTGAATGCACACACACTCTCAAACTCACTCAGACTTGTACTAAATGCACCAAAACATAAACTAAACAGCACTAAGGCAGGAGTCTAAATATTATTCATCTGGTTTTTACAGATGTGCTGACGGCCAAATCCAGTCCAGCTGTTACACCTGTGATGGATACTGCGCTAATGGACAGTGCTCCCTCAGCCCTGCGAATCTTCCTCAGTGCAAGTGCGTCATAAACACACAAACACAGTCCAGCACAAGAATAAAAATCTTTTCACATTTGTAAACAGTGTATCTGAGCACTGAAGCGCTGTTTCTCTTCACAGGTGTCCTCCTGGGTGGGAGGACCATCGCTGTGCGACCCGCACCCCCAGCGTTAATGCAGAGTCCGGCAGCCGTGAGTGTGTTTTTCTGTTACACAGGAAGAGATGTGCTTATATGTGGTTGGATGTGTGCAGTTCAGATGTGCTCTTTTATTTCAACATTTGTTTTAGTAGTTACTGGTTATTGGTTATTATTGATTACATTGATTTATTATTGTACATTAGTAATCAAGTAAAAAGTACTCATTATCTTGATTAATCAAATAATTACTGTAATAAGCAAGTAATCAGAGCAACAAACTATGCACAGCCATGCACAAATTCTACATTCTTAATCAAATGGTTCCTCAAGGATTCTTTAGTAAAGGATTCTATATAGAGCCATGAACACTCAAAGAACCTTTTGCATGATTAATTTCTTTGCATGTTCTTTTATTGTTATGATATCAAGCTTGTATGCAATAGAGCAACTCTTTTTGGTGCTATATAGAACCCTTTTCCAAAAAGGTTCTATATAGAATCATCTACAACACATTCTCTATCAATTTGAAGAACTGCCATGATTCTAAAGAACCCTTGAAGAACCATGTTTTTTAGAGTGTCTTTTACCGAGAAATGAAACTACAATGTTAAGGAAAAAAGGTACTGTCCAGGTAAATTTTGTCAACTGAGATGCAAACAATGCAAATGTGCTCTTAAAGGTACAGCACAGTTTTTAAGCTCCAACTGTGCACCTTAAATTTTATGTTTTAAAAGTACATTACATTCAGCTTCCCAGAGAAAAGGGCACACATGCCTTTTCAGAACCGTTTTAAGCAGCAAAATAACCTCTAATTTCACCAGTTTATGGCATTGTGCTGAAAAGGAGCCAGCCCTGAGGCCCTTATTCCATAAGTTCCATAATTTAAGGATTTCTCAAGCTGCAGCTGTCCTTACCTTGGAAAAACTGACCTACGATTTATGTCATCAAACAGATGTTTATGTAGACTTTAGGCCCACTGTAGGCTAACATGGAAAACCTCTCCCTAAAACTGCATGCGTTTCGGCCAACTGTGCGGGAAAAGCAAGTTTGTTAATGCAGATATGAGGGCAGTAAATAAATACGTAAGCCTGCAGATGAGAGAGGGTGTATAGAGTCAATGCAACTTAAAACAGCATATTGGTACAGTTTTGTCCCCTAACTAAATGCACGCTGTAAAACTTTCTCTGGCGTCCTGTTCTGTCTGTGCAGGCACAGCATCCATCGTCATTCCTGTGATCCTGCTGCTGTTGCTGGTGTTGCTGATTGGTGGAGCAGTGCTGTGGTACAGAAGAAGGATGCGAGGGTGAGTCTGCTGAAACAGTTACAGCCATTCCTCCACCTGTCTAACTCACAACAACCCTGATTCTGAACTAAAGGGCCCATATCATGGAAAAACAAATTTCCTTGCTTAAAAAAGAACTTCGATGTAGTACGTAAACAAAGTTTCTGTACAGTCCATATACGGTCAGTAGGCTGCAAAAACAGCCTGTTGTAAATTCACTGTGGTTGTGAAGTCACAGCCATGATCACATTTTCATATGATCAGTCATTCAGCCTGCAGCTGTTTAGCCCCTTTAGCCCCACTCATTCGGCCTACAGCAGTTTAGCCCCGCCCATTCGGCCTACAGCAGTGTAGTCCCACCCATAAAGCCTACAGCTGTTTAGCCCAACCATTCAGCCTCCAACAGTGTTTAGCCCCACCCGTTCAATAGATTTCAGTTCAACCTAACAGTTTGCTTACTGCAGACTTCTTTTTGATCAAGGTACAATAGAGGACAAATCAGAATAGAGCTCATTTACATATCAGTCTTAAAAGCACAGAAACACAAGCAGTTGCATAACAGTCATGTAGAAACAAATTATGACTATTTTTTGGTACATAAAGCCACACAAACATTATACATACCTTTCAAGGGAAAATTGAATAAATAAAGTTAAAATATGGAGTATGGGCCCTTTAATGATGAGACTTTTAAAAACCCTCCCATTCACCTGGAGCTTAAACGCTCACTTACTACTGACTAACTCTCTCTTTCTCGATTAACTGCTTCTTCTCTTCTCTTCAGGTCTGGCAAATCTGGCTCGAAACGGCCGCGGTAACGGTTGCTAGGGTTTCTGTGCCATTTACCCGCTCTCTCCTGTCTCATGTTCTCTCTCTGGTTTGAAAACGTGGTTCTGCGTGCTTGCGTGCTATTGGTGTCTCCATTTTTGTTCCTGAACTTCATTCTTGTCATCTCCCTAAACCGAATGAGCCCACGGGGAGAAAAGTCCGTGATCTATTGAAAAGGAGAAAAGAAATAGATCCAACTCTGTCAGAACATGAGAACCAATCCCGATTGTCATTGTTGTTGTCATTGTTGTTGTTGACCCTGTCGTACTTTCCAGGTGTAACTGCTACACCAAGGCTGGTTCTCAGAGTGACTGCATCATGTGGAGAATGTGTCGTCTTTCCAAACCTAGAGTTTATTAAAATATCAAGCAATAATAAAGCGTTAATTTAGCAAATGACAGCTAGAACAAAGCTCGATTAGACTATGTGAGTTTAGAGGAACACTCCTGCATTTTCCAGTTTGATGTAAGGAACCACGACCCAACAAAGTTCATGTTGAAAAGTAATCTCTCGACTAAACACTTGTGAAACGTTTTGTTATCTATTAATCACAATTATTTTTTATATTTGTAAATGTAAAAAGTTCAGAGTAGGGCTGAACGATTTGGGAAATAAAATTGAGTTTTCTGTCCAATATTGCACTTTTAATTTAAATATGATTATTTTATATAAATTAAAATTCCAGGCCTTTCCACACTAACACTTGCACACCAGCAGCAAGAATATCGCTGCGCATCACTCAGACAGCATTTAGCTGGCCACTGGCAAGCTTTTCAAAGCAAGAGCAGACAGACATAAAGCTCGATTAAATTGCATGGTTACAATTGCATTATTCATTTTTATATGCTATTTTTATTTACCCGTCACTGTGGCTGGTAGGTTGAGCAAATTCACTCACCACCACACAAATCATCTGTGTTTGGCGGGTAACGGGTGCTAATGTCCAACCCTAGTACGTATATATTTTGCTAAGCTCTGGGTTTGTGCTGCTGTCTGTTGCTTCAATGCAGGCTTTCCCACTGACCGTGACTGTTAGTGGCGCCCCCTTGTGTTGTGGCTTATCTCTGCTCGTGCTGCTGTGCGTGGGTAAAGTGAACATTTGAAAACTGTTCATTTCAAACCTAAAACTCTGCACTGCACTCACAGGGCTAAAGGGTTCCAGCACCAGAGGATGACAAACGGGGCCATGAACGTGGAGATCGGGAACCCGGCATATAAAATCTATGAAGGGGAGCAAGACGATGACGTGGGAGAACTGCTGGATACTGATTTCACACTGGATCCAGACAAGGTGAGGCACCCTGGAATTCATCTCAACCCTTGGATTCTCTCACTACGATCTACATATCACCGATCTGCAACGTGTTCTACTCACGCTTTAATAAACGAGAACCCTGGCTGCTTCAAGCTTCCATTACTTTATTAGCCAATTTGCCTCGTAGCTCCATTGCAAATTTAAATAAGCAAACTTCAGACAGCAAACATGAAACTGTGTAAATGGGATTTTGGCCTTTGTTTTAAAGTCTTAGTCAGAGCCTGTTAATGTTATGCTAGCAAAACATGCTAATTCAGTTTTGAGCTCTGACCTAGACCTGACTAGCCTGATTGAAGCTCCTAGTCTGGCTTTACACAGTGAAACTTTCATGCAACTAGTTGCATGGTATGAGTTGCATGTAACATAGTTTCCATGCAACTTGACAGTTATACAAAACAATTAACATCCAACACCTTTAGACACTAATTAGCCAGTTAGCAGCTCATGTTTTTACACATTATATTGTTCTCGCGATAAGGTCATCTGCAAGGTGTAACATACAGATTTTCAGTATTTTATCATCTCCATATTTTTCTGTAATTGGGCTATATCAGTAATTTACTATATTAGTGTATCTGCCATTTATCTATATATCTGTAGTAGAGTTTTTATGCTTTTGAAAATTAATGTTTAAGTAGCCATTATGGTTATAGCCTACTTGCAACTAGTCTACTTGTCAACCGTCTAATAAACCATCTTCTGAAAGTATTTTGTTTGATGCTTTGATTGGCTGTTTCATGAAACTTGTTTCACAGTCAAGATGCTTGCAGCTGTTGTGGCTGAGTTAAGTGAGTTGCAGTACAGGATGCTTTACATTATGCAACTCAGGTGCCATTTAGATTCATGTAGGTTTCACTCAACTAAAGTTGCATGTAAGTTTCACCATGTAAAGCCAGCCTGAAGCACCCAAACTTTATCATGTATTAATCTAAATACAACTATTTTTGTGCACTTTTTGTTTTCTTTAGCCAACTAACTTCACGAATCCCGTGTACGCCACGCTCTACATGGGAGGCCAGAACAGCCGCAATTCTCTGGCCAGCACGGACGAAAAAAAGGAGCTGCTATCGCGGGGAGATGAGGAGCCCCTGGTGGACCCACTAGCATAGACTGTTTCTAGGCTTGGTCCATAGCATTCAAAAGCACCCCCTTTGCCTTTTATTGAGAGAGAAAAAAACAAAACCCAGGAGGAGAATCAACAGTAAAGCGTGAACACTGTATAAAATGTACAAAAATGAAGGACTACTTTTGTATGTGATCGCAGTATTATATTTTGTTCTTTTGGTCAGAACGAACCGCAACTTAAAAAAAAGGCTACATTTTCTACACAATTTTTAAATTTTCCTTTCCTTTGTCATCCCCACCCTTTTACCTTAATAGCCGCTACCTCTGTGAAAAATGGAATCGAAAGAAAAAGCAGTATGAAAAAATTGGAACAAATTTAATTTTTTATTTTTGTATGAATTGTATAGAGAAAAAAATATTGTTCCATCTCAGTAGTGCCAACTCGTTCTGTATCACGTTGCGTGGGGAGCGCCAGAGCCGAAAGTTAAATGTTTTTTAGTAATGTCTATCACAGCGTCTGTATAGCACGTGTAAAATGTCAATTCCATATTTAGCGTCTCCTTATTTTATTCCATAGGTCTAGGTTTGAGCATTGTTATGTTCTTTTAATAGCATAGCTGAAGCTTTTACGGTACATACGCCGTAGAAAAAATACATTTGCAGGACAATATGTGTATTTTTTTGTTTTTTCAATTAATATCTTAAATTTTAGAGCTTGAATGATGCAAAAATAACAGTCTTGCAAATAAAGAGCCACTGGGAAGACTCACCCTGGCTGATAGCGATGCGTTTCATAACATACAACGTAACAGGAGTGCTGTGACATAATCGCTGTCTGTCTGGATGCCGTGATCAGTTTAATGGCTAACGTAAGGACCTACTTTTCCTTGAAAATTAATTTGTTTCACCAGAATGAAACAAGAAGTTTCAAGAAAGCACCATGAATTGTTCAGATTTCACTGTTTTTGCCTTACATTCTTACCAATAAATGGTTCTTGGCTTGGATGTACAGTTTTACACCACAAAAAATGACATCTGAGCAAGTGAAAACATCGTAAGTGTAATCAATATAACTTATTTCTCATTATGAGGATGTTGTAGAAATATTATAAGATATTTAACCTATTTCTGTACATTTTAACTTGTTTTAAGTCATTTCTGGTAGATAATTTTACTTGTTTGGAGAAAAAATGCAGATAATTTTGCACATTTTTAATAAATGTTTGATGTCAAATTTTCTGCAAGTGAAACAATTTCATTAGATAAAATGACTTAAAACTAGTTAAAATGTATAGAAATATGTTAAATGATTTAATAAAATTTTTACAACAGTGTCATAATGAGAAATATGACATGTTGATAAGGTTTAAGATGTTTTCACTCGGTTAGATATTTTTGTAGTGCAGGAAAAGCCTTAAATGGATATAGAACCTTTACATTATATGGAGGTTCTTTAAAAAAACAATTGCACATCTCATCTTCTTCACTGGAACCAAAAGTGGTTCTGCCACCTTTATTTTTAAGACTGTAGGCGTTGTCTGATGTTTCTTACTGTTTTTTGTTGTTGTCTTTTCTTACTTGCTTTGCTGCTTCTGTCCGAAAGGTGATCAGCCATATCGTGATGCATGTTCAGCAAACGTTAAACAAGCAAATTCTCGTTAGCATTGAAGCAAGATGTTTTTTCTTAAGGTTCTGTTCTCCAGATTTTATGGCCACGTTAAAAAAAAACAAAAAGCAGGACAATATAATCACGTCACTTTCAGAACTATTGCTAAATTGTTCATGCATTGTTTTTAATTTTTTGCGCAGTTGTATTTAAAAAAATGACCGCTTTTATACTAGAAAATGCATGGAGGCTCAAACTTAGTTCTGGGACGAGAATAATGTTTAATTTTTGCTGGAGTACTTTACAAACTAAATAACATTTGTTATAAATAAAACAAAACACCTTAAACCTGCATTGTTTCAAGTGTCTCTTTGTTTCTTTTTCTGTTTAATTTCATTTTCATAGTAGTTAATTTTGTTTTTTGGGGGGTTATAGAGCTGTGCAAGTCAGAAACCACCGTTATTTATTTAAGTAAAAGTTCAAGTTATTCATTTTTCGGGCAATATTTGTGAGTTTAAAATCTACAGAGAAAATGTGCCTCCTAACAACCACCTGGAAGACCTGGTAGACACCAAAACTGCCCCATCAGATAAACAGCACTTAAAGCTTTCATCTTTGAGAGAGAGGAGAAAATCAAGCTGCTTCAGATCTTAAAACATCCACAGGTGTTTCTGTCCATCCTTCCGCTGTGAGAAGACAACTCAGCGCTATGACTCTGAAAGGATGTGTAGCTGTCAAGAAGCCTCACTGAGAAAAGGAGACAGACACATCAAACAAAGAAGCTGAACAATGGACTGACCACCCCAGAGTCCAGACCTCAACATCACTGAATGTGTTTGGAGACTGAACTCTGGAGGAGTGGTCCACCTTAATTTCAGCTGTATGAAAAGTACGTCTCCACAGCGCTCTTTGTTGAATTAAAAGCCTTTATTATAACATGGGTAAGGACAAAAATCTCTCAACATGTTTTGGGTCTTCAGCAGAGAGAGTCCCTTTACAAACTCAATCCGGGTGAACTGTTAAAACTACTTATTATTTACAGACTGCAGTGTACACAGTGTCATGCTTTTTTATCACTTATTTATGCTCTTAGGAAAGCAATGATTTCCACCATGGTAAGACAAATCTGAGAACCAAAGTATCTTATACATAAAATATTGTAGTATTTAGTAATCAAGTAGAAAAGAAAACAGAACAGAAGCTTAACAAAAGAGAGACCTTAAAAGCAACTAATTATCTAGGATGAAGCATGAGTATCTTGATTTGAGCTCATTCTTACAGGGTTATATTCACCCCAGCCACTCCCTTCCAGACTGCATCTGACTACTATTTGCTTTTAACACTTTCTTTCTCTTTAGTATTTCCAGCTGTTTTTCTCAAATCTCTGTCGGTCTCCAGTTTACCTGGAGCGCTACTGACAGATGATCTCTCAAGCTTCATACCGGGCTCCAAATTCATCTGCTCCTCAACCCCTGATATTACAGGTTCTGGTCCAAAAGCAGGCACTGATCCGCTGACATGTTTATCATCATCTTAGCTCTGTCCATTCGGATATTTCGCACCACCTCTTTAACAATTTCAGACTCCACCTGTGTGTGAGGGATCTTGACACACTGGAGACTCTTCATACTGTTCTGGACGAGGTCTGTAACTCTCTGAGTGGCTTTGTTTACGGAATCTCCTCTGATCTGATCCACAGCAGTGACTGACACTGACACCTCAGCGTTTATTTCAACACCAAACTCATTCTCAATTTGGCTGAGCTCCTTTCTGAAAGCATGACTGAGGTACCAGTATTG